GTCAAATTTATTTCAAAAAAGATTTTTGTAATATGCTTTCTATATCCTTTTAAATTCTGTAAAATCTGTGGCAATGGCTCCTAGATCTTAATATTGTTATTTAAAAAATGTATAACTGACACTGTATAACAGGAAGAAAAGCTCTAAAAGAGCAGGGTAATTGGGAGAGGTAGGGGAAGGGGAAAAAAAAGGGAAAGGAAAAAATATGAGAAGAGGAAAAGAATGGAAACAAGGTCTTTGCAAATAGGGAAGGGAGGCAAGGGAAGGGGAAAAAAAATAAGAACCAAGAGACTCATGTAATGGTACAAGATCCCAATGATGAATGCAACTGTATTTTATACCTAAAATGTGCCAATAAAGTTAATGGGGAAGAAAAAAAAAAGAAATATTGGCCAGGCGTGGTGGTGCACACCTGTAATCCCAGCACTCGGGAGGCTGAGGCAGGAAGATCACTGAGAGTTCAAAACCAGCCTTAACTACATAGCGAAACCCTGTCTGAGAAAGAGAGAAAAGAAAGAGAGAGAGACGGACAGACAGACAGACGGACAGGGAAAGGAAGGCCGGGCGTGGTAGCACATGCCTATAATCCCAGAACTCAGGAGGCTGAGGCAGGAGAATTGCCATGAGTTTGAGGCCAGCCTGGGCTCCATAGTGAGTTCAAGGCCAGCCGGAACTAGTGGATTCTGTCTCCAAAAAGGGGAGGCGGGGGGTAGGAGATTGATTAATACACAAATACACACTGGCCACCGGAAACTGCTTCTGTGCTGTGTGCCGCCTCACAGGGATTTATTTTCAGATTTATCTGACGTTCTCTGCAAATCTTCTCTTGGCTTCAGCTCAGCGCTGTCGTCCTGCTACAGCCGCGTGTACCAGAGCCTCGCCAACCTCATCCGGTGGTCCGACCAGGTGATGCTGGAGGGGGTGAGCTCAGAGGACAAGGAGGTGGTGACCACCGTGAAGGGCGTCATCAAGGCCGTGCTGGACGGCGTGAAGGTAGGTGGGGGTGAGGCGCGGTGTGCCTGTCCTCCAGGGCTGCTGTCCGCTCTGTCCCGTAGCGACCTCCTCCTCCCAGGACTGCTGCTCGGCCCTGCAGGCCTCGGGGCGCTGGTCAGAGAGCCGAGAGGCTGCGGGCAGGTGGCCTGTGCGCGCCGTTAAGTCTGCATGAGGCTGGCGCTGCGGCTGAGGCTCGGCACGCTCATCAGCCAGACAGAATACAGGGGAGTTTTGTGGTTGGTTTTTGTTTCTGAGACAGAGTCTTAAGGTTGAGCCCCTCCTGCCTCAGCCTCCCACCGTGCTGGGATGACAGGTGCACGCCACCAGGCCCAGCCTGGAGATGGTTCTGGGGTTGACGGTTAGCAAACTCCCAGTCTGTCAGCTGCTGTTACTCGTGCTCTAGGGACTTAGGGTGTTCTTGGTAGGAAAGCACGGGTGGGATGATAAGCATTCACCTGTACTTACTTGATGTCCGCGCCATGTACCGAGTTACTTATTGCTCAGGAGTGAAGCCGCCTCCTGGAGAAGGTTAGGCCTCAGCTACAGTGACAGGCTGAGGTCCAGGGGACCCTCCCTGAGGGAGGAGGAGGGACACTTCAGGCAGCGGGGCGGTGCCTTCCGGACTCCCTGGTGCGCAGCATGGCCGGAAGGACTGAGCCGCGCACATGGACAGTGCTCCGTGGCTGCCTGCTATTCATGCTGGGCTGCTCACTGCGTGCTTTCCAGGCTCAGCCGGGCCAGGATTGGGTCCTCTTCCTCTCCAGCCCCTCCCACCTGAAGCTGTAGTGAGGGCCGAAGAGATTCCTTCCCCCTCAACCAGGTGGAAGCCGGCCCTGGGCGCCAGGCCTCGGGAGTGCTAGGTGCAGGTGAGGCCCCAAAGGGCTCACACCGCAGGGGCAGGGCAGTGCTGGGCACGAAGGAGAGGCTGCCAGGGACCCGAGGTCGTGAGGGAGGTGCCCGCTCCCGCGACCACGGCATCCCCCAACGTCTGAGCATAGCCCGGGGCTGTGGCCCCGGACCTTACAGCGCCCTCTGGAGTAGGAGCGAGGTCACTTGTCAGCCTGTTGGGTCCTCACAGCAGTTCCTTGGGGTCACAAGGCAGGGCAGGGTGCGACGTGACCCAGTCACACTTCCTCTGCAGAGCCTGGCCCGCCGCCCTTGCTGTTCCTGCCGGGCCTCTGGAAATGCTGCTGTCAAGGTAACTCTCAGGTGACATTGTTCAGGTTTCCTTCTGCCGAACTGACTCTGGTGCAATGCTCAAAACAAGCCCAGACAGCTGGAGAGAGACAGACCAAGTCTCCACTCCAGCTGTGCGCTACTCCCAGGTCAATTCTTCGTGGAATCATTATAGCACCGTGGTGTCAGGTGAAAGACGCATCTGAAAGAAAAATGTCTCTAATTTTTCAAAGTGACCTGGATAAAAGAGAGAGCTGTGGAGATTGAGCTTACCATTGTCTGAGCGCAAACAACTTTTCCACAATTGTTTTAAAAATATTTAAAATAGAACAAGGATTCTCAAGGTGAGGAGCTCTGTGAGTTCAGTTTTTATGTGTCCAAGGAGCACGTCTGTGTGGCAGAGTCGGGTCAGGGCTGAGCAAAGCTGGCCCAGGCCCACACCCTCGGGGATTCAGGGCCTCGGACAGGATCCCGGCTGCGGGGTGGGAAGCTGCAGAGGGTGGCCCTGGGACCGGGGTGCACAGATGTCCAGGGAGAGGCAGGCCAGGGCTGGAGGACAGAGCCTCTAACGGAGTCAGTCAGGACAAGGACAGTGCGGGTGGGACAGCACTGCATGCGCACCCGCGTCCCCTAGGCGTGACCTCCTTATGGGTGCTTTTTGCACACTCCCCACACTAATACTCACGACACCCCAGGTGGGCGTGCATGCCCCTTTCCCAGGTGTGGAAACCGAGCTTCCAGCTGAGCAGCAGTTCATGGGAGGCTATGATGCGCTGCACTCTGCCGGGCCTTGGGTGACACAGCCCCAGGGCTCTGCTCGCCGTCCACAGGGCCGGGGACACCTGCCGGGCCATCCTGGACAGGACAGCTGCCTCGGCAGAGGAAGCCCTGGCCGCCCCTTCAGGCTCATCGCTTGTTAGGGGAATTGAGGGGTGGTAAAAATTGTCTAACCGTATTACTTTGTCCCTGAATGAATAACGTCGTTCAACATAGCAGCCCCTGCATGAATGCCTCTTGTTAGCTGTGTGACCCTGGCAGCGCCTCTCTGAGCTCCAGGGGACTTGCACTACTTGTTCTGCAGCTCTGAGGCAGACTGAGAGGGTAACGGCAGGGTGTGTGGGAAGTGTGGGTGCTGTCGCCATGGAAATGTTAGGTTCCAGACTAGCACCAGGCTATGTGACCGATTTCACAGGCTCCTGACCCTGCTGTGGGATTTCCTCACAGGGGTCATTCTGCACCCTCCTAGGCCCCTAGGGATGCCAAGCACAGGTAGGCGCCCGCCTTCCTGTCACAGTGATGAAGGCCTTGCCAGTGACCACAGGGAGCCATCGCGGACGCCAGCAGCTCTGCCATTCAGCCATCTCACCCGGAGCTGGACTGCTGTGCCAGACTCGCCCGCACACCCAGAGAGCTTGCAGAGGAGGCTCTTCTCACATCAGGGTCAGGTCTGCCTACTAGAAAGCCCAAAATTATAGTGGCTTTTTAAAGATACAACTTGGGGCCCAGTGTAGCAGTGCACACCCTTAATCCTAACTACTTAGGAGGCTGAAACAGGAAGATCCCGAGTTTGAGGCCACCTGGGCAGCTTATCTAAATAAAACAAGAAAAATTATGCTGTGGTATAGCTCAGCACTTTCCAGGTTCATTGCCCAGTACCACCAAATGAACTTTTTCACTTTTGTGTGTATGAAGTCCAGAGAAGGCTGGGGATGTAGCTCAGCGGCGCCGTGGCTGCCTGACAAGCACAAGGTGCTGAGTTCCATCCCCGGTACAAAAAAACAAAAGAAATCTATGGGTTGGGGATTTAGCTCAGTGGTTCCACCGCCTACCTCGAAAGCGCAAGGTCCCGATTTCGATCCCCGGTAAAAAACAAAAAACAGAAATCCAGAGCCAGACAGCAGAAGGCTACTGCGACATTCTCACATAGTGATCAGGATGGTCTCACTTTCCTGCTATGCATAACATGTGAATCCCACCTCACGGAGCAGAATAGCTGCTTCACCTCGAGCCCTCATGACTACATCCCAGCTGGCAAGGAAGATGGGCATAGGAAGTTGTGCCTTTTCTCTAAGGAAGCTTTCTAGAGGGCTTCACAAAGCTTCCACTTCGTGTCATTGGCCAGAGCCCGGTCACGGGCCCAGCCGAGGCTGTTAGGAAGACGGGGACTGGGGGCGGCGAGCTGTCTGAACACCGACAGTCCAAGTAAGCCCTCTCCTGCCTTCCTTTTCAGCCGATTTTAAAATGCTTCATAGGAACAGTTCCACACATTTGTGAGAAAGGGAATGTTGAGTAGAAATAGAACACAGAGCACGAACAAGAGTCGCGGCCCCACCAGTTTTCTCCACTGGGACAGTGGCCGGCTAGCACACTCCCAGCGTGGCATCTTGTCCTCCGGCTGTAGCCTGGTGCCTGCCTCGCAGCGGGAAGCAGTGCGGGCTGCTGGGCCTCAGGCGGTCTGCTGTGTACTCTTCTTTTTTATTATTTTGAGCTAACTCTCCTTGCCCCAAGGCTCTGGATAGCTGCTGTCCTCGCTCGCCCGTCAGCCCCTCCAGGGTCTCAAGGGGCAGGAAGACTCGCTGGCCAGCGTTGTCGAAGCGGCCCCTTCCGCCGAGCTGCAGCTGTCAAAGCTCTGCGTATTGCACAGCGTCCCGAGGCCAGCACCTGGGCCCCGCAGCCCGCACTGTGAAGGAGGGACTCAGAGGCCCCGGATGTGCTTCCGCCCGGCGCAGTCCGGACGGTTGATGCTGCCCGGCCTGGGCTGGCGTCTTTCCCGGGACCTCGCATGTCCTCACTCGCTTCCTCACGCTGGGGGCTGGAAGGCTGCTGCAGGTTCATCTTGTACCCATGGGGTTTGGGGGGCTGAGAAGAGGGACGATTTGATAATGGCTTTCTTGAGATATAATTCCCGTGCCACACAAATAACCCATTTAAAATGTGCAGCTGAATGCTTCTTAGCATATTCAAAGAGCTGTTCAGCCATCACCACAATCAGTTGTAAGACTCGATGGTCTCAGAATAAATAGCATCACCAGCCACCTCCAATATGATTATTAAAAACTGGTTAGAGGGGCTGGGGATTTAGCTCAGTGGTTTCGACGCCTGCTGCACAAGCGCAAGGACCCAAGTTCGATCCCCGGTACCAAAAAAAAAAACTGGTTAGAAGCCAAGCGTGGTGGCGCTCGCCTGTGAGCCCAGCACTCAGTAGGATGAGGCAGGAGGATCACTGTGAGTTCCAGGACAGCCTCGGCTACATAGGGAGATCTACAAAATAATGATAATGATAATTATAAATAAAAATTGGTTAGAGATTTGTAGTATACAATATAATCAGTAATTTTAAAAGCACCATCCTTATCCTTCCGGTTATCCTGTGGAATGTGAGGCCCTGTGATATTTAAAATTCTTGCATGTGTGGCCACGCAGTGAGGTTTGGAGCCAGTGCTGTGCCGCTGCTTTTTAAGCGCAGTCCTGCTTGAAGAAGGAGAGGGGGTGGGGGAGAAGAAAGGGACAAGGAACGGTTTGTATGGAGCAGAAGGTTTTCCTGTCAGAGTTGCAGGGGATTCACTTGTGTGAGTAAAGCACTGTACTCAGTTCCATACCCGCAGGGTTCTGGGGCTTGTTAGGGTTTCATTTTTTCAGTACTGCGTCCCGTAGGGGTCCCCTCCCTCCCTCCCATGGCGCCTCCCCACATACTCCGAGCCGTGTGTGCAGCGCCCATCTGGGCTCCGCACTGCACCAGTGGCCCTGTGGCCTCATGCACGTGTGCCCGCCCCGCCAGCTCCACCGGGCGAGACTGGAGGGTGCAGTCCCTTGAAAGCCTTGTCGGGCCTTGTGTTTCACACATGGGACTCCTTGCCCAGCTGCAGCCCGAGCACTGAGGGCAGTGCTGCTCCCACTCAGCCCCCGCCTGTGGGTGGCGCTTGAGGGCACCTCAGCTGCCAGCACCACGAGGCTGGGAGTCAGTCGCCAGCCTGCCACCTCCGAGCCTTTCGTGGGGCCCTGGCCGGGCACCCTGCTGCTCCCGGATTGCACACTTCCTCTGTGTGTCCCTGCTTCCCGTTAGCACCCGGGATGTGAGCAGGAAGTGCCCTGGGCCGGCCTCCCGTGAGCTTGTAGGCTGCAGTGACAGCCAGCTCCCTGCTGGCCCGTGTCCCCTGCTTGGTGACCAACCCCATCCCAGGCATTGAAGAAATGGCTCTGGGACTTGCCTTGTCGTACCCCCAGGGACGGCAGCAAGACAGGCAGGTCCCATGCTGCTGGGTGAGGTGATGGAACAAAGGCTGCACGTGTGGAGGACCCTTCCCACACCTCCAAGGCTCTGGACGCTGGCGCTCAGTGAGCCGCTGCAGGTCTGGCTGCAGTCCCTGGCTGCCCACAGTCGAGGGCCGTCTCCTGCCTCCCGTACCTGTGGCTCGACGCTGCTTCAGAGCTGGCCCTCCCGCTCAGAAATGGTGCCCGCGGGAGGAGGCGCTGCCGGGCTCCCTGCGTGTGGTGCTTCGGCAAGTGGAAGCTGCCCGCCTTTGCCAGCCTCTCCCCAGCCTCGGCCCGCAGACTGGCAGAAGGGAGCATTGCCACCGTCCTGACATTGCCCTAGAATGTGGGGTACGCTCGGACATGTGTGCTGGTGCCCCGAGACTCCTTTGCCTTGCTCATCAGTCGAGGTCAGAGCTGACTTTCCAGAAAGGTGGCAGTGAGCACGGCTGCTCATGAACTTGCTGTGCTCGGCAGGGCAGATGTGCAGCCTCGCTGCCCTCGCTCTCACCGGCCTTTGACCCTCTGAGGCTGCGGGGCTTTGGGACCAGCTGTCCCACCCTCCCTGCCCTGGATGCCCACAGCGGTCCCTTGTGGGGTTCCATGCAGACTGACCTCCTCCACACCTGCTAGCTGTGCTAGCAAGGGTGTTGACAGGGCTCATCGTACCCTAGCTGCTGTCCCTCCTGGCCTCGCACACATCGGGGCATCCTGCTGCGCCCTGTGAGTCTTCTCTGGGCATCATCCACTGCCCAAAATCACTCTCACCCCGACCTGTGATTCTCCAGCTTTGATGCTAAAAACATAAATTTTGTTTGGAAGTTTGTCTTTTTATTGCTATATGTTTGTTTTGTCATTTTGGGAGGTTTTTTTTGGAAGGGGATTTTGTTGTTGTTCTGTTGAGACAAGCTCTTCCTATGTAGTTCAGGCTGGCCTCAAACTCATGGTGATCCTCCTGCCTCAGCCTCCCGAGTGCTGGGATTACAGGCGTGCTGGGCTGGTATATGTTTATGATACATAATAATTACATTCATCTTATTGCATCTTAGTCATTTTTATTTCTCCTTCTCTCCTGGCCCTCTCCTCTCCCTCTTTCCCTGAATCCCCTTCCCATCTCCACAAGGATACCTCCCTATTTCCTATCGTCCTGCTTTTATTTTGCCCTTTAAATTATTTATGTTTTGGGGTTTTTTTTGTTTGTTTGGGTTTTTTTTGGTACCAGGGATTGAACTTGGGACCCTGCACTTGCAAGGCAGGTGACAGAACCACTGAGCTAAATCCCTGGCCCTTGGGTTTCTTACATAAGAGAAACCGTATGATATTTACCCTTCTGTGTCTGATTTCTTTCACTGAGCACTATGGTCTCAAAGTGAATCGGTTTTCCTACAAATGACTCAAATTTATCCTTTCTGGCTGAGCAGTGCTCTGTGATGTGTAATCGCTGCCTTTGCTCTGTCCACCCATCTGTTGATGGGCAGGTGAGCCATTTCCAGGATTCAGCCAGTGTGAGTTGTGCTGCTGTGAACATGCTGTGGGTGTTTATGAATAGCTGTATATGGTGACTTTGACTCTTGGGAAGATAGCAAATGTAACTTCTTCTATTTGTAGTTTTTTGAGAACCCTGTACACTGGTTGTACTGGTTTACACTCCCACTGTCAAAGTAGAAGAGATCCTTTTCTGCCGCAGCCTTGGCAGCATTTGTTTTTTGTGGGGGGTGGTTGGTACCGGGGGTCGAACTTTGGTCCTTGCACTTTCAAAGCAGGTGGTGGAACCACTGAGCTAAATCCCCGGCCCATCATTTGTTGTTTTTTGAGTTCTTCGTTCCAGTTTTAGTATATATGCTGCCGAAGCGAGCACTGTTTTTTGAGTTCTTGATGATGGCCATTCTTTCTGGGGAAAGATGGCATTTCAGTGTTGTTCTGATTTGCCTCTCTCTGATGGCCATGGATACTGAATGTTTTCTCATGTACTTGTTGGCCATTTATACTTCTTTTGAGAAGCGTATTTCCGTTGCCCAGTTTTTGATTGGGTCTGGAAGTTTCTATTTTATTAGTGTCAAAGCTGAAAAATCTTTTAGGATTATGACTGTTGGTGTTTAACATTAATGGATTATTTTATTTTATTTTATTTATTTTGTGGTACTGGAATTGGAACCCAGAGCCTTCTCACTGAGCTGCATCCCATCCCATTTGAAATTGCTTTCTTTTTTTAAATTTTGAGACAAGGTCTTGTTAAATTGCTCAGGCTGGGCTTGAATTTGAGCTCCTCCTGCCTCAGCCTCTCAGAGGGCTGGGACTACAGGGCTGCACCACCACCAGCTGTGAAGGTCTTCTTTGATATTACTTTTGGTGTGTCCATCTTTTTTTCCAGTTTTTGTTTTTGAAAGAATCTTTGCTCTGAGAAAGGTGTCAGCTCTGCCTTACTTGGGCCTGCACTGCAGATTTGTGGGTGGTGTTGGTTTCCAGCAGCTCGCAGTCCCGGAGGCTGCTGGGAGATTCGCTGTGTCGCCCACGTGCACCCATCGCTGCTCCCTGTGACATCAGAAACTGCATGCGAGGTCCTGCCCCGTGCCCCTCCAGACACTGCCCCTCTGCTCACGGCCCAGGGCTCCCCCGCACCCCCAGCTGCTCGGAAGACCCAGCTGAGGCAGAGCTGCAGAGACAGGAAGTGCGCTAGTAGTTGCCAGGGCGGGGGTGGGAGGAGTAGGTGTGGGTGCAGAATTTCTTGTGGGGTGACGAAAAGTCCTAAAAACTGGTTGTTGCTGTTTGCACAGCAGACAGATGCAGACCACTGAGTTACATCCTTTACAAAGTAGATGACTTCCATGGGCCGTGAATTTCAGCTCTGTGCCTTAAAAGGAGAAGGTAGACACAAGAGCGCTCACGTGCTAAGGGCCATTCCTCTCCAGTTCCTTCTGGGACAGAACCGAGTACCCCTAAGACAGGGACTCAAAGGGCCGAGGGATCCGCAGGTCTTGCAGCTGTGGAAACAGCTCTGTCAGGGAAGGCGCTGTAAAGGAGCCCTGGAGCCCCGTCGTCCACCACCTTTTCCCTACGACTGACAGTGCCTTTGTGTCCCCTCCTTCTCGCCGCCTTGTGATGCTCCTAAGCCATCTCCCAGCAGCTAGCAGGATATTACTTCCTGTCACTGACAAAGTCCCCAGCCTGCTCACCAGCTCCCTTGGGAGCCCAGGAGCCAGTTGGGCATCAGAGGCACTGCGCACCTCACACCCTGGGGTTAGAGAACTAGAAACGCAGCGCCCCTCGCTGACTGTGAAGGCGTCTGCTGGGAGTGTAGTGTGCGCTCACCTCAGTCATTTCGAGACTGGGGGACTTGCCCTTTCTCTCCCAAGAGGAAGTGCCTTGATGGGCTTGAAGCTTCTTGACATGCCGCAAAGGTATTTTTGGAGATCAGGGGACATTTTGGGAAGTTGTGCAGATTACGTAAGGCAAATAACCCTTGCGTGTGGGCTGTGTGGGAAACGTATAGGCACAAATGTGGGGCTGGGCCTGGAGACAGACGGACACTGGCCTCCTGGGGACAGTTCAGGGCATCACTGCCTCTCTCTCTCTCTCTCTCTCTCTCTCTCTCTCGGGTACAGGAGCTGGTCAGGCTGACCATCGAGAAGCAGGGGCGGCCCTCTCCAACGAGCCCAGTGAAGCCCAGCTCCCCAGCCGGCAAGCCCGATGGGTAAGTGACCAGGTCCTCGAGGCACAGCAGGCAGAGGCTGGGGGTGCACAAGAGAGCCAGGTTCCCGTCTCAGTTAGAAGTCGGGGTGAGTCCCGCTGCTCTGCAGTGTGGCTCTGACACCGGTGAGGTGCCCCTCGCCTGCCCCTCGAGTGCAGCGTCCATGGGACCATGTCTGAGCGCGGCATCTCAGCGTGTCCCAGAAGAGAGGGCGTCACCTGTCACCAGGCACCTGGCAGCCAGGTGGCCGTTCCTGACAGCCCTGCCTGGTTAGAACAGCCAAGGCCTCCAGTTCTGGGGCCTTGACTCGAGGGCCCCTTGGGTCTTTAACATCAGCTTCTAAGGAGGACAGGCCGGCAGGCGACAGCTTTCCTGCCTCGTCACCTGACGGGAGCCTGGCGGGGCACTGGCCCAGAGTCCGTCCTTGGATGGGGACCCTGAGGCTAGAGTGGGGGACCCAGCCAAGCCTTAGTGTGTGCCCCTCACCCGCTCGGGACTCCTGTGACCCCACATGCTTTTCGTCTCTCCAGCCAGCCCGAGCTCCCCCTGACTGACCGAGAAATGGAGATTCTGAACAAGTCGACAGGGGTGTCACCGCCAGCCGAGCTGCTCACAGACGCTGCAGATGAAGAGCTTGCACCCCCCAAGCCCCCTCTCCCTGGCATCCGGGTGGTGGATAACAGGTGACTGTCCTCCTCTGCTGTGACACAGTTTGGGGCTACCAATGGGAAGAGTGGGGAGCTCAGTCTTCACTTCTTGAACACTCGGAGGTTCATCCCTGCTCGAGAGGGCGTCTGAGGTCTGAGTGCTGCCCCAGGGCCCTTGCACACATTCTTAGCGCTCCTTAGCAGCTTTCCTTTCAGCCTCCACCAAGTGAATGGGAAAGGATCGCTCTGGGTTTGTTCCTCTGGTGTTACAGATTTCCCTTGGGCAGGAAGGGGCAGTTGTAATTGAGATGTAGAACTCGGGTGTGGGGAGTCTGGTAAGGAAGGAACCCCCCCATGTCCTCTACCCTAACACTGTTCTAAAGAGCTCTTGTTTGCGTCATCTGGTTTGCCTGGATGTTTTGCTCTCTTCCAGCCCGCCAGCACTGCCACCCAAGAAAAGACAGTCGGCTCCATCCCCTACCCGCGTGGCTGTGGTGGCCCCCATGAGTCGCGCCACCAGCGGCTCCAGCTTGCCCGTCGGAATTAACCGGCAGGTAACGCAGCCCCAGCCATGGAGGGGTGCAGGGCGCAGCCGGCTGGGGCAGGGCTTGCAGGCGGTCACCGGCCTGCCTCTCCAGGTGGGGTGGACGTCCCTGTGGGAGCACACACCCTGCACACGCCCCCACTGCTGCTCTGTCCCTGTGGCATTTGATGCCACCGCCAGCAGTGGCCTCTGAGGTGGCGGTGTCTCCTCTGAAGCCGCTGAGCTCATTTCCTTTCTCCTCCTGAGGACTTCGATGTGGACTGTTACACACAGCGGCGACTGTCGGGAGGCAGCCACTCGTATGGCGGGGAATCGCCCCGCCTGTCCCCCTGCAGCAGCATGGGCAAGCTCAGCAAGTCTGACGAGCAGCTCTCCTCGCTGGACAGGGACAGCGGGCAGTGCTCCCGGAACACAAGCTGTGAAACACTAGGTGAGCGTGGCTGCTTCTTGGGGCCGCTAACTCTAGGCTTGAGTCCTGCCGACCTCAGGCCGTGGCGGGGCGATGTTGCTGATCATTTACACACTGGCCACCTTGCCTGCAGGTGAGCTAACGTCCGCCTTTCACAGGGGCCGAAGGTGTCCACAAAATTACCACGTGAGACACCCAAAGGCACCCGGGGTAGCTGTGCTCCAGAGCTCTGTCCCCGCCTGGTGTGGCCTCTGCCGTCGGTGCTTAGAGTGTTCAGTGAAGGTGTGAGCTCCCAGAAGGCCGAGCAGCTGTGGTTGGGGCAAGCTTGGCCAGGGCCTGGGGACACTGAGCTCTCTGTGTCCCATGACCTCCTCAGCTTCACTTCTGAAGCCTAGAGATTGCTCAGCCTAGTTGGGGGGGCAGTGGGTGGGGCACTCGGAAGGTTCATTGGCGGGGACCAGAGGGAGTGTGGGACGTCCCCTCGGGGGGCCGACCCGCAGCTCTTAAGCGTCACTGGTAGTGTAGGAGTAAGTGGGGGAGTCCAAGACCATTTGCATAGCATTTTCTCAGGTGAGTTTTTAAAAAGGAGCCCTAGAGGGAAGAAGAAACCTCCAAGAAGTACATCAAAATGTAAACAGAGGTGGCCCGGGGATTTAGCTCTGGCTCCGGCGCTGCGCAAGGTCCCAAGTTCAATCCCCAGTACCAAAAAATAAAAAAAGACACAAAATGTAAACAGAGGTGATAGGTTCTGGGACTGCCCTGACTTTTATTTCCATGATTGTTTGCCATGTTTCCTGCAGTGGTCACGGAGGTAAGGAATTTAAAGATAGAGAAGGGACAGGGGGAGTGGCTGGGTTGTAGAGAACTTAGCTGGCACGGCCACTGTTAATATGGATGGAGAGAGGGAGAGGGAGGAGAAACCGCGAGACAGGAAAGCAGGTGCTTGGGACGACGGCTGGAGACCGCACAGAGCAGAGGGCTGCGTCCGCCATGTCCCGGGACCTCTCGGCTCACAGGCTCACTGTGCGTTGTGATTGCAGATCACTACGACCCCGACTATGAATTCCTGCAGCAAGACCTCTCCAATGCCGACCAGATACCTCAGCAGGTGGCCTGCAACCTTAGCCCGCTGCCAGAGGCCTTGGGGGAGTCTGGGTCTCCGTTTCTCAGCCATCCTTTCCAGCTGCCACTTGGCAGCTGTCCACAGCCCGAGGGGCCCTCAGCTGCGGGGCTGCACACAGACACCCCACCCGCCCTGCCAGAGAAGAAGCGCAGGAGCGCAGCCTCGCAGACCACGGACAGCTCCGGCTGCAGGGCATCCTATGAGCGGCACCCCTCGCAGTATGACAACATCTCCGAGGACGATCTGCACAACTGCACGCCGGCCCCGTCCATTCCCTACTCGCCCTTCGCTGCTCTCCTGTCCTTCCATCAAGGAGGCTCCTCGGCGCCCGTGGAGTTTGTGGGTGATTTCACCGCTCCCGAATCAGCGAGTGATCCCGAGAAGCCGCCTCCTCTGCCGGAGAAGAAGAACAAACACAGTAAGCTGGTGGAGCCCTCGGCAGGAAGTGCACTTGCTTCCCGACCGGGGCGACATGCTGTGCCTAAGCCAGACCAGAGCTTCACACATGGCTCTGCTGGAAGCCCAGGTCGCCGGCCGTTCCTGGTGGTTGCTGCTCCTGGTGGTCGTTCCCTACAGCCTGATAAGCTGGCCTCCCCTTAGGTCTCTATAAAATCCCAGGCCCGATCCCCGCAGGCCCCAAGTGCTTCTCTTTAGATGGCAGTAAGCTGAGCCTCTGCCCTGAACACATGGTGACACGGGAACAAGTGTCCTGGTGCACAGGGCAGCATTACACAGCATTGATGTAGAGGGAGGTGGCATAAGCAGAACCTGCCTGGGGCCCACAGGGTGGTTTTCCAAGGCCCCTGTTTGGAGACATGCTGGGTCCATGCCAGATGCGTGCTGTCCTCAGGCTGCACAGGGACCAGTGACAGGGCAAGGCACTCACAGAATGCCTGGGAGCTGAGGTTTTAGTAGATGACATTACCAGGTCCAGGGCTAGATCAGAAGCCTGAATATGTTTAGTTGGGTATTTCCACCAAGCAGGGTTTAGGGAATTCCGTTTCCCCTGGCTCCCCCAACTGCTCCCATCGCAGGCACCGCAGGTCCTGTGCCCTTGCCCTCTCCCCCTCCCCAGCCCTTTCACTTCTGGCTTCTCCTGGCAGAGCAGCTGTCCCCATCCTGACGCGTGTGGCCACATCGGCCCCCGCCACCAGGGCACAGCTCTGTACGGGGCGGGAGTGAGCTCCATAGACCAGAGGTCTCCAGGGAGGGCAGGGCTGGGGCAGGAGTGGCTCCTCGGGGCACCACGTCCCGGGCTCCTCGCTGGGTGTGGCCTGGCTGGTACAGTGGCCTCATTCAGGTGGTCCCCAGCTGGAAGGAGAGCTGGCCCCGCGGCCTGGTGATGTCCCACCCCTCTGTCATGCACTCCAGAACCCGGCATCCGGCACTGGCAGGGCAGGCACAGGCACAGTGCTGGGAACTGAGTGGGTCCTTCTGGGCCTCGCCCCCTGCCCCAGCGAGCATTTAAGGGGCCCAGAAGAAGCTCACTGCCTCTGTGCCGTCTCCCTCAGCCCTGGCTCTGCCCTTCCTGGATTTGCCTGACTTCTGGTTTCCAGTGAAGGCCGATTCTGGCTATCTGAAGAGTTTTCCCACTGCAGTCAGCTGTGCCACTCTCTTGGCATCTAAATCTCAGCTCATGAGGTGGCCTGTGGGTAAAGCAGCTCGGTGGGTGGCTGAGCCGTCCCTGCCCTGCCAAGAGTTGACTTAGATCTTTTGCTTCTCAACCCCAGGGACCTTGGCCCCCCAGCTCCAGTGGGACCTTGGCCCCTCTGTACAGGTTCCTAGACAGATACCCAGGGCCACGGTGTCTTCCCCCAACAGTGGCCCCTGCATGTGGGTAGGGACTGTCCCGACAGCCAGGAACCCCTTGCTGAGGCCAGGGAGACATGCGGGTGTCGGGACACTGGGGTCTAGGTGCTCTCCCATGGGCGGTCCCTGGCTGTCCTAGGGATCGCGCCAAACTCCTCTGCTCCAGGCCGACCCCCTGCCCCGTCAGGATGCCAGGCAGCTGCGCACAGATCTCAAACCCCACCGTCAGGAATGAAGGGGATGAGGTCACAGATGCGACAGCTGAGCAGCTCTCTGGCCTCACCGCTCCACAGGCAGGAGTCCCTCTGGTGGTGCTGTCACCCTTCGTGGGCAGGAGAGACTGTCCTGCTGCGGCCATGTGAGACAGGCAGCTCTGCAACACGCAGGAGCTTAACGCCTGGCACAAGGATGACACGAGCTGGGCTTCCCACAAGGACAGCGGGGCAGGACACTGAGTCCAGGGGCTGGCATTTCCTGTACACCCAGAGGACACGCCCTGGGCTTCCCCGGGCCCCAAGTCCCCAGGGATAGGGCTGGGGCTGTGTTCTGTCACGCACCAGTGACACAGCACCAACAGATACCGCCTGTCCTCGCAGAGGAAGGCAGTAGGCCCTGCCGAGCCAGGTGTACAAGGTCCTGCTGAGCCATCTCCACCTGCCTCCCTCCTGTTCCGAGCCCTTCCCCGGCACAGATGCGGGGCCCGGCAGTCCCAGAGAAGCACCTTCAGGGGGCCACGGCTTCCCTGCCGGGCGTCCCTCACCATCCCTGTGCTGCTGTGCTCTGCCAGAGCCCTCCTGGCCTCGGACCTGGTGCGCAGGTGCTCACTGGCCTTCGCGTGGCTCTTCCACGTTCTGGAGTGGCACCGCACGGCCGACTGCTGACTGTTCCCGCGGGACCCACCTCCCGCTGCCACCACACAGCTGTCTGTTCCCCGTCCCTCCGTGGGGAGTGTGGCCCCACGGGGCAGAACCATCTTGCTGGCACAGAGCAGGGTCAGCACCTGCATGGGGGCCTTGAGTGAGATGGGAGTGCAGTGAGCAGCAGTGGGTGAGGGGCCACAGCCACCAGGTGCTGCTCGGGCTGAGCATGGGAGCCGCTGTCCAGGGCCTGGAGCAAGGGTGGGCCACAGGGTTCGGGTTGGGGCTGCTGAGCCGGTGTCACCTGAGTGCAGCTGGAAATCCCCAAGGGCTTTGCCGGAAGGGAGCAAGTGCTTTATTTTAATCAGCTTCATTTTTGAGAGAAGTTTTAGGTCGTCAGCAACATTGAGTGGAAAGTACAGAAATTCCCATGTCTTCCCACACAGCCAGCACCACACCCGCCCCCAGAGCAAAGCGTCTGCTACCAGGGATGGGCCCAGGGCGCCTGTGCAGGACACGCACAGCGTCAGCCACGCGTGCCCCTGCACGCTGCCTCCCTCCCTCCCTCCCAGTGCTTCAGTGGGGCACGAGATGGGCTGGGGGGCTGCGCCAGCCAACGCCAGTGATCCTCTGTCCCTGCAGTGCTGGCCTACATGCAGCTGCTAGAGGACTACTCGGAGCCACAGCCCTCCATGTTCTACCAGACGCCGCAGAGCGAGCACATCTACCAGCAGAAGAACAAGATGCTCATGGAGGTGTACGGCTTCAATGACTCCTTCAGCGGTGGGGACTCTGTGCAGGAGCTGGCCCCGCCACCGGCCCTGCCCCCCAAGCAGCGGCAGCTGGTAAGCGGCCCACCCAGCCTCACGTGCCTGGTGCTGCAGCACCCGGCACTTCCGGTCCTAACTGGCCTCTGTGCCCTGGCCTGGCCGAACCTGCCCCTTCCTGAGGTCCACGCAGCTGGGACAGGCTTGTGCTCCAAGTGCCTGCTTTCTCTGCTGAGGGTCTCTTGTATTTCTCCTTTCTGCTTTGGCTTCAATGTAGACCTCCTAGAAAGGAGGGACTCAGTGAGCACAGGGCATGGTCTGTGTGCAGCCATCTGTGGACTCGATTCCCATAATGGTCCAACTGTGTGGAGTTACAGGCGGCCCCAGAGGACAGAGCCTCTCTGTGCCCTGGGCACGGTCTGTCCCCCGAAACATAACCTGTGTCGGGGTCCCTCTGGGGATCGAGGTGGGGTCAGGCGGAAGGCAAGGGACTTGGGACAGGCGGTTGGCACCTTCAGCCCTGTCTTCTGCTCCCAGTTGCCAAGGGTTGAGCCTGTGGTCCAGCTACACTGCCCAGGAAGGATGGCTCATACTCTGCCAGTCCGGTCGCTGTCTGACCAGAGAATGGCCTGCTCAGTGAGCGGGGCCTCATTTTTGTCCATTGCGAGAGGACATGAAGCTGCTGCCCTGTCTTCTCTGGGAGGCAGCCGCAAACTCTAAGACAAACAGCCCTGGTAGTTCTTGTAGCTGCCTTGGGCTCAGCCTGGTCCAGGGAATCCTGAGCCGTGCTGCCTTCCCTGGACTCTGGCTGACCCAACTCTGGTCTCACTTGGAGCTGGAGGCCTTGGATTCCAGTCCTGCCTCTCATGAGCCAGGGCCTGGCCTGTGTCCAGGTCTCAGCTCTTCCTCTGCCCAGCGCACAGGCACTGCGCATGAGTCCAGGCTCCTGCGACTACTCCTGAGGGATCTTCTCCATGGAAACACGGGCCTGGCCTGGGACCCCTGACCCAAAGCATTTGGCTAAAGCCAGTGCTGAGCCAGATTGCACTGAGAGCTGCCAGTGTGCCTGTGGGTGTCACAGACTGAGCATGCTGGGCACGTTCCTGGTAGCCGTTCCCAGGGAACCGCTACCCAAGCAGGGCAGGGTGCAGTTGACAGCACTCGAACTCTCCCTGGGCAGGCACAGCCGCCTCCTGCAGCTCCTGGCACCTCACTGTAAGTACGCTGAGGCTGAGGGCCTGCTCACAAGGCCCACGCTCTACCCAAAGCCCGGGCCCACGCTCAGGCCAAGCTGCCTGCCGGTGTCTACTCTCCAGTGTGCACACAGGAGCCATGTGCAATGTGCAGCCAGAACTGCCTGCGGTAATCATTCTGCTGCCCACCCAGGAGCCACTATGGCAAACCCAAGGCCGGCAGGTGGTCGGTGGCCTGCTCCCCAGAGCAGGGCTTGGAGCCCGGCATCTGCCCGGCCATGCGGCTCCAGCCTGCATGTCCTCTGGCCAGTGTGTGTGGAATCTCACCTAGCTCCATCGTGAGGAAGTGAAGCAGGCGGCCCTGCTGCTGGGTGGCCTTCAGCAGGGGTCCCTGACCCTGGCCTCTCCAGCGAGTCCCTCAGGGTCAGGGAGCAGCCCCAGCCCGGCTGCGTGAGCTGACCATTCTCTGCTTTCTCCTTCTCCCTGCCTTCTCTCTCACCCTTCTGCCCAGCAGGCCTCCTATGCTGCTTCTTCCTTCTCCTCTGTCTCCTACTGTGTCCAGCAAACTAAAGTGGCCTTCACCCCCGATGACGGCAGTGCCACTCAGGGCCTCAGTGTGTCCATGTCTAACTCCTTTCTCAGCCGGCACGGCAGCTTGCCTGTGCCCTCGGTGAGTCGCTCCCTGCCATTCCCACCGGGCGGCGTGGGCGCTGTTCCCTCGCAGCCGGTGTCTCCAAAGTGCACTGCTGGCCTTGCCCCTGCGGACTGCGTGTGGTGGGCGGGGAGCCACTGGGAGGCCTCTTGGGGACTCCGGGGGAGCTGGGAGGGGTGTGGAGATGTGAGCAGCAGGGCTGTCTCAGCCTTTCGTGGGCGAGTCAGCTTCTGATATGTTGAGCAGGAAGCCAGGCCAGGCCAGCTTGAGGAGGGCTGTGCCGCTCAGCTTCTGCACAGTCACTGCCCAGACACCGCCCTCCTGCCATCGTGTAGCCGGGGGAGGCGGTGCTGGTCTGGCCCGGGCCTGGCTGGTCTGGGCTGCACTTGCTGGCATCTCGGGGAGCTCATCGGGGACAGTTGGGCTGGCTTGTCTGTCACCTCCGCCGGGCTGGCCTGGGCTTGTTCTCTGGCAGCTGGCAGGCTTCCAAGGAACACAAGGACGTGTGCCAGGCGCCCTGGGGCCTAAGTTCCTGGATGACACAGTGTCACTGGGCAGGTTCTACCCCGGCCCACAGCGGGAGGCGACTGCACAGGTGGGCCCCGGTCACTGTCCCTGAGCGAGGGAGGAGCCACTGGGCTCACTGCAGTCTTCCTCGGGCCAGAGCCAGTGGTGCTGTCCTCCTGCTGTCTGCTCACGTGCAGCCCTGAGCAGTAGGGAAGGGACAAAGCCAGCTCAGCCCCGTGCAGTCAGTCTGGCAACAGTGACTGCTCTCCCTTCCTGGCCCCACATCTCCGTGGATGGTCTGTGATGGAGAGGATCCCATGGTCACCCAAGAAGCTGGCACACAGTGCACTTACAGCAGTGAGGGACCTGGGTACTGGGCCACGTTCTGGTCCCACTGCGATTCTGCACTCAGGAGTGGAGCAGACTGCATCACCTGTCTGTGTCGTCGTGCCCAACCGGCTCGCTCTTCCCATGCCTGCCTGTGCCAGGGTTCCTGTCCCATGCCCAGGACCAAGACGGCGCTGCCTGGAGCCCTTCCAGGCATGTCCAGCCTCTCCCCAGGGCCCTTGGCCACCAGGCTTGCTGGGCAGGCTGAGCGCCACCTCCCCCACCCACCACGGTCCCTCCAGCCAGTGCCCTCCATGCATCTCGTGAATGTGCCTTTTAGACAACCCTAGCCCTCGACTGCTCGCCCGTACCTTGAGCAGAAGTGTGAGGTGTCCTGAGCTTCGGCCGCCTCCGCTTGGAGTGTGGCTCCCGTTAGAGGGCCACGAATGAACCACATTGTTTGCCACAGAATTAGAGAAAAACCAAGGGCATTTGGTTAGGTTTGGGTGAGAGCACACCGTGGTTTTCATCCCTGGACGTGGAGGCCTTAGGCACCTTGCATCCTCAGCACCAGCTCCAAGGAGGCGCTGAAGAGGCGGAGGCTACAGCAGTCTACTCCATGCACAGGAAGGCGCCGCAGGGAGCGTCAGCAGACACCTGAGGCGCTGAATCCCAGACTTGTGGCGCCAGTGCTTCCTTCCTGGGCTCCCTGGTTAGATTCTCCCCTGAGCCCAGATAGGGCTTTGGATTGCTCTGGTGTCAGAGCAGCCCTGGACTCTTGAGTGTCATCAGCCCAGCATGGAATTCTGAGGGGCGCCCTGGGAATGTAGCTGGGGCCAATCTGAAGATGCTTCTCGGGTTCTTGTACTGAAAGATTCTGACCATAGAATACCTCTTGCCAGGGGAGTTTGTAGAGCCATGAACCTGCACAGAAGCTGGGTATAATTCCAGCACTCTAGGAAGCTGACGCAGGAGGGGCCCAAGTTGGAGCCCAGCCTGAGCACCTTAGCAAGATCCTGTCTCAAAATAGAAAATAAAAAAGGCTGGGATGCAGCTCAATGCAAAGGTTCTGGGTTCAATCCCTATTGCAATGCATGAGAGGACTTAAACAGAAGTAGGGTCTCACTCTGCCCAGGTCCCGGGTGAGGTGAGCCCAGCCTGCCAGGCCGCTTCCCATGTGGGACTCAAGAGGGGTGTCAGTGCAGCAGGCAGGAGACAAGCAGAGTGCTCGGGCACCACGCGCAGTGGGCTGAAGGGTGCTCGGGGGTCTGTAGGCAGCGGCAGGGCACACAGAGACTCCTGAGCTGAGGCCAGAGGAGAGGTCTGCGGGGTGACGGTAGCCAGCGCTCAGGCCTGCACACTGGGAGTGGGTGCTGGGCAGTGCCTGCCCTCCTCCATCCACTGGACGGCCTAGCAGCAGGGTCTTGGCTCCTGGTCCTCTGGGGGCCCAGGCACGCACCCGTGGCCCAGCACTGCCTTCAGGGCCGTCAGGGGAGATGGCAAGAAAGTAGGGGCCTGGGAGGCCGGCCTGTCACCCCGTGGGCATGGACATTGCAGGCCTTGCCTTGCCCTCCCTCCCTCCCAGGAGCTGTGTGACGTGGTGCTGCTGCTGCCGGGTCCCTCTCCGGTCGGGACACCCCTGTCACAGCTTTTTGGGCTCCCGTGGCCCCGGCTGCTGCCGACTGCAGTAGTGGCCCGGCCACCTCCTCTGTGTTCCCCTCTGACCTGACTCCGGTGATGCTGATGTGGAGAGGCAGGGCTTGGCCCACATTCGCTGTGCCCTCGGCCAGGGTGTCACTGCGACTCCAGGACAGGAAAACTCCACTCAAACTGTCTGCAGGGACCGCCTTCCTGCTAGCAGAAAGTTGTGGCTGGTTCCTCACCTAGGAACGGTTGGGGGCCAGAAATCGCTGTTGACATCTTTCTCCTCTGTCTCGGCTTCCTGAATGATTCTGGATAAGCAAAACTGCGAGCAGACCCAATTTTGATTTAAATGCCCATGATAGCCATCATGTGTTTTTTATTTTAATTTCTGCAGTGAGAACATCAAGTGTGCCACTGAGGACCTCGGGTTTTACCAGAGGTTGGGCCAGGTCTAGAAGGCTGAGGCCGTCCCCTCCCTGGGCTCTGAGGCTCCACCAGGGTACTTGTTCCCACTCTTCCATTGCCGCCCCAAGCTCCTGGGTATAAACCGTCCCTGAGAATTTAGCCAGCAGCTGTCCCACGGGCCATGGGCACGGTGACAGGAGAGAGATGGAAAGAGAAGGGTGTGTGGGGTCGGAAGGGGCAGCCCGAGACAGTGGTGGAGAAGGAAGTTGCCCTGTGCTTGCCTTCCCTACGTAAATCACATGACAGACAGGAAACATCCGGTGTCCAGGGGCGGGAAGTTTCTCAGAGCCACATTGCTCCTGCGGCTTTGTGTCTGGGGTTTCCTGGAGGGTCCCCGAATTGTCGGCATAGGGCCTCCTTCAGGGGAATGCGGCGTCTCGCTGTCTTGGTCCCCAGCCTGGTGAGGCACGCATAGCTCGTGGAGGCTTCAGACTGGATCAGTGGCTCTTGGACTCCCCGCTGGTGGGGTTCTGAGCCCCGCACGCCCTACAGATCCAGCTCTGATTCTTGGGCTCTCCGGTTGCCGACTCATGACGGGTCAGTGAATGTGCGTTCACTCCTGTCCTGTCCAGCTGTGAGTGTTGCCGCTGCCCCGGAGCTGCCCAGGCAGGAAACAGAAGTGTCGTCATGTCACACCAGCTCCCCTTGTGAACCATGCCCACGGCACACAGGCCTCAGGTCCTGCCGTGCTGCCCAAGCCCATGCAGACGGCCTCCAAGGCCACCAGTGGCCTCCCATTCAGCACCACAGCCAGGCAGGGCCGGGACTTGTGGTCTTCTGAGGCCTGGCCGGCCACGAGTCCTACCTGTGTCCCCAGTATCCTTGCACAGACTCCTCATCTCTCACGTATTTGCTTTTTTCTTCTGTCCTCAACCTTCTGGAGGTCCCCACCTGCAGCATGAACCTGAGCGCGCCGTGCAGCTCCCTCGTCTGCCCAGGGGACGAGCACAGGGACTAGGTGCTTCTCTCCTGCTTCTTCCTGACTGCTCCACGAGCTGCCTGGGGCCGGCGGGTGGGTGCTACTGCCGGATGGCCGCGTCAGGCTGGAGGACCCTGACTTACCCAATGCAGTGAGCAGTGACAGGCGGCCTGGAGCCTCTTCCCTGGCCCTACGCTGTGTCCTCCTTCCCCTGCACCTCACCGTTCCACAGCCCCCCATCCCAGAGACAGACCCAGCTGGGCTGGAACCCGTTTCCTTCCTCATCCCTTCTGAAACTTGCTCCAGCTCCCACAGGTGTGGTGTTCACTCTGGGTGGCTCAGTCCTTCCTGAGACCCAGGCTGCAGCTAGGCAGCACTGGCCCTGCCATGTCCAGCCTGTCTCCCGAGGACACATCTGCAGACTCCAGGGACAAGGGAGGGACCCTGCCTGCATCAGCTCCTGGGATCCCCCATAGGCCTCCCCCCTTGCTCCTAGACTTCCTGTTGTCATCTGCGGCAGGTTAGGGCCCTTAGCCTCAGGCCTAAGAACTCTTTGCTGCTTTCTGCTTCTGGTATTTACTCTACCCTCGATGCTCGCAGTCATGGCCTGCTCAGGTGGCAGGCGACCAGTCCCTAGGAAGAGCACCCGCCACTCCACACACACGGGATTCTGCCCCTCCTCCCCTGTCTCACTGTCCCTCGGCCAGGGCCTTCCTACGACTGTGTGACTGAGGGTCCCCCTCATTCTCGAGGTGGAGAAGGCTGCATGCAAACGCCCACCCACTGGCTTGCAGGGTTAAGCTAAAGCCAAGGTTCACAGCCAGACTCTCCTCATGGAAGCCAGAGTTAGGTTGATGTTTACGAACTGCTGGGTTACCCAGCAAATACTGAGCTGGTGTGATCTGCTCACAGAGAAGCTGGGCGCAGGATGCAGAGGGCCTGTGCTCCCCAAGTCACCATGGGCCTAGTAGTCTGAGAGGAAGTAGCTGAGCCCTTAGCACACCAGGGGGTGTAGAAATCAGGTCCCCGAGTCGGACCCCCACCCAGGCAGACCCACTACCCCCATCCACAGGAGCACAGAGAAAACAGGAAGCCAGCAGCTGCCTGGCTGCTCTCACCACTGCCCCAAGCCCATCACTCACAGGACTCAAATTTTCCACTTTCTCGACCAGAGCCCCCTCCCCACCTACACTCCCCATATCAACCGCGCACCCTCCTCGCAGTGCCTACGGCCTTCTCGTCCTTGGCCCATCTGCACGCAGATGGCAATAAACTCACCGCATGTTGCTTAGACTTTGCCAGCCTCGGTGGTCTATCGTGCCTCAGTCTGACCTCACAGAAGTCATTGCACTAAACTGTTTGCATCCTTTCTGACCCGTGCTCACCTCCATAAAGAGCTAGAGCTGTTCAGGCCAGCGCTCAGTGGGTCCACGGACCCTGAGAGGCAGCAGGGTTTGCGAGAGGGGCCAGCCAAGAGCAGGGCACAGGCACAGGCCCTTCCTGGAGGCTGGGACCCGTCACGGGAGAAGGGACTCCCTCTGTCTCTACACTCCCTCCACTGCCTAAAATTCTCCCAAGCAAAACAGTTTTTGTTCTTTTACACCCTTATTTTTAGAATTTTCAAATGGTTAAAAGGAAAACCCTCCACTAGGAAGTTTGTTTGAGCCCAGAAAGGCTGTCTGGGGCCTGATGTGGCCCTTGTTGTGTTTCTCGATCAGGCCCGTGCTCCCCGTTCTCATGGTGACCTCCAGACGCGCCTCTCCCAGCAGGAAGCAGACAGGTGGCCTGTGCAGGTCTCGGGCCCAGATCCTGCACTCGGCTCTGGGACCCTGTCTCTTGTCCTGTCGTCAAATGTAGTTACGAATTAACCCATCCAAGTGGAATCCAAGGAGGGCCCAAGGCAGATGCAAAGGCAGGCTTTGTAAACAGCTGTTGGACCCGGCGGGGCGGGGGAGAGAAGAGCGTTGAGGAGATCTGGGTGAGGAGGAGGCCCGGGCAGGCCCTGTGCTGGTGTCCCGGGAGTGACTGTCCCATCTCCCACAGCCACACAGGCTGCTGGCTGTGCAGCGGCTGGAGGCTGGACTCCCTTGAAGACAGATTGGCCGGCCCTCTTGTGGCACCGTGATCCTTGTCAGAGCAGTGTGTGCTCTGAGCCAGGGCCAGTGCGGGCCCCTGTAGGTTTCCCCACAGACGTGTGGGGTGAGCCTGCAGCGCAGCAGTGATGGCCTCTCACAGCCTCTCTCCACTCGGCAAATCCGCCCATGCACATGGTGGTCTCTCTCTGGTGGGTCCCTGGGGGGTCACCCCGACCTGTGGCCTGCATGCGGGGCTTCCTGCCATCAGGAGTCCAGTGCAGAGCAGCTGCGACTCAAGGACTCAGAACTGAAGTAAACATCAGGACTAAAGTGGACAGAAAGTGTCACTGAAAACGGGTGCCTGGCCACCTTCGGGTGGCTTTGTCTTTAACGAATTGACCACAGGCTAACCCAGAAGGTCGCCCATCAGCCTCTCCCATCCCCCTCCACCACCATGCCACCAGAGAGGGTCCCACTCTGGAGCCCAGGCTGGCCTCGAACTTGGGGATCCTCCTGCTTCAGCCTCCCAAATCCTGGGATTGCAGGCAGGCACCACCATGCCTGGCTAGATCTCCACTGTCTTTTAACTCTGAAACTAGTGGTCCTGTACCACCCCCACCCCCACCGTGTGCATTTTCAAAAGAGCCGGTTGCTCCTTCTGACCCCACCCTCTGTCAAGGAACTGCTGTCTGCACCCCTGGTTTGCAAGCAAAGCCCGCTTGCTGCCTTTTGTGAGCCTGGTGCCACACAGCCCTTGGCTGAGGAGCTCTCTGAGCCTTCAGGCTGCTGCTGCAGAGCTGTGGACACGCTGAGGGCAGACGCGTGCCCAGAGCGCACTGCGGAGTTCCAGGGACACCACCTGTGTGTGTGCCGGGCAGCCACCCTGCCCCTGGCTGGTCGTGCCTTCAGTTGGGCTGTGGTTCCTTCCTTATCATAAGGAGCTCACAGCAGAGCCCTTGGCCCCCGGCAGGAACCACCCTGTGATAGTCATCGTCTGTTCCTAACTGCTCAGTTACTCGAATTGCTGCCGACGTTCACGGCTCTCAAGCAGGAGCCCTTCATGTTCCCGCATCCTCAGCCCAAACAGCCTCCCTGTGGCTATAAATACAAATTCCTGTCGCACAGAGTGCAGCAGTTCATCAGGAGCAGCACCAGCACCAGCCAGACTCTGAAATAGATGCCAGGCTGGAGCGGTGTGGCCCAGAGCAGCCGGCCCTGCCCTCCTCCTGCCAGGGGAGAGCCTGATCTCCAAGGAGTCGGTACAGCTCGCAGCTGCTCGTGATCCTGAGCCCCACAGCTCCCTCTGGGGGGCCGGCACACGCTTGTGGCAGGCAGCCTCCCCAGCAAGTCCCTGCCCCTGGAAGGCACTGTTCTGTGGAGCTTGGCTGAGGTCCCAGCAGGACCGCATAGCTGGAATACCAGCGCTCAGGGGAGGGGCAGGGGCCAGACCCCTTTGTCCCCAAGATGCCAGCTGGCCTCCTCCTCCCTCACCTCGTTCCCCAGGCTCCCCTGAGCCTGAGCCCAAGCAGGTGCTCCACACTCCAGCTGAGGCGCTGCCTGCCACAGGTCGGGCCGTGAACTGGGCACTTTGATTGACAACAGGACCGGTGTCTGAGTGTTGCTCATCCCCCAGATATGTGCCAGGCCCTTAGGGACAGGATGCCTCTGCCCTGTGATTTAAGGCCCTGCACAGGTGTCCTGGGAAGCAGAAGGGACAGCTGGTGAGGACAGGGCGCTGAACACCTGCCACACTGAGTCTGCACTGCAAGTGCTCACGAGTGGCCACAGGTGCCTCTGCTTTCATCTCTGACGAGACTGAGGCTCGAGCACTGAAGTCACTTCCCAGGCCGACGTCCAGGAGGCCTGAGGATGCATTCGCCAGCTCCTCCCAGCCCCTCCCCACAGGGGCCTGCCTGTGGAAGTCCCCCAAGCTGGCCCAGCCAAAGCCCTTGGAACAGTTGGGCAGGGAGCCACTTCCCAAACCCTTGTGACGGTGCAGAAGCCCTTGTGTGAGTCAGGGCTTGCCCATTGCTCGGCCTGCCTACCTGCCAGGGAGCGCTGGCTCTGAAGGTGAGCCTTACGCTAGGTGGCAGCAAGTGGGCAGATGTGTAGGCCGAGGAGAAGCAGGGAAGATGTAGCAAGGAGGGAGCAGCCCACACACCCGGAGTCTGGCTTCTGCCCCCGGCGGAAGCCACTGCCTGAGCAGTCCCACCCTCTTCCCCTAAATCAGCACCCAGCACCCATGAGACGGCCTCACCTTGGGGGGACTCGTCTACCAGGGGTGGAGGGAAGCCTGGAAAGCCCAGCCCTTTGCCCTGCTGCCACCCGGCAAGGTCCACAGAGCACCCTGGCCTGTGGCACCACCCTTGACAGCTGGCAAAGGGTCAGAGGAGCGAGTGGAGGACAGGGTACAAGCTGTAGCTTGGGTCCCGAGCGGGGCCTGTGCAACGCCACCGACTTCCAGACGGAACGGACAGGCACAAGTGGGCTCAGGTGTCAGGTGGGCTGCAGATGGCCTTGAGTTTGTGAGGCCAGTGGGGAAATGAGAGTTAAAAAGTAGCAGGTGAGGCCGGGGATTTAGCTCAGTGGTTTCACCGCCTGCTGCACAAGTGCAAGGACCCAAGTTCAATGCCCAGTACCAAAAACAAGTAGCAGGCACCTAGGGGTCTGATATGAACCAGCAGCCACCGAACTCACAGGCCCTGATCCTGATCAGTGCTGCCAGAGGGGTGGCTCGTCCCTGGAGCCCAAGGCTAAAGGACAGCTATGCAGAGCCACCTCTCGCAAGGTCAAACTTGGTTGCTGCTTCCCCTCCTCCTTCCCATGGGGTCTGGAAGTCCTGTGCCACAGCCACAAGAGGGCGCTTGCGAGGGACGTGTGCATGTGTGAGCTGGCAGGGCCTTGAGGCCTGCTCCTTTCCAGGTCTGCTGTCCCGGGCCCATGGCGGGCGGCAGCGTGGTGGCAGCAGGCCAGCACCTTTGCAGGGCACACTGACATGTTGGAGTCTCGGCTGGATGGCCAGGCCAGCTGGGCAGTGTTCCTTGGACTGGGAAGCTGTGGGCTCTTCTAGGCTCCACTCAGTCAGACGACTGACTTCACTGTCCCACGAGAATTTGGGGAGCATTGCCTGGTGGCTCTGGGTGACATCAAAAGTGTTGTAAGATTACTGCACTTGTTTAAAAGCAAACCCAAAAAAGTAGGGAAAAAAAATTGAGTTGGAAGGGAAATTAACTCCTAGCAATTGTTAGCATCTCGATGGCACAGTTAGTTTTCCAGCCATTTCCCGAAGGGTTTAAGATAGGTTCCACTGTTACGTGCAGTATTTGCCTTAGGGGATAAACCGAAGAGATTCAGCCAGAAGAGTCCCAGTGAGTAAATGCAGCCAGCTGCGTGTGCCGTTGGATGTAGCCTTGAGGCTCCCACGGGGACAGAGGCTGAGGGCCCGGGCTGTGGCCACAGAGGAGCATGGGGTCCCCAGGTGGGCATCAGGGCGCCATGCCCAGGTCCCGCCACTCAGTCCCCAGCCACCAGGGCTCTCCTCTGGCAAGCTGGTGCGGGCATGGGGACCTCAGGGACAGGGTCTGCTTGGCATAACCGGCCATCCCCGGTTAGAACTGGTTAGAGCAGCCCTTCAGCACACAGCCACCGTTAACCTAATGACTTTTTCTCTTGTCTGTCTGTTTTCTCTTCCCGTATCCTCATTTTTGTTCCCACCTGGATTCTGTAGTACAAGTCTGTGTTTAGGTCCTACTCCCAGGACTTCGTGCCTCACCACCAAGCTTCCGTCCAACCTTTCCTTCCGCCTACCTCCTCTTCCTCTCCACATTTCCCACCTGTCCACCCGTCTCCAAGCTCGGACTTGGCGGGGCCCGCCGTAGCCAGCCCGCCTCCTGGCACCGTGGACGGGCCTCTCTCATCTTCCCAGGAGAGCAGCTTCCATGGGAACCCTGTCTGCCTTCCTCCCGAAAGCTCTTTCACTGACTCGGTGAGCACCCGGCACGCGCATCCGCACGCGGCTGCATGATTCTTCAGAGCGGTGTCGCCTTGGCTTCCCTTTGCCGGCAGCCGTGTCTGTGACAGTGGGGCCACTCGCACGGCTGCATGGACAGCTGCGCAGGCCCCAGGGTGCCACGGTGGCTGTCTGCTTCCAGAACAGAAGTGGAGTTTTTCATACAAAATCCCTAGGGATCTAGTTTTGCACAGGGGGATGAGTGATGGTTCGGGGAGCTGTGAGGATGAGGTAGCACGTGCTGCTCCCAGCCTTCTGTGTGGCTGTGCGAAGAGAAAGGGTGAGCCCTTTAGAAGTGTGGCTGTGGCAGATGGAAGCGGTGGCCTGGAGCCTGTCCCGTGCAGTGGCCCCTGGCTGTGTGCTGCTCCCAGCCAAAGGAGCTACCCTGGAGGACAGGTCAGAGGGGACTGGAGGAGGGCAGAGGGCTGCTCCCCAGCCGGTTGATCTGCCTGAGTGTCACCTCCCGCCTTCCCAGGGGCCACCTCTCCTGGACAGGCTCCAGGAAAGACCCAGTGGGAAGCTTGGCTCCCCACTGGCAAGAGCCCAGAGGCAGCCAGAGCAGCTTTGTCCCCTGACCCCGGGGAGGCACCACGCGGGACAGCAGTGCCCTTGGCCTCTGTCCTTTCTTTCTCGCGAGGGCGCATCCTGGTCTGGGCCCACACAACCCTGTACCGGGCTGGGGTGGCCAGAGGCCCGGCCCACTGTCTTCCCTCTCGCCCTGTCTCCCAGAGCGAGAAGGGCCATGGGGAGGCTGGTGAGGGTGAACTCGCCCGTCTTTACTCCTCTGGCCAGAGCAGCGTGGAGCTGGCTCCCTCTTGAGAGCAGTAAACTCAGGCGCGGCCTGGTGCATGTGGCCTGGCCTGGCACAGTGGCTCCCCCTGCTGCAGCAGACAGAGTCCCCTAGGCTCCTGGGAGCTGGCTCCCAGGATGGAGGTTGCGGCCTGCAGGCGAGGGTCACCCGTCCCTGCCTCCAAGGCTGTGGTGCTTCTCAGCCTCCAGGAGCAGCTGGCATGGACCTGCCCCGAGTCCAGCGCTCTGGCTTCTCCAGGCCCAGCACCCTCTTGGTCCTTTCCTCCCCACCACGCCCCACTAGCTGCTCCCAAGCAAGCTGGGTCCCCCCGGCGGGTCCCGTGCCCCTTGCTCCGCAGAGCGGAGTTGCTCATCATGCCACTCCCCCAGCCCATGGCAGTTGAGACACAGTGGCCTGTTGGGCAGTCAGCTTTGTAAAACATGAGTGAGTTCGGAAGCTTCAGAGGCCGCTGTCCCTGTGAGCCCAGCAAGCTCCTGCCAGGAGGAAGCCCGGTCCCCGAGGACCAGAGTCCTCCCCGTGGTAACTTGCACAGCCCCAGCCCTGGAGAGCATGCCCACTCCTTTGGGGCACTCCTGCATCAGGCCCCAGGGACCAATGTGCACACCCAGCAAGTCACAGGAGCCTGAGGAATTGTACTCTGAGGGAGTTGGCCCCGCCCCACCTGTCCCCTCTGATGACCTGTGCCACCAGCATCATCCAGCTTGGCCTTCCACCCTGCCCTCTGCCAGCGGCACATGGAGCACTGGTTTCTTACCTCATTCTGCCCTCCCTGGCACTGTCCCTGTACACACTCCCCTGGTCTCCCGGTGCAGCTTTGGTGCAGCCTGGGATTATCACAAGGCCTAGTTGTGACAGCAGGGCTGCAGGGAAGCTCACAGCCCTGTGTTTGAGCAGCAGGCCCTTTGGAACTGTCGCTGGCTGGGTGGCACAGCCCTCAGAGTCTCTCACCAGGACATCAGCAAAGTTCTGCTGTACACAGTGGTGCCCAGGGTTAGGGATGATGGCTTTGCAGGTGCAGCCCAGGTTCAGATCCAGGCTCTGCCATTCGGGGGCGGTGTGGTCTGAAGCAGGTCCTTGGCCCCTGGCCTCAAATCTCTGGAGCAAAGCTGTAGCTCATCGAGGGGCAGGGGAGGAAAGGCACAAGCTGAGGTCCGTGACATTGGGAGGTAGTTCAGGTGGCATCAGTCAGGAGCTTTTTCCAAGGACAGGCTGCCAGTCTCGGGCTCCTGCATTTCCTGTTATTTCCTGCATTCATCACTAACCTGCTCCCACCTCGCTTTGCTCCTTAGGGACCCACATCCGAGCCACCTGCAGGCAGGACGCTGGGAAGACAGATCGGCCCTGGCCTGGGCCACCTGGCCAGAGCCCAACCCTCCCTTCTCTCCACAGGAGTCACCAGCCGGGAAAGATGGGCACCCCAGGGACCCCGCAGCGGGCAGCGGCACACCTGGCAAGGACAGTAGAGATGGCGGTGAGAGGTAGGAAGTGACCAGGGAGTGGCCAGTCCTCCAAGGGCCACAAGTGCACTCGGGGAGGCCTTTGTGTTCATGTTGAGGGTCTGTCCTCCCCTGACTCAAAACAGTACGTGCTCAGGCTAGAAACCGACTGAGCAGCATCACATGCTTATAATCCCACTACTTAGGCGGCTTAGAAAGACTGATTCCAGATTCCAGGCCAGCCTGGGTAACTTCGTGAGATCCTGTCTGAAAATTAAATAAAATTAAAATTTCTTAAAAACAAAAATTAGGCTGGGAATGTAGCTCAGTGGTAGAACACTTGCCAGGCAGGCACAGAGCCCAACACCAGTATAATAAAAAATAAAATGGAAAACTTACAAACAAGCACGCCCAGCAGAGGCCCTAACCTGGCACCGCCATTCCTTCCTGATCATCTGCACCCGCAGTGCCCACCTTGCAAACCGCCCAGGGCCGTCTGGCTGGCTCCAGACCCCCGCCAGCCTCTTCCAGCTGAGGTGTCCTGGCACGGGCACCCCACCCTCCAGTTTGTTACTGTGGACATTTCTGCACGTGTGTGCATAGGTTGTATTGCTAAGCCACCTTGAATATCAGGTGCAGATGTTGTGACCCCAGCTGGCCATTCCTAATCTGGACATGGTGGCAGATGCCTGTAACCTTAGTACTCAAGAAGCTGAGGCAGGAGGATCGTGAGTTCAAGGTCAGCCTGGGCTGTGTAGCAAGTTCAAGGCTGGGTTGGACTAAATAGTGAGACCCTGAGTTAAAAACACATAAGCCTGCTTAAGACACCCTGATTGCACCAAGAAAGTTAGGCCATCCCTGATGTCGTGTGCTAGGCAAATCACACCCAGTTCCCATCTTCCCAGAAGTGTCTTGTAGATCTTCATTTTCTGTAACCATGATCAGGCGGGACTCACACTGCGTTTCCATATCGCAGCTCTTTGCTGTCCTGTATCATCGTCAGCATTAGCATTGGCCAGGCCTAACCGGGTGTGGTGACCCTCGAGGGGCTGCAGGAGCATCTGCCTGCAGCCTTCCGTGGTTGTCACCTGTGTGCCCCCCCCAGCTTCTCCCCCTCAGGTCAAGGACCAGCCACCTCTGGGGTCCTGCGTAGTCACCTGAAGGAGAGTTTGTCCCTGCTTGTCCTTGTCCACTTGGTCACAGCTTCCCACACTGCTGAGCAGAGTTCCAGCAGAGGCCTGGACAGACTTGGAGGATGGCACTGAGCAGTGGGAACTTCCCCTCCTGCTGGCCTTTCTGCTGTCCATCTTAAATATTGACGGCCTCCTTGCCAGAGCATGGCTGCAGCCACCACCCAGAAATGACTGTGTGGGCCTTGCTGATCCCCAGCCTCACTCCTCCCGTTCCCAGAGGAGACCTGGGGGTGCAGGGAGTGGCCCCGGCTCTCCCACCCCGTCTTCTGAAGCAGCTCTGGTGCCCTTCACAGCCCTGGGCTGGCCAGCACCGCCTCGGCCTCCAGTGTCAGGGGCCCGGGCCTGAGTGAGACTTGGCACCAACTCCTTCTCCTCCAGGGTCCCGAAGTCACCAGACACTCTGGAGTCAGCTCAGTCAGAGGAGGAAGTGGATGAGCTGTCTCTCATCGACCACAATGAAATCATGGCCAGGCTGACACTGAAGCAAGAGGTGAGTCAGGAGGGTCGAGGCCGAGTCCCCCTGTGACCCTGGGTGTCTCCATGAGACCGACCTGAGCCAGGTGCGGCTTCCAGGAGGAAGCGTGGCATCTGCTGGTGTTCAGAGCCCTGAAGTCCCATGGCTGCACCCTAGGGCCCAGGAGGGCGAAGCTCCTGGCAGTGCTGTGCGCAGCGAGTGCCGTTCATGCCTCTTGATGGCCTCATGGCGGGCTCTGACCAGGGGATGCGCAGGCCTGGGCCCGGCCACCCCTGGGCTCTGCCTCCTTGTGAGAGAGACCAAGACCTGGCCTTCCCCAGAGGAAGCCACAAGAGCCCTCCTCAGCCCAGAGGCTCAGGGCCCGGTCCTGGGAAGCGCACGCCCTCCCGTCATCTTCTGGTGGCGAGAAGGCAGCGGCCGCCCTTGGCACACTCCTGGGCCAGGCAGGGAGCAGCGAGGATGCGGGCAGGCAGGGCTGGCAGTGAAGGGAGCCTGGACAGCTGCGCCCCTCCACAGAGGGGAGTCGGCTCACAGGCTGGCCACCGTGTCCGCGGGAGCCCAGAGCTCAGGACTCGAAAGGCAGCCGTATCAGGTGTCAGCTCTGTCCCCTGGAGAGTCGCAGGGTCCCAGGCCATCGGTGTTGGCCTGGCCGCCATCTTGGGCCTTCTTGCCACTCTTTCCGGCTCTAGGCCTGGTGGCTGGCGCCTGTTACCATGTGGAGGTGAGACTTGGTCCCTCGAGGGTCACCTGAGCAGCAGCAGATGGAGCATCTGTCTCTGATGCTTTGTGCTCCTGTGATGGGCCACACAGGAGACCCCGCGACCCGCGTCACTGAAAGTGACCTCGCCTCCCCTGGCACTGATGTAGACCTGGGTGTGTGGACATGCTCCGAGTGCACTGCGGCCTCCCTGTTTTCTGGGCGCTAGAGACTGAGCGGGCTGGAGGTATGGGATGATGCTGAGTAGACGGTCACCCGAGCACTTCGGGACCTCAGGGATCCTTGGGGAACATGCGCCGGGCCCCATGTCTGTCAGCTGAGCGTGGAACCATCAGTGGGCCACAGGGGCAGTGCAGCCTGGCCTTGCTGGGTGGAGGAGAGCAGAGGGGACTTGCCGTCCCTGCAGCACAGTGTCTTTGTCACCTGGCCCCCACTCATGCCTTCTTCGGCTGTTCTCTCTCCACAGGGTGATGACGGGCCAGATGTGCGTGGAGGATCAGGCGACATCTTGCTGGTGCATGCTACTGAGACCGACAGAAAAGGTACAGCAGCCCCGCTGGGTGGCCTTTGTCCTTATCTGCGCCCTCACAGGGCATGCAGGGCCCACTGTGGGCGTCCCAGGCGGTGTGGCGGTGCCCCCAGAGCCTTCAGGGAGGTCCCTGGGGCGAGGGCAGTCACTGGTACTGGGTGTGCGCACTCCATGGGCAGCACCTGGGGCAGCGCCGCGGGAACAGGGCGAAAAATCCAGGTAACGGGGGCAGGGGCGGGGGGGCAGCTTACACCTTTCCTGAGCCTTGGGCAGATCTAGTGTTCCTGTCAGGCCAGGTCTGATTGACCAGCTTGAGGCACCTCTGGAAACTCATGTGCCCTGCCCCGGAGCCTCGGTCCACGGCCCGAGAGTGCTCTCACAGGCCCAGGTCCGCCGGCCTCGCCTCTCCTTCATGTCCTGACCATTTGGGAGGACAGGGGAGCAGGGACCATCCTTCCCCCTAAGACATCCTGCTTCCAAGTTGTGTTCCAGACGGAAGAGAAAGAGGGCCTGTAGGCTAGGTACAACAGCACACACCTGTACTCCCAGCCCTCTGGGAGGCGGAGGCAGGAGGACTGCAAGTTCAAAGACAGATTGCCCTGATTTCTTCAACATCAGAGAGATTGTTGGTGGGCAAGTCACAGCAAACAAAGGGGCCACATATTCTGGGGAGGTGGCACCCTGGCCCCAGCAGCCCCTCCAAAGGGAAGGGGGTGTTTGCTTATAGCCCAGCCCCCAGATGTAGAGTGGGGTTCCTCACGACGGACCTTCCTGCCCGAGCTTGCCGTCCTGGGCCCTGTGTGTGGGGTCCCAGTCCTGGAGGAGAAGGCCCTGCCATCTGGAGAGCCGCTCTGGGTTGGCTTGGGGCTCCCTCTGACCAGCCCCGCTCTGCACTGCTCTGCCCTCCACGCACCCCACTGAGTGCCCCCTGCTCCTGCAGACCTGGTGCTGTACTGTGAGGCCTTCCTGACCACCTACAGGACCTTCATCAGCCCTGAGGAGCTCATCAGGAAGCTGCAGTACCGATATCCTCTGCCCTGCTCCTCACTGCCCGGGCCCACGGTGACTCTGAGCAAAGGGCAACAGAGCGGCGGATTGGCCGGGCATGGTGCGGCCGTGCCAGTGGGCAGGGCTTGGCTGCAGGGGTGGGCTCAGCCCCTTCCACCTGTGCCAGCTGGCCAGTGGGCAGCTGTGCCTCATCTGCTGTGTTGTCGGCGCTGCCCTTCTGCCAACTCTGCCCCATAGGCTCAGCCTGGGGACAGGGACCCCCACAGAGGTGGCAGGGAGGACCCGGGGGCTTAGAAGAGTGTGCTTTCATGTCGGGTGCTTCTTTCTCAGACCCAAACCCGCTGGCCCCCTGGCCAGCCCCTTCCACTGTCCAGAAAGCCTATGGTGCCACAATGGCACCACTGTCCACTCCAGGCCACCTGCCAGCCTCACAGCCTGTGACTGCCACCTGCTGCGCAGCCGCTGCCCCTCGGGCAGGGGGTTCTGAGCCCCCTGCTCTCCCTGCCCTCCGTGTGCCCTGAGAATCTAGGTCTCTGGGACAGATGTGGACACTTCTCGGGAGTCCAGGGTCCCCGCCAGTCTGGCAGTGTCACTCAGCACCTGCTGGCCAGCAGGAAACAGCCACACACTTCTCAGGCGCCCAGTCCCCACGTGTGATGTGCTTGCCTGTGTGCTCTGGCTCAGCTGCAAGACTGCCACGTCTTCACCATACCGAGTGCAGAGCCATGATTGGCTTCCTCCCATGGGGCTCAGCCTGCCCTCCTGGAGAGTACTGTACTGCACCCTCCAGGGCTGGCTGCACCTGGGCACCACAGCCAGGTTCCCGGTCACCGGGAGCAGGCAGGCCGGCATCAGGAGGCTCTGGGGAGCTCAGAACCCTGACTTAGGGTGGGAGGGCGCCCAAGGATGGACACTCAGGAAAGGTGGAGGGGAGCCCTCTGGCATGTGCCCAGCTAGACCTGGGGGCCACCCCATCCTGCCCGAGGCTCAGCGTCGCGGGCCCTGGGTGCTGGCACACATGGGCTCCTTGGTCAGGCGTGGTGGGAAGCCTGGCCTCCTTGCAGTGCAGTCCTGCAGATGGGCCCTGGTGCCTTTAGGAGCAGCCCTTGGGCCAGTGGCCTGGGCACGTCCAGCTTGGCAGCGCTGTGCTTGCCTGGGGTCGCTGACGCTCCACACACGAGGCTCCCAGCCCATGACAGGTGCTCAGCACACGCAGCGTGAGTCCCCTGCTCAAGTCCTGTGCCGTGTGCGCCGTTTCCTTAACCCACGCTGCACATACGAGAAGTTCTCGCCCTTCGCCGACACCTTCAAGAAGCGCGTCAGCAAGAACACGTTCTTCGTGCTGGTGCGGGTGGTGGATGAGCTCTGGTGAGTGCTTTGTCCAGGCGCGGGGATGGCACTGGCCACAGCCAGCCGGGCCTCCCTGTCGGGACCATGTGACCCCTGTGGACTCTTGCTTCTCCTGGGCGGGCCACAGTGCAGACCCCGGACACCCCACTCTGCCAGATGCAGCTCCTGTCTGCATCATCAAGCCCTAGAGTGACTTGTCCCCTAGAGCAGGTGCAGGCCTTAGGTCCACCCAGGACCACCCCTTCCCCCATGCAGTCACGGGAGGCGAGGTGCCAGCGCTGGCCTGCTGCTTGGCAGACGTCGTCCGGCACCCACCCAAGGACTGGGCCCTCTCCTGGCCGTCTCCTCACTGAGTGTGGCCGGGAGCTCCCCATGGTGCTCAGTAGCCCCGGGCTGTGCAGCCTCGCCCTGGCCAGTGCCCACAGTGCATGTTGGGCAAGTGACAGCATCGAGTTTCCAGGGCAGCTGCCCCGCGCCCTCTCACTCTCGCCCGGGGGGCTCCTGGCTCGGTGGTGGCCCTGCGCCCACCCCTTCACCCTGTGCCCTGGCCCTCAGCCTGGTGGAGCTGACAGAGGACATCCTGAAGCTGCTAATGGAGCTGGTCTTCCGCCTGGTGTGCAGCGGGGAGCTCAGCCTGGCCCGCGTGCTGCGGAAGAATATCCTGGACAAGGTAGACCAGAAGAAGCTGCTCAGGTGTGCCAACTCCGACCAGCCCCTGGCAGCCAGGGGCGTTGCGGCCAGGTGAGGAGCCCACTGCCCGCCCACGGCCTCACATTCCCTGACCGTGTGCCTCGGGAAAGCCCCGGGCTCCCTGTGGCTGGTCCCCACCCTGGAGCCTATGGCAGTGCCTGCCCGGCACCCAGCCCTGAGCGTGCTTCTCTGCCTCTGTGCTCCAGGCCCGGGACCCTGCACGACTTCCACAGCCACGAGATTGCTGAGCAGCTGACGCTGCTGGATGCTGAGCTCTTCTATAAGATTGAGGTACAGAGGAGCGGGCAGCATGGGGGCTCTCGTCGCTCCCAGAGAGCTGGCGCCGCAGTGCTGTCTGGCCTGTCTCCCCCTGCAGATTCCTGAGGTTCTGCTTTGGGCAAAAGAGCAGAACGAGGAGAAGAGCCCCAACCTAACCCAGTTCACGGAGCACTTCAACAACATGTCCTACTGGTGAGGGACAGTGGCACGTGGGCACTAACCCCAAGTGGAAGAGTGGCAGGGGAGGTACCAGAGGCTCCCTGAGTCAATTCCAAGCACCGCCACGGTGGATTCATGGTGCCACCCTCTGCCTGCCAGCGGCTGTCAGCACCGTCAGGGCTAGGGCTCACCCTGATGGCCAACGGAAGTCCAGCTGGGGCCGGAGCGGATCTATCAGTTCTTTTCTGTGGCCTTAATTAGCCCAGCACTGTGTTCACGCCCAGGCCTCTTGGCTTTGAGGACAGCTGGGCAGCCTTGTCCTGCTGCAGCAGACCCCGCCCCCATGGCCCCTGCCCAGGGGACTGCGGTGTTTCTGAGGCCCCTGGGCCGCTTATTGGAGGCAGAGGGCATCCGTGCCCACCTCCCCTCTGCCTGGGCACAGCCCCCTCTCGGCCCCCATGCTCACCACCCGAGCCAGCACTCAGCTCAGGTGCAGTGTCTTCTGGGCCAGACAGAAGCCCCTCATGCGCCCTGGGCGTGGCCTCCAGGCACCCGTAGCCCTCTGCTGAGTGCCAGAGACGGGGGCTTCCACATCCATGGTGCCCCGGTGTCCCTGGGCAGGCGCCTGTTATGGGCAGAGGGCTGATGCAGATGCAGTGCCTCCCGGGTCGCCCTGCTAGGGCCCTTGTGAGCTGCAGGAGGCTGAGGCCACTGTAGGGTTCACAGGGCACCAACCAGGCTGGCCTTTGGTCTGGTCTATGGTTTCGGGCCTGGCCTCTGCTGGGCTCTGCAGGGCCCGGCACTGTGGCTGCACAGTTGCTGCTGGTCTCCACTCAGCCCTGAGGCTGAGAAGGGCCCTCCTGACAATGCTCACAGGCAGCACTGGCCTCCTGCAGAAGCGCAGGCAGCTCGCCTATTCTGTGGGCACTGGGCCCCTAGAGCAGAGGCCACATCTCCCCGGGGCTCCCGGCCTGGCTTGAGAAGTGCAGGTCGGGCTGGGTGCCCAGGCCTCGTGCCCATCCCTCTCCACCAGGGTCCTGCAGGGTGACATCCACTCAGCTGCCACTCGCTCCTGCAGGGTCCGCTCCATCATCATGCTGCAGGAAAAGGCGCAGGACAGGGAACGGCTGCTCTTAAAGTTCATCAAGATCATGAAGGTAATGGTGCTGAGCCCCAGAGAGCTCAGGCCCTGCCGGGGAGGTCAGGGCCTTGAGGCCTGTGCTGTCCTCACCGTCCCTCCCCGCACAGCACCTGCGGAAGCTGAACAACTTCAACTCCTACCTGGCCATCCTCTCGGCGCTGGACTCCGCACCCATACGCAGGCTGGAGTGGCAGAAGCAGACTTCGGAGGTGGGTGGGCAGAGCTACTGCGGGCTGTGCTTGCTGAGTCCTGGCTCTGCCCTGGCCTGGCGGGTGGTTCCCTGGTGTCACATCCTGCACCTGGCTCCTGGCTGGGTTTCTGGGGGAGCGCAGGGGCGAGGCCCCGTGTGCTGTGCCCCCTCACACCCGCCCTCCTCTTGCACAGGGGCTGGCTGAGTACTGCACACTCATCGACAGCTCGTCCTCCTTCCGCGCCTACCGGGCCGCCCTCTCAGAGGTGGAGCCCCCGTGCATCCCGTACCTGTGAGTGAGGCGGCTCTCGGACGGTTCTGGGCCCTGTGCGTCCTTCGCCAGCCAGGCTCCCCATCTCCATCACCCTGGCGGGGATCCACACCCTCTCCCCGCTCCACCCAGGGCCGGGCAGAGGGCTCCTTTCCCCACATGTGGCACCGTGCGTCTTCCAAGTCCTCAAGCCAGGCTGCAAGGTCACTGTCACCGCAGGAGCCTGGGGAGCCGTGGGGTGCAGAAGCACAGAAGTGCTGGCCACATCACCCCGAGGGGAAAGGGCTGCAGAGCAGGACACTGGGATTCCATCCCCCACCTCGGGCTCTGTGCCGGGAGCTGCCTGCCTCTCGCCCCTGGGCTTCAGCCTCAGGACTCGGCAGCTCTTTCCGGGTCACTGTGCCTACAGACGAGGGCGCTCTGCCCACACGCTGCAGCCACAGCAGCTCCCTGGCAGTGCCTCGGGGCCTGCACTGGCACCTGGGGGCCTGCGGCAGGTGGTGGGGCAGAGTCTGCGTGGTGGACTCCAGCGCCTGGGTTGCCCCAGGCTCTTAGGCCCTGGTGGGGCTGCAGTGGTCATCGTGTGGCGGCTGCCCTGCTGCCCTCCGAGCCTCTCCAGCAGTAACTGGCTTCTCCGTTGTCCTCCCAGGGGTCTGATCCTGCAGGACCTGACCTTTGTCCACCTGGGCAACCCCGATTACGTAGAGGGCAAGGTGAACTTCTCCAAGCGCTGGCAGCAGTTCAACATCCTGGACAGCATGCGCTGCTTCCAGCAGGCGTGAGTGGCAGGCCGGGGCCGGGCCGGGGCCGGGCCGGGGCGGAGCAGGGAGGGGCCATCACAGGGACAGTGGCCGCAGCTGCTGGGCAGGTTCAGGACATGAGCAAAGGTGCCCTGCACTTGGGCGACTGACACCCGCTGGCCTGCCTGGCTCCAGGGCAGCAGGGGCCGGGTGGGCCATCAGAGCCCCTGAGGGTGGCCGCCTAGCACGCTGGCGCTGAGTGCAGCCCATCTCGGTGCCAGCGTCCTGTCGGAGTGAGGGCAGCCTCCGCGGTCAGGGAGCTCCGTGGCACTTGTCCTCCGAGCCCAGGCAGCCTCTGAGAGGGTGTGGCCGCCCCTCCCCGCAGGCACTACGACATCCGGAGGAACGACGACATCATCACCTTCTTCAATGACTTCAGTGACCACCTGGCTGAGGAGGCCCTATGGGAACTCTCTCTGAAAATCAAGCCCCGGAACATAACCCGGAGGAAGACAGACCGGGAGGAGAAGACCTAGGAGCGGCTCAGGCCGGGTCCAGACCGCTCGAGGGGCCCAGAGAGGACTCGGACTGCCTGGCCTGGCCCGGCTCCGGCTCCGGCTCCGGCTCCCTTCCTGCAGGAGCAGCCCAGGCCCTGGACCCCCAGGCCCATGGCAGAGGGAGCAGAGCGCAGTGGGGCCTCAGGACCGACTTGTGAACGGCGGCCTGGTTTCATTTTGTGCTTTTGCCTCGTGTTCTGCTCTCGCCCTCCCAGCCGCCTCTGCCTGTTCTGGGCCGGGCAGGCTGGTGGGCACCTGCTCTTCCACCCTGGGGATGGGCTGCACGTTTCACCAGAGTCATGACAGGCGGCCTCAGTGGCCCTGGAGCTGGCTGCACCTGTCACGCTGTGCACACCCCAGGCTCCATCGCTGGCAGCACTACGCAGCCCCTGCCCCCTGTGGCCCCCCAGGCGCAGCCCTGCCTGCACCCTCTGTGCTCTGGGTGCAGGGACAAGGAGCGGGGCTGGGAGGACTCGGCCACCAGACACTGCGGAGCTGGGCCAGTGCAGCCCCAGGGAGGGCCGCCTCTCCGCTGCGCTTGCCGTGTGCCTTAAACGCCGTCTCCTGTCTGTCCTGGTCCCCGGCGTCCAGGTGGCCAACAGGTCCCTCGGCAGGGGGAGCTGCCCGGGAGCCTGGCTGTGGGTGGGGGGAGCTGAGTCCCCAGCAGAAGCGCCCGCCCTCCCCACCAAGGTTGACACGGGCTCCGCAGGCAGTGCCCAGTGGAACCACCCTGTCCCCTGGCTCCACGGCCGCCAACCTGGGCCAGCGGCAGGTCAGGGTCCAGCAGTGCTATCGGCTCCACCTAGCCCGGGCCATTTCGCTTCCAGTGTAGGTCAGTCAGGACCCACCTGTGCTTCCCCAAGCCAGCGTAACGGAAGGAAGGATGGCGGAGAGCGGTGTCCGCCTGTGTGCGGAGCTTTCCACCAGGCAGAGCCGGGCGCTCTGTCCTTCTGGGCCTGCGAGCAGCTCTTGCCCTGAGAGTGCGGCTGTTTCCGCTCCCTGTCGTGTTGTTTGTCCTGTAAATAGGGGGAGGTGTGTGAGCTGTCCCCGGAGCTCCCCCGGCAGCAGTCCTGCTGTCTGGCTGGAACCTGTCACTTTATTATTTAAGGAGTGTGCGTGTGCAGTCAGGTTTGTGAACAGTGTTGTGTGGGTTGGGTTTTTAGTTTGCGCCCTCTCTCAGAAGTCCTCCCATTTCACCCCTGCCTGCTTCGGCCTCCACCCTCCAGCTCGGCGAGCTCTGCCAGCTCTGCCCACCAGGCCTAGGGTGGCCGCAGCAGACCCCGTGCCTGAGGAGACACATCCAGGGGCGAGGCTGGAGACAGGCAGCGTCCCTCAGTGACTGCACGCCAGCGTGGGCAGCGTGTGTGTGACTTACTGGCCAGCGGGCCGCCCTGGGAGCCAGGAGAGTCGGAGTGTCCCGTCCCCTGTGGACGCTCAGGGCTCCCTGCAGTGCCATGGGGCGGGGCCGGCACACTCCCCAGGCCCAGTCTGAGCCCCAAGCCTGACTCCTCAGCTCATGGCCCTGTGCCTGCCCGCCCCGTGACCGCCCTGGGCTCAGTGTCACCGACCCCACGGATGGCCCCACGGGGCATCTTCCTGCGGTCATTTCAAATGTGTCATTTTTATATGAGAGGAAAATAAACGTGCCCGCCGCCCGCTGACCATCCTGTCCGCGCAGTCCTGGGCTCCGGGCCTGGGTCACTGCCTGTCCCGGCCTGCTCACTGTGGCAGAATGTTCCCTCTGGGGCCACTGACCCATCCCCCAAGTCCCTGTCCCCTCCTGTCCAGAGCCCCTGTGCCAGTCCACACTCAGTGAGGCCGGGGAGGATGGGGCAGCCCGCCCTCTGCCCTCTGCACGCCCCCAGAGCCACGCCACATGCTGTCCCCCACGGGGCTGGGTCCCTGCCCACACCTTCCTGCAGTGAGACACCCCTGGGCGGCAGCAGGAGTGGTGAGCAGTGGGGCCTCTGGTCTCAGCGCTCAGCCCTGCGCCTGGGCCCGGGGCGGATGTCCCCCGCAGGCAAGCTGAGTCCATCCCTGGAAGGGGGGTGGCTGTCCCCAGTGGGTCACGCTTAGGCACGGCGGCGACCTGGCCAATCCTCCCTCCCGGGAGCGCCCAGGGCTTCGGGTGTCAGCAGGAAGTCCCGTCAGCCCCAAGGGGACCGGGCCTCTGATGGTCCTGTGCCGTCTGTGACCTCAGGCCGTAGGTGACCTGGGACCTGTGTGCCCCTGCGTCCCCCACTGCCAGCTCCCTCACCGCCAGCAGCTCCACACCTCATCTGGCCCCGACACCCAGAGGCCAGGCTGGCTCCTGAGGCAACCGTCGTGGCTGTGGACTGAACGCACAGGGTCCAGGAAGTCCCTCGCACCGCAGCAGGGAGGTGGGGCCCCGTGTGGCGGTGATGCCGTCCACTCAGACTCGGCTCTGGCTGGGGCCCTGCGTACACAGGCAGCAGCTGGAGGAAGACAGCCCTGGCCAGAGGCCCGGTCCCCACCACAGCTGATGCACCGAAGACCTCGGGAGCAGCTCCTCCACCCCTGGGCACCACTAGGAGCGGGCGTGGGGACAGCGTCGGCCTTGGGCCGTGCTGTGCAGACTGTGGGCACCAGAGCACATCTGCTGGCAGCTCTTAGGTGCCAGACACTCTGTGGACTGCTGTGCCTCACGCACCCTGGAGAAAAGCAGAATCAGCTTGGGAGAGCTGCAAGCCGAGCAGTGGTACACAGGTGAATCTCAGCACTCTGGGAGGCTGAGGCAGGAGGGTCACTTAGCGAGACCGTGGCTCAAAATAAGAAATAGGGCTGGGATACAGCTCCGTGTGAAGGCCCTGGGTTCATTCCTCAGCACTGGGGGGAAAAGGTACAAATAAGCAGGCTTTGGTGTTAAAGGAGTTAATTCTGGTCCAAAGACCACCCACCAAGCCATCCCCGGAAGGCTTGGCAAGATCGTGCCAAGAAACAAAACTTCAGCCCTACACGGATGGACTCCTGCTGCAGAAGAGAGAGGGGAAGCATTTCCCACCCTGGTTTGGGGTTTTTTTTATTGTGTACAGACCGTGGAACCCAGGGGTTCTCTACAGCAGACCTGTATCCTCAACGCTTTTTAGTTTTTGTTTATTTTTGGAGTTTTTTTGGTTTGATTTTTTGAGATAGATTCTCAGTATGTAGCCCAAGCTGCCGTTGAACTCGTGATCCTCCTGCCTCAGCCTCCTGAGTGCTGGGATGACAGGTGTGCACCACTGTGCTCTGCTTGGAACAGCTTGGCTGTCTCCTCCTCTGTCATCTTCAGCCTCATTAGCAGAGCTCATTAGAAATGCAGAAGTTCAAGCTCCAGTGAGGAGCAGAACCTGCATTTTAATCGGGTCCCCAGGACTCAAACACTTTAACACTCAAGACGCAGGGGCTGGGTGATTTTTTTGTTCTGATTTATTTAACAGTGCAGGGCATGCGTGAGGCCCTGGACTCAGATCCCAGTGCTGGAAAAAAACAATCAGAGTCCCGTGAGAAGAGCCTCGGCAGGTAGTTTCTGGCAGGTGCCCATCCTCAGATGTCGTCCTCTGCTCCTGTGGCTGGCACGGCCCCTCCTGGCCCAGCCCTGCCCGTGAAGGGGAGGCCACGCCTGAGGCCCCTCCGTCCTGTCTCCCGGTGCCTGGCGGTGGACGCTCCATGGTCAGTGGCCACTTCCTCCTCTCTGCAGGGGGCGTGGTTTCAGGACCACAGCAACCTGGATGGGGTGACCTGCAGCCGCACTGCCCAGAGGGGACCCAGTGGATCCCCCCGCTCGGGTGGGCAAGGCCAAAGCTGCAGATCACAGGGACAGGGACAGAAGCAGGGCAGGGAGGAGCAGCGAAGCCCCAGCACAGCCACTGGGCATCGTGGTGTGAGCAGCAGGCAGAGCTCTCTGTCCAGGGCCAGCAGCATCTCAGTGCCCAGGACAGGTGCCTGAGCCCAGCTGCAGACAGATGCTGCTGTAACCGGAAAGGAGCAGGAAGAGGCAGTGTCCCCAGAAGTCCAGGCACCACTTCCTGGGACCAGGTGGACACAGTGGCCCCGTTTCTGGCTGTGGCATCAGTAGAGGAGACTGGCCCCTGCCCCTGTCCCTCAGCAGCTGCCAGGAGGACGGAGGAGCCAGCACCTCTCCTCTCCTGGGACAGGTGCACCACCTGGCAGGGCTGGAGGCGACAAGTCCTTCCAGGTGGCTGTGAAGTCACAGGGCTCCGTCCCACTGTGGACTCTCAAGGTCAGGACAAGGGTGAGGGTCCCAGGGAGACCTTGGAGGAGGCTCGGGTGAGCCCTGTCCCAGGGCCACCGCAGATGCCACGGCCTGAGGACAGCTGCCAATCCAGCCTCTTTGCCTTCTGTGAGCAGCAGCTGGCCACGAGGGCATCCGAGTCCACAGAAAGGGGTGGCCAGGCCGTGACCCCAGGGCACCAGCCTCAGGGGAGGTAGAGGGCCACCACCATGTAGATGACCCAGCTGGTGGACACAAAGACCCCGAAGAGCAGGCTGAAGAGCACCAGCGAGCGGGCCTTGCGCGAGGTCTCCTCCGCCTGGGCCAGGTCACCCCTTCCCAGCGCCGCCCGGGTCTGCAACAGGACGGCCGGCGCGGGGTGGGTGAGTGAGGGCCTGCCAGGGCCACGGATGGGGTCACTGCACCCGGCTTGCGGACGGAGGGACAAGGCTCATCAACTTGGCCAGGGCCTCACAGCCAGGGTGGCCAGGCCAGCCTGAGCCCAGGCCCCTAGCTTCCTGCTGCTGGAACGTCACCCGGGCCCGCACCCTGTGCCACCCTGTGGTTAGCAAGGTCAGGAGGGCCCCGGGAAGTAAGGAGATGCGGCTGGAGGGTGAACAGGTCAAAAGGTGGATGGAGGGAGGGAGGGCGGTGTGGCTGAACAGAGTGATGGGTGGACGAACAGGTAACGGATGCATAGAGACACGGGTGTACAGCGGGTGGGCAGAAGGATGGAGAGGTGGATGATGGATAAGCGAGCAGGTGGGTGGGCAGACAGCGATATGCCTGGATATAAGGGTGGGGGGGGATGCACAGCTGAATCGGATGGACGGGTGGCGGAGCGGGTGAGTAGGTGGGTGGATGGCGGTGGATCCGCAGGTCAGTGGAAGAGTGGGCGGGTGGGTGGAGGGATGCTATCAGGGTGGTGAGCGGTGCAGATGGCTGAGGGGCTGGACAGGCGAGAGGGAGGCAGACCCAGGAGCTTCGTGGGAGGGCAGCCCCAGGCCCGGCCTGAGAACCCTCCCGCGCAGCCGTGCAGGGGTGCACAGGAGGGGAGCGGGTCCCATCCGAACGGGCAAGGCCCTCCCAGTGCCCGCCCTCTGTGGGAGCCACCGGAGACCCCGTCGGCCTGGCAGCCCCGCCCCGCCCGCCTACCTCGTGGGCGTAGACGACGGCGATGAGCCCCGTGAGCAGGCAGCAGAAGAATGTCACCAGCACGGACTCCGCCATGTAGTCCTTGGGCGGCGCCCTGTGCTCCCCCGGGGCAGCCGCGGGGCTGCAGTACTGCGACACCGAGAGCGGAGGGGCCCTCAGCTCCGCCCCGCCGGGGCCTGCGCCCTCCCACTGGCCTCTTCTTCCTTTCCTTTTCTTCCCTTCTCTTCCTTTCCGCCCATGCCCCCTCCCTCCTTCATTCCTTCCTGCCTGGCTAAATTGCTCCATTGCCCAGGCTGGGCTTCAGCTTGCGATCTGCCTGCCTCAGCCTCTTAGAGTTCTGAGATCACAGCCATTGGCCACCAGACCAGCCCTCACCCCCAGCCCAGGGTCTCTGAGCCCCCACCGTGGATCCCGAATTCTTCCTCCCCACGTAGCCAAACTTGGATCTCCCCTCCCGCTCCTTCCCGAGCTCCTGTTCATCCCTCAGAACCCAGCCGCCCTGACCCAGCCATGCGGGCCACTCACCGCAGGGAAGGTGTAGGCGCCGGGCACAGTGGCCGAGAAGAGCGGGCCGGGCGGGAAGAGCGCAGCGGGCGCGGGCGGCAGCAGCACGGGTGGCGGGAAGGGAGCGAAGAGCGCGGGCGCCGCCTTGGGGTCCAGTGGCGCGTAGGGCGGGGGCTCGGTCGTGAAGCCGATGTGTGGGACGCTGCCGGCCGCCTTAGGCCCCGGGGACGGGGACGAGGCCGTGGGGTCCCCGGGGCCCGGTTCACCGCCCCCCGCCACCGCGTCCTCGTCGGGCGCGTGGGCCTCGTCCAGGAGCCACGGGCGGCGCGGGAGCTGCGGGAGCGCGGGGTCCGCGGGCGACTCAGGATGTTCGGGGTCCCAGGGGCTCTCGGGGTCCTCGGGGCGCGCGGGGCTGCTGCCCCCCTTGGTGTCGGGAGCTGAAAGAGGACAGACTGGGACCCCAACAGCCCGCTGTGACCCCAAGGCCCAGCCTCGGGGCCTCAGGCCCCTGCACCTGGCCCGGTGGGACAGACATTGGGCAGCGGTGCTTGGCCCACGGAGACGCCGTCCCTCAGGAGCCTAACGGGGCCCAGAGGGGACCCCTGGCTCTGCGGGAGGGGTTGACAGAGCAGTGTGCCCGGGGCTGGCTCGCACGCCCCGGAAGTCACGCTCCGGACGCCCTGAGGTGTCCTGGGCTCGCGCCAGCTGCACAGGGTGGGGACAAACCCAGGCTGGCATCCGGGGCCATGACCTGTGACCCGCCAGTCGCGGACCTGGGCACGAAGTTGTCCCGGCCCAGCCAGCGCCCTTGGGACCATAGAGCACCCACCATCCAGGGCCCGGGCAGGGTCACCGACAGCTAGGACAGCGGCCAGGCCTCCAGGGAAGAGCCAGACAGAGCCAGCTGAGAGCCCCGGATGTTGATGTTATCAGAAAAGACAGCCACCCTACCCTGCCCGTCCGGGGACAGCACCAAGCAGATCTGTGCGTTTTGAAAAAGAACCACATGGAGACTTTGAACTAAAATTCGTAACATCTGAAATTTTTAAATTCACTGACAGCTGGCTTTGTGGGACCCCCTGTAACCCCAGCACTCTGGGAGGCCGAGGCAGGAAGATCACAAGGTCAAGCCCAGCCTGGACAACTACAACTTAGCAAGATCCTGTCTCAAAATTTTTTTAAAAAACTTTTTTAAAAGGCTGGGGATGTAGCTCAACACTCCCTAGTACAGTACCTGGTACTGCAAAACAAACACACTAACCAGCCAGTTGCACACATCTTATGAAAAGCACGAGACCACCCAGGACAGCCACACACGTGTGTGCACAGCAGCCTGGCCCTGGAAACAGCCCACACGTCCCTGGGCGTGAGCAGGAGTGTTCCTGGGCTGTCCCCACACCAGCGGCACGGCCCTGAGCTGCAGCCCTGCTACTGATGCTACCGAGGCTATCGGGCAGCTCCCCTCTGGCATGTGTGCCTCACTGTGCGACCTGCTCACAGGCAGAACTGGAACTGGCCACAATCCTCCCGCCTCAGCCTCCTGAGTGCTGGGATGACAAGTGTGCACCACCACTCCTAGCCTGAGATTAGCTTTTAAAAAACAGCAATTCTAGGGCCAGGGATTTAGCTCAGGGTTTCATCACCTGCTGCGCAAGTGCAAGGACCTGAGTTCAATCCCCGGTACCAAAAAAAAAAAAGAGAGAGTTATAAAAAACAGCAATTCTAGGGCTAGGGATGTAGCTGGAAAGCACAAGGTCCTGAGTTCGATCCAGGTTCTGGAAAATAAGTAAATAAAGAGAAATAAAAATGAAAACAGCAACTCCAGGAAGATGCAGGCACCAGTCCCGAGAACCTCAGGAGCGGCCTTAGGCACCAGGCCCTTCTCCCCACAACCAGGAGGAGCCGAATTTGCCGATGAAGGAGCCAGGAAGCCAAGTGCTCAGCCCCCAGCACCAGCTGACCCACGGGAACTCCCAGGAAAAACCACTGTTGATGGAAGCTTAAATGTGGGGACCGGGATTCGTTACAGGTAACTGATGCAACTACTCCACAGTGAAAAGGAAGGATCTAGGCCGGGCGTCGCGTGCACACCTGCGACCTTGGCACTCTGGGAGGCTGAGCCAGGAGGCTCTCCAGTTCCAGCCCAGCCTGGGCAACTTAGCGAGACCTCGGCTCACAATAAAAACTAAATAAAGGGCTGAGGATGTGGCTCAGAGCAGAGACCTTGGTTTCGATCCAAAGTACTGCAAAAAAAAAGGAACAAACTCTGGACACAAACAGATAAATCTCACGAGCATTACGTTGGCTAAAGAGGCCACCGAATAGAGTCGCTGCTGCCTGAGTCCACGAGATTCAGTTCTAGGAGACACAGGCTTTGCTGAAGCAAGAGGAGCAGTAGCTGCCCAGGGCCTGGGACCAGGAGGAATTACCAAGGGTACAGGAAACTCAGGGGTGGCATCAGATGCTCATCTGCAGCCATGACAGCCTTGCAGGTACACAATATAACATTGCATAGCTCGAAACACATGTTTTAAATATGTGCAGTTCAGTGGGCTTGGGTTATACCTCAGAGCTAAAACATTAAACGAAACATTTGGGGGAGATGACACAGGGTCTCACTGTGTAGTTCGGGCTGAACTTGGACTCATTGTGTAGCCCAAGCTGCCTTCAAACTTGTGGTGATCCTCCTGCCTCAGCCTCCCGAGTGCTGGGATTCTAGGCATGTGCCACCACGCCCAGCATAACAAAACAAACAAAATAAAAAACTTTACATGAGGTCTTGCAACCAGGAGTGGTGGCACCCACTCTGGGACCACTGTAGGAGGCAGAGGCAGGTCACACCTTCACAGGCTGCCTGCTGGACGGGTCACAGGAAGCACCCAGGGGGAGGCTGCCAGTCCCCTGCCAAGCTCTACACAGGAGTTCTACTGCTGAGCTCCTCCACCCCCAGCCTCTTAAGGTTTGCGGCAGGATCTCACTGAGCTCTCTGCACTGGCCTGGAACTTGAGATCTCCCTCCTTGCTCAGCAGCTGGGACGGCAGGCTGGGCACGGCCCAGCACTGTTGTGATCCCCAAGTCACAGAGGGAGCTGGGGTTCCCAGTGGGGACTCAGGGTCTCGGACCCCAGGCGGAGGCCAGGCACTGGCACGGGGATGCCAAGCCCGCGCCCCAGTTACCATAATAAACGGTTTCCTGGTCCCTGGGGCAAATCCTCGGCCATGGTAGATAGGGTGGTGGCCAAAAGTAAAAGAATGTGGACTTCTCAGGTTCTCAACACCCGAGCCCGGCAGGCATTGCAGCCAGGAGAGGCCCGGAGGGGACAGGGCTGGATTTGGGGGACCTCGGGGCCCCTGGAGCAGGGCAGGTGGGACCTGGTGGCCCACAGGCTCCCTGGCTCGGCCAGGCTGTGGAGGACAGGGTGGGGGCCGTGGGGACTCTGCTCCTGTCCTGCCCCTCCATGTCCCCAGCCCGGGAGCCCTGGGCAGGGGGTGCCGCCCAGTCCCGAGTCCCCTGGCTCCTGGGTCACTCTGTGGGGTCCTCGTCTCCCTCCAATCACAGCCCCAGGGTCCCCGTACCTCCCCCAGACCCAGCCTGGCCCCAGGGGGAACAAAGCGACCAGTGCAGATGTGGCGGGGCACGCTGCGAGGTCCCCAGGTCCCCCCGCCCACAGCGCCTGGACCCCGCACCCTGCAGCCACCCTGTCCCCTCTGGGGTCTCGGGGTCCCTGCTCAGGGTCCCCACCTCCCTTCACTGGGCCCGCAGCCTCACCTGAGTCCATGGCGCTTGGCCTGTCCCACCCGCTCAGGTGGCTCAGGTGGCTCAGGTGGCTCAGGTGGCTCAGGTGTCCCGCAGCCGCACCGCCCGGTTAATAATTCACCGCTGTTTGCCAACAGCCGAGTCCCCAGGTCGGTGCCTGGTGTGGCGGGAACCTGCGGTGTGGACCCCAGAGCGGGACCAGCTGGGGACAGGACGGGGCCTCACGGAGCTGGGGACCCGGGGTGCAGGGGGAGTGGCCATGCCGGGAGGGCCAGCGGGCGACAGGCAGTGGCTAGGGGTGTTTGTGACAGCCACACACCAATCTTCTATTATAGCTGTAGCCCACCCAGGAAGCTAGAAATGTTGATTTTCCTGTGAAATTTCATAAGATTTAAAATAATATGCAACCCAGGCGTGGTCCGCACACCTGTGATCCCAGCACTTGGGAACGACGCATATTCCAGGCCAGCCTGGACTACATGTCTCTAAAAAACCCCACAAAGGATGGAATTAATATGAAAAATGGAAACAAAGTCTTTGTAAATAGGGAGGGTGGGGGGGAGGGTTCAAGGGAGGGCAGGGGAAGGGGGAAAAAATAAGAACCAAGAGAGATTATGTAAAGGTGTAAATAAAATTTAATTTAAAAAATAAACAAACAAAATAGAGATATAGAAACTAACCAAGGATAGGAACCATTTTATTTATTTACCTATATATTTATTTATTTTGGTACCAGGGATCGAACTCAGGACCTGGAGCTTTCAAGGCAGGCAGCAGCACCACTGAGCTAAATCTCCATCCCCCACCAAGGATAGGAATCAAAAAAACTCAAAAAGGGTGCCTGGGCCAGGCGGGCTATGACCTACACTCCCAGCACTGGGGAGGCTGAGGCAGGAAGTTTGCCAGGAATTTGAAGCCAGCCTGGACTATGCAGCAAGGCCCCAAAAAGCAATCAAGCAAAATCTGAAAATCAGTCAATCAACCAATCAATCAGGTGCATGAACTTTGCCCTGAAAGGTACTGAGGTACAGACTCAGAAGCTGGGCCCGATGGAATCACCCAGCAGAGCCAGGGAAACACGTGTGACACAGCTGTGCAGTGCTGGCCACCAGCAGGTGGTCAGGAAACAGCCAGGAGGCCCTGGTGGGTCACTTGTGCCTCGGGACAGCGACAGGACTGGAAGCCTGCGGCTGCAAGGCCAGGGGAGGGACAAAGATCGATGAGCGGAAGGTGGAACCTGCCCCTGCACACACAGGTGGAGGACGCTGCCCTGTGAGCAGGCTTGGGGTGGGCAGGCATCCCCCAAGCATTGTGCCCGCACCCCCGTCCCTCAGAGGTGTGGGGTACAGATGGAGCTGCTGCCCGTAGTCCAGAAACCCTATGTACGCTATTTTTCATTTTGTTTTGTTTTTTGAAATAGGGTCTCGCTATGTAGCCCAGGCTGGCCTTGAACTTGAACCAGTCTTCCTGCCTCAGCCTCCCAAGTGCTGAGATGACGATGTGCACCACCACACTTGGCTCAGAAACCCCTATACTAGAAACCGACGTTAGAAATAAACAGAGGGAGGGGCCGGGGATTTAGCTCAGTGGTTCCAGCACATTCCTCGAAAGCACAAGGTCCCGAGCTCCATCCCCGGTACCAACCTCCCCCCAAAAAAACACCCCAAAACAAAAAAAACAGAGGGAGAAGGACATGGTGGTGCATATTTGTAACCCCAGTACTCAGGAGGCGGAGGCAAGAGGATTACAGAGGGTTCAAGGCCAGCCTGGACTGCATAGCAAGACCCTGTCTACAAAAAAAGTGAAAAAAAACAAAGGAAGCAAGTCCAAAGGCCCAGGAGAGGACAAAGACTGAGTGGGTCCTGGGACTTGGGCTCCAGCCTGGAGAACTGTGAGAACATGAATTCCTGTTGCTTAAGCCACCGTCTGGGGCGATTTGCGAGCCAGCTGGTGCAGACGAATACCCTTGTAAGCTTGGCTCAGCCTCTCTGACGTGGGGCAGGGTTTGCTTTATCATTTGTGATCTCCTCTCTTGCATGACATGCATGTTTGCCTTTTGCTGTCCTTTTTCCTGAATATTTGAAAGTGTGTTGCATATATCATGGCCCTTTGTTCCTGAACACCTTAGTGTGTTTCCTAGGGATAAGGCTGTTACACACTGTAACACAGCTACCCATTTCAGTGAACTGAAATTGATTGATTGATTGATTGATTGGTTTTTTGAGACAAGGTCTCACTATTGAACTCACTGTGTAGCCCAAACTCAGGGTGATCCTCCTGCCTCAGCCTCCTGAGTGCTGAGATTACAGAAGTGTCTCCCCATGTCTGGCCCTTTCTTGTCTTTAAACAAGATTATGCACTTCCTTGCTTGGAGTGTGTGAAAACGTGTGTGTTGGCTTTCTGCACCTGCTGGCACCACACGGGCCTTCGAAAGATATGTCCTCTCTTTATTTCTGATGTGCCCCCCGAGGAAAGCGGTAATAATGGCAGCCACACCCCAAGGTTTGTTGTCAGAGTGAGGCTTTGGTGCAGCTGAAGGTGGACGACCAGGGACCAGGGCTTGCTAAACTGTCACCACGTCATCCAGCGATACTCGCTCCCTGGAATCCAGGGCCCCTGGTCTCCTCTTTAAACGCTGAGCCAGTGACCAATAAAAGCTCGAAAGGAAGCCAGGTGTGGTGGCGCACACCCGTAATCCCAGCACTCAGGAGGCTGAGGCAGGAGGATCGCTGTGAGTCCAAGGGCAGCCTGGACAAGTATACAGCAAATTCCAGGAAAACCTGTATTTCATGGCGAGACCTTGTCTCAAAAACGCAAAAACAAAACAAAAGCTTGAAGAGGAGACTGGCACAAGCTGACACTTGGGGGCGTCTGGCTGAGTGAGGGAGGGCCGCAACATATTTCCTGTGTTTCTGTGTTTGGGGGTGGGGGAAGATAGAGAGGCTGAGAGGGAACCCCGCCGTGGAGACCCCGGGTCCCCTCCTTGCCCCCAGCCTCCTCCTCCAGCAGCCGCACGCACACACACGCACACGCACGCACGCACACGTGTGCTGTTCGGGGTGAGAGGTGGGGCCCAGCAGGCAGTGCTGTCCTTGCCCTCCTGAGCTTCTGGGGACCTGTCAAGGAAGTGGGGGCTGTGGGGGCGGAGCACTGGTAGGGGGCCGAGGAGGAAGTGTCCCCCGCGGGGGAAACACCTTGGTCCCACTCTGCCTCCCAGCAGACCTTGCGCCGGCTGGCCGGGCAGACACCGGAAGTGTGGACGAGGAGCCCCTCCCCCACTCACACTCTCCAAAGCCTCTTTCCTGTGCAGGACAGGGACCCTCGCCAATTGGAGATCCGGGGCTGCTTGATGTGCAGGGCTGGGTCCACCCCACAGCGCCCCCCCAGCCAGGGACCAGGCGTCACTGGACAGTCCCTGGCCAGGCTCCACCAGCTCCACTGCTCCAACCCGGAGAGCTGGATGACAGGGGAAGGCCTGGCAAGAAACTCTGTTCCTACTCTTCCTCGGAAGGAATGGTTACCATTAGAAATCAAATAATAACAAGTGCTGGTGAGGCTGTGGGAGGAAAGGAAGCCTTCTGCACTGTAGGTGGGAATGTAAACTAGTACAACCACTGTAGAAATCAGCACGGAGAAGCCTCAGAAAACTGAAACTAGAAATTCCATTTGACCGGTGCCGCAGACCAGCCGCAGTCGATGCAGGGTAGGAAGGGGAGAGGTCTCGGGCCGTAGAGTGAGAAAAGAACCGTTGCAAGCAATGTGCAGGTTCCCTCTGAGAAGTCTCAGGGTCTGATTTATTTTTATATCTCTAAGCACTAGCGAGGGAGCATTGGGCGGAACATGTTTACATTTTAGGTTGCCTTAGCAACATCTAGTGAGGTAAGGTTATTTTCACTAAACAGTATGTTTCTCTAAGCTGATTCATTTCATCGAACATCATGAATACATTTCTTAAAAATCACAATTGTCCCCTTATTTTCCCATACCTAGGTAGAACAAAATGTAACTTAATCAAAATCTCCAGAGGGTAATTTAATTAGAATCTCTATAGCAGCGGGGGTACAAGCAAGATTTAATTAATTAAATGTCAAACTTGTGGTCACCAGCTGGCCCTTGAGAAACTGCACAATGGTTAATATAGTTTGCTATTAGCTCTCTACTTTCCTATACCTCTATTTATCTTACCTAAGTGTCATTTGGGTTCATAGTTCATGAGCAGGAGATATTTTCAGCACTTTGAGAAATATTGAGTAACTTGCCTCCTTAATGCATTTACCTGTCTTAACTTTCTTTCTTTTTCCCATTTTCCACTATTTCTTACATCTAAAGTCTGTCCTTTCAATCTCTTCATAAGACCCCTTTAGTAAAAAGAATGTCAGCAATAAGAGGGGGAGTTATAGTAGTGGGGAACAGAGGGGGTTTTAGGAGAGGTTTCTTTAGAAGTAGATGAGGTAATAGAACTAAGAGAAACTGGAATTTGGGACTTGTGAGCCAGATCAGACTTCAATACATCATTGCCAATTTGTCTCATGGAGAGTTTGTTGTTAGTCACAAACACAATGACTCCTGTGACCAGAGTAACAATTATAAACATTATGGCAAGAAAAAATAAAACATGAGGGTACGATGTGTTCCCCCCTTTCTTTCCCCCAGCTGGAACTTTGTCAAGCAGCAATGGAGGTCGGTTGGGCTTCGCCAGACCAGCTACTCCCTTTGTAGGTTTCTTCCCCCAAAGAGTTAAAGACATAGGGCCAAAGATTTAGCTCAGTGGTTTCACTGCCTGCTGTGCAAGCGCAAGGACCCAAGTTTGATCCCCGGTACCAAAAGAAAGAGTTAAAGACATCATGTTTCAGTGATCCATGCACACCCATGTTTGTAGCAGCACGATCCACAATAGCTAAATGTCAGAAGTGGCCTCTATGTCCATCAACAGAACAATAGATAAGGAAAATGTGGTATTTACACACAATGGAATACTACTGTGGCATAAAGGATAAACTCCAGTCATTTGTAGGAAAATGGATGCACCTTGAGACCACAATGGTAAATGAAATAAATCAGACACACGAGCTTAAATACCACATGGCATCTCTTATATGAGAAACCCAAAGTATAAATAAGTTAAAGAGCAAAATAAAATAGAGATAGTAGGAAACAGGTCTTTTGCAAATAGGAAAGGAACCAAGAGATGAAGGGAGGGAAGGGGAAGGGGATAAAAGGAAAGATGTGTCCTGTGCACGCACCAGCTCTCCAAGAGGATGCGGTCCTTGTGGACTGCAAACGTGGCCTGGTACAAATAAAAATTTGAAAGGAGGGGCCGGGGATTTAGCTCAGTGGTTCTGGTGGCTGCCTTGCAAGCACAAGGTCCCAAATTTGAACCCCGTTTGAAACGAAAAGGAAACTCTTCCTTCATACACATTCCCAGCTGGCTTTGGGGCACAGGCGCCTGGCGGGCACAGCTGTTGGTTCAGGGAGGAGAACTGAGCCACCAGCAAGGGCACCACCCTGTGCCAGCGCAGTCCCACCCAGAGGCGTGGCTGAGGGACCTGGGGAGGGCCCAGCCGCTGCGGGATGGGTGACAGTGGTGACGTCCCGGGGAAGGGGCACCGGAAGAGCCTGGGTTTGGTCAGGAGACAGGGGAGGGGGCTTATCGGGCAGGGTGGGAGAGCTGAGACTGCCAAGGGGGGGGGCCCAGACGCCAGAGGGCTCCAGTGCCTGGCACGGCCCCGGCTTCAGTGCAGAAGAGACACGGGCTCAGAGCCTGCAGCCCCAGGGAAGTGGCTCGGGACAGAAACTTGGGGTGGGTCGTCCCTGGCAAGCCTGCTCCCGGCCCAGCCCTTTGCCATCTCGGGAACCCACCAGCTCTGGAAGGGGCTGAGGTCCCAGTGCTAGAGCATCAAGAATAATCCCAAGGGGCCGGGGATTTAGCTCAGTGGTTTCGACGCCTGCTTCGAAAGTGCAAGGACCCAAGTTCGATCCCTGGTACCGAAAAAAAAAGAAGAAGAATCCCAAGGGCTGGGGATGTAGCTCATTGGTGCTATCCCTGCCTGGCAAGCACAAGGTCCTGAGTTCAATCCCTAGTACCAAAAAAAATAATAATCCCAGCACTCAGGAGGCTGAGGCAGGAGAATCGCCTTGAGTTCGAGGCCAGCCTAAACTACATAGCAAGGGACTGTCTCAAAAAACAAAACAAAACAAATATAGGAAATCAGCTGGGCATAGTGTAGGTGGTCATAATCCTGTTCTCTGGGAGGCTGAGGCGAGAGGATCCCAATTTCAAGCTCAGCCTGGGCAACTTGGTGACTTAGCAAGACCCTGTCTCAAAAAATAATAAAGGGCTGGGGATGGAGCTCAGTGTGAAGGCCCTGGGTTCAATCTCCAGCACCACAAGACAGAAACAGGAAATAGGAAAATACAGGAATATAACTGGCCTGCAGTGAACGGCGTGGACAGACAGATACAGAGCCCAAAGCAGCCAGAACCCAGCCGTGCTGCCTGCCCCCACGCTTCATGCAGGGACCTCAGGGCACAAACCCTTCTTTGGAACCAAGGAAACTGAACCCTGTGTGGCTCGGGCCTGGCTCCTGGCCCACTGTGGGTCCCTTTGGCCTAGGGGACAGCGTGGGGCATCCTGGGCACCCGCAGGCCACACTGGAGGACCCAGCTCCTTACATGGTCTCCGCTGGCCGCGGGGCTCAGCAAGCCCGATGACTTCCTTGGGTGACTCCAGCGTCAGCACCAGGCAGCTCAGGCTCGGACGCCAGGACGCTGGGCCGCTGCTGTCCTTGGGGACACCTTGGGGACAAGCGATCAGAGCGCCCAACTCGCCTCTCTGACTGGGGTGGGCCCTGGGCCTGGGGGGTTGACGAAGGGGCCGCTGCCTTCTGAGCACTCCCTGCCCACCGCGCCCACCCTCCTCTGGCGGCACCAGCCGACCTGACTGGAGCAGGGGAGGGGACTGGGAGCCACGCGGGGCTCCAGGGAGGTGGGGACGGGCTCCGGCTGTGCTGGAAACCCGGACTGCCAGGGCGGAGGATGTGCTGCGCGGCCTGGAGAGCACTTGGAAGCCGAGGCGCGGGCCGGAGCAGGGAGCCGGCCCGGGGAGGGGGCACGGCCGGGCCCCGGAACTGCGGACGCACGGCAGAGCCCTGTGCAGCTGGGGTCCTCCTGCCTCGTCCTCCCCGCGGGCGCCCCGCCCCTCCCCTCCCCTCCCCTCCTGCCAGTCTCCCTCCAGTCCCCGCCCCGCCCGGCTCCGCCCCGCCCCGCCCCTCTGCCCTGTGACGCATGCGCCGCGCGCCCCGGAAGCGGCCCGCGCCCCGACCCCGGCAGCCTGGGAGGGCGGCGCGGCGGTCGGGGCCGGGGGCTGACATGGCTGCAGCAGGCAGCGGCGACTGCGAGGCCCCCGCGCCGGAGGCCGAGCGTCCCCACCCGCGGCCCTTCCTGATCGGGGTGAGCGGCGGCACGGCGAGCGGGAAGGTAAGGGCCGCGCCGGGCCTGTCGCTGTCCCCTGTCCCCAGGCGCGCGCCCGCGGTGGCGCGGTCCGGTCGGCGCAGGGGCGCCCGGCGAGGAGGCCGGGCCGGCCGGGGCCGGGGCGAGGCTGGGCCGCAGAGGCCGGGCGCGCGGGCAGCGATCCCGGGGTCCCCGCCTCCCTGCCGGCCCGAGACCCCCGCGGGCACCTGTGGCAGCGGGCAGGGGCCCCGGGGTCCCGCTGGCGTCTGCGGGACCCGACCTCTGCCCGCAGACCACCGTGTGTGAGAAGATCATGGAGCTGCTGGGCCAGAACGAGGTGGACCACCGGCAGCGCAAACTGGTCATCCTGAGCCAGGACCGCTTCTACAAGGTGCTGACGGCCGAGCAGAAGGCCAAGGCCCTGAAGGGCCAGTACAACTTCGACCACCCAGGTTCGGCACAGCGGCGGCAGGGCCCGGAGCAGCCTGGGCACTCGGATGATGGGTGGCAGCTGGGGAGGAGCTCTCCTGGCCTGCAGGCCCCGCAGGCGTTGGGGTGCAGCCCTGGGGGCTTTGGGGACCCCTCTCTCTGCCATCTCCCGCCTGAGGGCACCAGGACACTTGCTGCTGCGGCCCACGGGCCGGCAGGGGACCGTCACAGTCACTCCCAGAGGTGAACCACAGAGGCAGCCCCTGCGTCTTGAGTGCCTCCTGGGGTCCTCCGTGGCCTTCGTGCCCAGCCGTGCCCACCCCGAGTTCAGCTAGCTGTTCGCTCCTGTCCCTGCACAAGGGCAGCTGGGTTGTCGCCTTCTGCTCCATCCCTGCAGATGCTTTTGATAACGATTTGATGCACAGGACTCTGAAAAACATCGTGGAGGGCAGAACTGTTGAGGTCCCGACCTACGATTTTGTTACCCACTCGAGGTGAGCGAGTGGTTCCCGCAGGCCCTGCCGTGGGCGATGTCTGTGGACCGTGGCCTCATCTGTCCCCTGCATGGCATCAGTACCCCGGACTTGGTCTCCCCAGGTTGCCCGAGACCACGGTGGTGTACCCAGCGGACGTGGTGCTGTTTGAGGGCATCCTCGTGTTCTACAGCCAGGAGATCCGGGACATGTTCCACTTGCGCCTCTTTGTGGACACGGACTCTGACGTCAGGCTGTCTCGGAGGGGTACGGCGGGCTCAGTGGGTGCCTGGCAAGCCTGGCCTCCAGCCTGTGGAGGCTGAGCAAGTCCTGTCTCAACTGTAGTGCTCCGGGACGTGCACCGAGGCCGGGACCTGGAGCAGATCCTGACCCAGTACACCACCTTCGTGAAGCCCGCCTTCGAGGAGTTCTGCCTGCCGGTATGGCCCGCAGCGGTGCCCAAGCCCAGCCGCCCTCTCGCATGGGCGTGTGGTGCCTGGCCCTGTGCCAGCTGAGTCCTGCGTGAATGTCACTTGTCACTACACCTGGGCACACAGGATTAGTTCTCAGCTCTGCACAGTTGCTGCCCTCGCTCCCCCCATGGCAACACTAGCTCACCTCCCGCCTGCCCTGGGCCTTGCCATGAGGTCACCTGCATGTTGCTTATTCCCCTGGGCGACTCCGTATGGCAGGGACTTTTGTCTGCTCACTGCCCAGCAGACACTGGCTGCTCCTGCGGGGCCATGTCCCTGTGCTGCTGTGGGCTCAGCAGGCGTCCCTGCAGCTTGTAGATAAAGGAATTCACTGACTCTTCTTCCAAAGTAAGAGCTGGGCTTTGGGACACTGCTCAAATTGGAGTATTTTATTTTGAGGTTTGTTTGAGACAGGATCTCACTGTATAGTTCAGGCTGGTCTTGAACTCACAGAGATCCTCCTGCCTCAGCCTCCTGAGTGCTGGGATCACAAGCGTGCGCCACTAAGCCCCGATGGAGTATATAAAGAGAAATTCAACAGTATCTTGCCTCTTAGGTAAGAGTACAGCACAAAGGAACTGGAACGAGGATTCCTGCTTTAGAAAAGTAGGAGAAAAGAGCTCTGTGTGCTGCTATTTAAAGAAAACTCTTTTTCACATTCATGTTTCCTGGAAATTAATTTGGAAAGTAAATTAGCTGTTGCAGTATTCACAGAAAGTATTCACAGAAGGACATCTGATAGACTAGAGGGTTTGTAGAAGACACTGGATGCTGACTGATGCAGCAACCCTGGGTCACCCTGGGGCGGCTCCTGGCAAAGTCCTGTTCACCTGGCCAGAAAGCAGTCTCCGCCGAGGCCTATCTGCTGTGGGCACCCTGTTCTGCTCCCCCTGGACTTCTGAGCCCCGGTTCCCCTACCCTGTCCTGGCCCCTGCTGCCCAGTGTCAGCCCCCTTGCACCATGATCCCACCCTGCAGATATCCTGCAGATAGCTGTCCCCAGGGGTGACAGCTCCCTTGGTCCAAATTCACACACCTGGGTACCTGATACCGAGGCAGAAGGATCACTTGGTGGCCCTGACGCCGAGTGGCTGCTAGGGAGTGAGTGGCAGGGTAGTAGAATGGGTGGGCGGTGGGCAGCGGCAGCTGCGAGGCAGGGCCACCCGTGCATGCACCAGGGACGGTGCCCGGTCCTGTCCTGCCCTGCCTGCTTCTCCAGGGCCCTGGGAAGGCTGTCCAGGACTCAGGGAGTGGAGAGGTGCATGCTTAGCTGTCTCTGCGGGGTCCCTGGGAAGGGACAGCAGCTCAGCCAGGACACGCAGGGCAGTTTCCTTCACCTGCTGCTCCCTGCGTGGGTCACTGCCATGCACACCTGGCTGACACCTGCCGGGTCCCTGTCCCTCCCCTGCGGGTGACACCAGTGTCTCGATGCCTGGCCCTGCTGTTGCCCTGAGCACCCTGACGTTGCCTGGAGAGGATGGAGGTTCATGAGGACCCTTTGTGTCTTGCAGACAAAGAAGTACGCAGACGTGATCATCCCTCGAGGGGTCGACAACATGGGTAAGGACCGCCCACTCCCGCCCTCCCCGCTAGAGCAGGGCCCGTGCATCTTGTCTCGGGACGGAGCAGAGTTTGTCTGAGGCACAGGTTCCACGTGTGCTTTACAGACGTATTGAGAGCTGGGCACTGTGCCGTGCACCTGGAATCCCAGCTACTCCGGAGACTGAGGCAGGACGGTTGTGAGTGCCAGGCCAGCCTGAGCCACTTAGTGAGACCCTGTGTCAAAATGAACATGTAAATGTGGCTGGAGGCGGAGCTCAGTGATAAGAGTATTTGTCTGGCCCGTGAGGCCCTGGGTTCAGTACCCTGCGCTGCAGAAAAAGAAAACGTAGACCACACGTAGAGCTGCTGGGCAGGGCTGGGCACGCCCGCAGGAAGCCTGTGCCCAGGCTTGGTGTGCGCTTGGTGGACTGGGCCTGTGACTGCCACGCGGTTTGTCTGCCCCGCCTGCCCGGGGGCTCCTGCGCGCCGGGGGCTGACGGGGCACCGCTGAGCACCGCCTGCCTGTCCGCAGTCGCCATCAACCTGATTGTGCAGCACATCCAGGACATCCTCAACGGCGACCTCTGCAAGCGCCACCGGGGCGGGGCCAACGGGCGCAACCACAAGAGGACCTTTCCCGAGCCAGGGGACCACTCTGGGGTGCTGGTCTCCGGCAAGCGGTCCCACCTGGAGTCCAGCAGCAGACCCCACTGAGCGGACGCCTGGGGACGGGCCTGGGACACCCTACCCCGGAGCAGCGAGCACAGCCTAGTGGCTGCTCCTGGGTGGCGTTGGGACCAAGGCGTCCTTGTCCTCATCCTGGGGGCGGGGGCAGTCTGGGTAACGGGCTGAGGGCTGAGGTCACCAGCTTCCTGCTTCCTTGGGGAGGGAGGTGGGCGGCTCTGCGGTCCTGGAAGCACATGGGAAGCCTGTGGCCCCTGCTTCCTGTACTTTTGGCCAAGCACAAGCGGCCTGGCCACTGGCTGGCCTGGTGGTCTTTGACAGCAAACCCCCAGTGAGAGATCAGCCTCGCAGTGCGATCTGTGCACACGTGCATGTCACCAGAACATGCTCCGATGGGGCATGTGTCCTGCTGCTCTGTTAGCACAAGGCTGACTGGGACCTGGAAGTCTCGTTCCACAACCCACACTGGGCAGGCAGGGAAGAGCTGGGAGCCCGGGGCCAGCCACGTTTCGCTGAGCAGCCTCTCTTGGAAGCAGGGCCCCAGCCCAGGGTGCTGCCTGTGGAGGGCCGTCCCCGGGGGCGCAGGGCCACCTCAGATGCCCAGACTGCAGGCACCTCCCTTGGGTCCCCACTCAGCCTCCCGCGGTCCCACCTGCATCACTCCTCCCACGTGATGGCCCTTTTGGAAGCATCCTTTGCCCATGGCACGTGCTGTGGCAGACACTGGCTTCTCAACATGGTTACCCAGCCGTGCTGTGTGCCAGGTGGCTCTGAACCTAAGGGTCTGGGTGAGTCTGCCCCTCTGGATGAAGAATGAATAAACAGCTTCGGATGTGAAAGCCAGTGTGTCCCTTGTTTACATTTTAAAAGGCAAATTCGGGGCAACACGATGTACAGATGACGCAGACCTGGACTGTCTAAGATGCTGCTCGTGTGTGTCTCTGAAACCTCAGGCTACAGCAACAGGGAGGAGCTGCAGCCCAGCACGGCCGCCCTGCTTCCCATGGACCCTGTCAGGATGGCCCGGCGGTTAAGGCCTGGCTGCAGACTGGGCTGGTGGGTGTCCCACAGGAGGACGGGCCCTGCGGACTCAGACCCAACCTGCAGCCCAGGGAGGCCTAGGGCTCATGTGGGGTCCCCGAGTTTGTGGGTCCCTGGCCTCTGCATCAGCATCTGGGACAAGGGCCTTGCAGGGCGAGGCCATGGGGTGTAGTCTTCAGTCTGGAAAGTTGAGGTGCTCCCTGGAGAACTTCCCAGAACGAAGCCCAGCCACCTCTGGGAGTCACTGGGCCATCGAGGAGCCAGTGCTGGCGGCAGGGGAACGGATTTCTAAGGCACTGCATGTGGCACCTGGTCCTGGCCCTGCCCACAGTGTCCTTGTTCTAGGATTTCCGGATCAGGATGTCCCAGCTGTCTCTCCAGCGAAGGGCCAGGAGTTCTCCTGGGGTCAGCGAGCTGTCACCGTAGGTCAGTGGGCGCAGCTTGTTGGACACGTGGCAGGCGACCGAGTACCAGGCTACGACCAGGGTGCTGAAGAGGTGGCGCTGCACCCGGGACCTGCAGGCGGGCACCAGTGTGGATGCACGAGCACTGGCCCTGCTGTCTGCAGGTCACCTGCCTGCCTCCCAGGCCCTCCCTCGCCTACCTGCGCACGCCCCCAGCTGCCCACCTTCCCCACCTGGATGCGGTGACTCCACCCCTCACCACAGCCTCTCATTCCCCTGCACATGACACCCCAGGCACTGCAGGCCCGAGCCGCTGCACAGTCTCCGCGCGTACCCTGCTGGCCCTGAGCTCTCCCCGCTCAGCTGCCACACCCCACCATCCCGAGCACCCCACGGTACCCGGTCCCAGGTACATCGGCCACCGCCTGTCAGCCTGAACTTCCAGCCTGTGCCTCTTCTGTGAGTGTCGCCCAGCCGTGTCTCTGACGGTGGCTGCAGTCACCAGGCCTGACCCTGCCTGCCACCCGTCCCAGGCCCACACCTGCACAAGTGGTCATAGACGTGCTGCAGGACGAGTGGGAGCAGGAGCAGCTGGAAGGCGAGTGCGGGCAGGTAGTGGTAGAGGAAGAGCGTCTTCTCCATCAGGAAGAAGGGCAAGTAGTTCAGTGCCCAGCCGCCAGTGCACAGGGTCCCAGCCAGCACCCAGTGCAGCCACACGTCTGTGGGGACGCACAGCTCAGAGCAGCAAAGCCTTGGGGTGCCATGCAGCTCACCCCAAATCGCCCGCGAATCCCACCCCAGTGCTGCCCACCCTGGGGAGGAGGCTCGGCCTGGGCCTCCGTGAAAGCGGGGCCCGCAGGTCCCCCACTGAGCCCTGCCCGCACGGACGGAGGGGAGGGGAGGGAAGGGAGCAGTTCCCAGAGGGCAGCAGGGACGCGGTGCCATGCAGTCCTGCAGCAGCTCAGGGCCGGCCAGGGTCCTGGGGATGCTGCTCTCCCGTGGTCCTGCCTTCTCTAGCTCCAGATGGCTTCTAGCGCGGCTGCCCCGTGCTGTGCAGCCCTACCGGTGCGGGCGGGCGACGCACTCGAGCCAGGAGCCCTCCCTCGGCTTCCCTGCCACCTCCCGCCCCTCCCTGAGAGCAGTCTCGGGGAGGCCAGGTGGGCACTGACCCTCAGGGAGGTCGTGGACATCCCTCCGCCGCCTGAGCAGGTACCACAGGAAGAGCAGCACATAGGTGGCTGTGGCCAGGCTGGCCGAGGCCCAGATCACGATGTTCCCGACCAGGTGGATCTGAGCCTGGGAGCGGGGCCGGGCATGGGGCCTGCAGGTCAGCAGCACGAGGGTGCACCGAGCATCCCCACACCCCCAGCCTCCCTCCAGCGACCCTTGTCCCCCGAGGCCCTTCTAGAAGAGTGTGGACATCTCAGCTTTGTACTCAAAAATGGAAAACTAGGAGTGAGAGATTCCTTTTCTTCTTTTGGGGGTGTGGGGAGTCCTGGGGAGGCAACCCAGGGGCCCCCACAGGCTAGACTAGGGCTCTACTGCTGGGGTGAACCCCTGGCCCTTTTCATTTTTTATTTAGCCTAAGTTGCCCGCAATCCTCCTGCCTCAGCCTCCCGAGTAGCTGAAATACAGTGTGCATGACCATGCTCAGTTCGATATTCATTAATGACAAAGCTATTCAGGGAAAGATAACCCATGTCCCCCCAGAGCTGAGGGGAGCCCAGGCCTCTCACTGAGCTCCGTGTCATCGCCTGCGCTCTCTGCTGCACTGGGTGGAGGAGAGGTGAACGGCGCTTCTTGAGCCCCATGTAGTGATCACGGGAGGCCTGGCCACTGAGGGCGTGAGGACACATTGTGAAAGCCACCTCTGCCGGGGAGGTGTGAAGCCCCACTCTGCTTGGACAGGCACAAGTGCCAGGCCACTCCCTGCCACCCTCCCAGGCTGCACCTGGCTCTCCCTGCCACAGTGAGTTCTCCCGGAACAAGAGGATGCCACGCCTGCGGCTGCCACCCACTACCACCCACGTGCACTCACACTGGTCCTGGGGTGCAGCCAGTAGGCGATGCTGGTGTCCAGCGTGACCCACTCCAGGGGTGTGGAGCTGTACTTGTGCTCTGCGTCCTCGCCCCGCAGCGTCAGCATCCTCCACTGGAACAGAGCGGACAGGCTGGCAGGGGCAGCCGGGCACCAGGGCCCTGGACACGGCCAGCTCCTGCACAGGCAGTGCCGGGACGTGGACCCCGAGCTCCCTGTCAGCTACGGACGTTAGGACACCCTAGCGATGTCACACTGCCCGGCTGACACAGAGCCTCTTGTCCCCAACTGTTCTGACTACACAGCCACGGAGGATGGGGACAACAGTGTCACATGCGTCACTGAGGGGGGGAGGTTCAGGACTGACTGACCCGTGGCACTTGGTAGACAGTGCTTCCAGCGGGCCCACCTCCCTCCGCCTGTCACCTGCAGTTCCGAGAATCTGGCCATGAAGCTGAGGTTCCTGCTGACGTCCACCTGCGTAGGCGCATGCAGCTCCAGCTCCCGGTCCCTCTGCTCCTGGCCTGGGAGACACAGCTCCATCAGGGCCGGGACGGAGCCCGAGTTTCTGGCCACACGGAGCCCTGTGGCCCTCAGCAAGGCCTGCCCACGGGGACACACAGGCGCTGGACCCAGGCCACACTCACTGGTGCCGTAGCGGTGCTCCTCCACGTTCCACGCCATGCTCTCGTGGTGGCCCCGCGACAGCTTCTCACCCACCACCTCCAGCTGCCGAAAGCCCCAGTCGGGGAGGTGCGCCCCGCTCAGCTGGCAGACCCGAGGAGACAGCGGTGCATTGGGACTGGGCTCCCACCGGAGGGCTCCATCCCCCACCCCTCCCTGTGGCTCTGTCCAGCGTCCCGCCTGGGACCCCTGTGCACCTTGAGCACAGCAGAAGTATTCAGGTGCACGAAGCGCACGGCTGATAGGATGGTCTTCCAGGTGTCCCTGTCCGACTGCCTGTTCACGATGTCCTGCAGGGACATCAGGGTGCCGCCCCCACTGAACAGGCCTCAGTCCTCAGCCGGGAAAGAGGCGTGACGGTGCAGGCTGGACAGGGGCAGTCCCTGCGAGATGCACTCCCCTGGGGTGGCTCCTTGCTCCGGACCGGAAGGGGCCAGGCCAGCAAGCTCACTGTGGCCTTCGAGGTCAGGCTCCCCGCTTCCCCATTTGATTCCCGGAGGCAGAAGGGGCCCAGCGGGACCTCCCTCCCTGTGCCGTGGACTTGGCTGTAGCTAACGTGGGAGTGGGGATGAGGCATAGAAGGCAGAGGGGATGGAGGAGGACAGGACCGGGAGCAACAGGACGGCCAGGCAGAAGCAGGCCGAGAAGGCAGGACAGACAAGCAGCCCACAGACAAACGTGCAGCCGAGAAGTGGGGGGGGATGGGGGGGGATGGGAGGGGCTGTGCCTGCGAAGAGCCACCTCCGGAGCCCAGGCTCTTGGAGCAGTGCCTGTGGCCCAGCTGCCCAGGGAACAGGCACCAACGGATTCCATCCCAGGGAAACCGGGACAGGGACCCGGGACCAGGTCGGCCAGAGGCACTGCCCACGGGAGCAAGGCGAGTACCCGGAGCTGCACCCACGCAGGGCCAAGCTCTGGGACCCACCGCCCACCCCCCGGGCTGCGCAGAGGAGCCTGTGGCCTGTGAAGACAGCGTGACCCGCCCCACAAAGGAAGCCTCTCCCGACTGTCCACCGTGTCGGAATCCCAGGACCAGGACAGCGGCTCCCGGGAACTCACCAGCCTCCAGAGGTTCTGGGCGGGCACGGAGATGTTGTAGTCCACGTAGCAGGACACCTCCTGCGCGTGGGAGCTCAGCGGGGCGGCGACATCGTGCCTGGAGGGCCGAGGCAGGTGGAGCTGCTGGAGGTGCCTCCCCACCCCCTCCTTAGGTCGGCCCGAGAGCACAGGGACCCCGGGCCCTGTTTCCTTGGGCCCCACCTCCCGCACCCGGGGCACTCACGTGTTTAGGAAGCGCGTGGTCATGCCATGGACCAGCTGGACCACGTCCCCGTGCCGCACGGGCCTGGGCGGGTTGCTCACCACCAGCTGGTGCCTGTGGCAAGGATGGTGGAGCTCAGTGCCCTAGACCAAGGGACAGCTCACCTGGAGGGCAAGGCCGCACTGTCCCATCAGAGGGTCACTCCCGCACCTGGGATGAGGTGACTTTGTGTAGAACCAAGGAACATATGTTTAACTTTTTTTTTTGGTACCGGGGATCGGGGATCGAACTCAGGTCCTTGCGCTTGCTGAGGCAGATGGCAGAACCACTGAGCTAAATCCCGGCCCAACGTTGTTTTTTTTTTTCGCAGTACTGGGGATGAAACCCAGAGTCTGATGCCGGGTAAGCAAACTCTGTCACGGAGCTTAATCCCCAGCCCTTGACTTCTCCCTCTGAGACAGGGTGTCATTAAGTTGCTAAGTTGCCCAGGCTGGACTCAAACTTGAGATCCTCCTGTCTCAGCCTCCCAAGTAGTTGTGCTACACGTGTGTGCCACCGTGTCCAGCCCTTTACCATTTTTCCGAAACCTCAGGCACCTTCCCAACAGCCATCTGTGATTCCATTTGCTGCCATCACACTTGGTGCCAATGGCACAGCGACCCAGACCGTAGCTGCCTCCAGCCCCTCCTCCCGCAGCAGACCTCTAGGCCCCACCCTGCAGAAGTCCAGGCAGGGCCTAGGGAGTCCCAACAGCCCCACGGCGGCCACCGCCCTGCATGTCACCAAGGTGGTGACAAAGGGACAAGAAGCAAGCAAACACTCCAATCAAGTCAGTGAGCAGACCATGGACACGGGACGCCTGTGGAGACGGAGATGGAGGTGGGGCGATGCAGATGCCCCGGCAGAGGGAGATGGCCTGGCTGGCAGAGGTCATGGTGCAGCAGGAGGCCCTTGTGTGAAGGCTCCAGGCAGGGCGGTGCCCTAATGTGTGGAGCCCCCAGGGCCACCTGCACCAAGCAGGCACAGGCGTGGCAGCCGCTGGTCCAGAGAGGCAGGTGGTAGAGACAGACCAAGTGCCCGGGCCAGGCGTGCGGAAGGAAGGAGGGGCCAAAGAGAGGCTGGGCAGGGTGGTAGCCCATGTGACAGGAGGTCCTGTTTTGTGAGGTGGGGAGAGGTGGGCAGCCAGAGGGGAGTGGAGGGCTTCGCAGCACCTGTCACACTGCCGAGAGGCGAGGCCAGGCATCACTGAGACCCAGGGATCCGAGCCTTGGGCTTGCTCTCAGTGGCGCAGGGTGGGGAGCCCAGGCCACCCCAGGGCGAGGGGACCATGCAGATGGCACAGGCCAGGCAGAGTCAGGGGATGTCCGGCTGGATCCACACTCACCTCCCGGGGTCCTTGACGACCCACCAGTTGTTGACATCCTTGAAGGGGTAGCAGGTCACCTGCTGCTGGTGGGAGCTGCCCCGGCCATTCTCATAGCTGCATGGGGAGGTGGGCAGAGATCGCGTCTGGGGGCGGCTGGCGTGGGCCACAGGCCACCACTCCCAGTGGGCGAAGGGGACCCCAACAATACTGCCTGGCCAGGTGTCAGGGACAAGGGGACACAACACACGGGGTCCGAATCTCACAGGGACAGGAGGACGTGGAGGGGTGGCACTCAGACGGCCACCTGGTGGCTGCGCCCGGAGACCCGGCACCAAGTCCCCGCCAGGCTCACCACCAATGCCACCCATGCAAGGCACACGCAGCCCAGGAGCACAGTCCCCGTGGTCTCCCAAACACAGCCACAGAAAACGGAAGCCCTGACACACGCATGGCTGAGGCAGGACGCTTTCCTTACATTATGGGGTAGGTGTTCTGGTGGGAGTGAAGCCAGCAGGGCAGGGGCTTGCCGAAGATGTTCCTCAGCGTGACCTGCGAGCCGAAGGCCACCTCCAGGGGCTGCCCTTGGGTGATGCGGGCCAGTCCTCCCTGGGACAAGGGGCAGAGAAAGAGGCAAACTCCCCTCAGTACAGCCACTCCCCATCTGGGTGACGTGGGGCAGTGGCAGCTCTTTTTTGGGGGGCAGGGTGCTGAGACAGGGTCTCACTGCTATGTAGTTCAGGTTGGCCTTGAACTCACTACGTTGCCCAGGTTGATCCTCCTGCCTCAGCCTCCCGAGTGCTGGGATTACAGACCTGCACCCTTCCACAGTACAGAGCCTGATGAGAGTGCTGACAAGTGACTACTGCCCTGGGCCAGGCACTCAGCTAAATGTCCCTCCCGACCACCATGCACCTCTCACACTATCCTGGAAAAGGCAGGCGATGGCAGTGTCTAAGAGATGAGGAGGCTGAGCCCCAGTGCGGGGATGCAGAGCAGCTGCTGGTAGAGCCAGGGTGGGCGGGCAGCCCAGAGGCCCCACTCCCACCCACCAGCCCCCTGTGCAGGCCAAGGGTCCCTTATCCAGAAGGCCTGGAGCCAGGGGTGTTCGGATTCTGGAAGATTGCCGCAGACCTGAACAGCTAATCATCCCTAATCTGAAAACCCAAAATCTGAAAGCGAGGGTCACGCTCGCTCTCCAAGGAGTTCCAGTTCCGGCGCATTCTGCATTTCAGATGTGTGGACTCGGGCTGGTCCCTGTATACGAGCAAAGTGGGCCTGGTGATCACAGCCCAGGCCTGCCCTCGAAAGCTCCGGAAACTGCCTGGAATTTGCAGGACCTCATGATGTCCCCAGGCAACTCAGCTACAATCAGCCACCCAGCCTCTTCCGTTATCTCCACACCGCCTGGACGTTTGGAACGCCTTGAGAAACAGCGTGGCTGCCTCTGCTCCTCATTTCATGCTTTCCTTTAATGCTCCCTTGGCGCTGTGTTACAGAAGGCTTTGCGCCCATGGCTATCTGTATTGGGAGGTGACCCCAACACCCGACTTCTTACCTCCAAGCTGGCCTGGAAGGCGCTCGACATGATTTGGTCATGGGGTCCAGAGCGGCAGAGCAGTGTCAAGTGGATGTAGAAGAACAGTAAGTACAGGGTGACCGGGGTGACCAACAGGGCCACTGCTCTGGCGAGCAAGTGGTAGAGCACAAGGACCTGTGGGAGAGGTGCGGACAGCTGACTTCTGCTCCGCGGGGAGCATGTCCAGCCCGAGATGCTGAGGCTCAGAGAGTCAGGGCTGGAAGCCCCACCCAGCCCGGCAGGCAGTGCTGAAAGGGCCAGTTCCTGAGGCCCTGGAGGGTCTCTGCACCAAAACTCCTGGGGGAGAGGCCCAGTGGCCCCGCATAGGCCAGACTAAAGGGACACTGACTGGGCACCTACGTTGGACAGAGTCTGGTCTCCGATCAGGTGCCAAGCGTGGACAGCCGCGACGCCCAGCACGAGCAAGTAGGTGAAGATGCCCATGTATTTGATGCTGAAAGACAGGGGCAGTCAGGCTGGGGGCCGCAGCACACATCCAGGAACCAGCCCGCAATGGGGGGATCCACTCACCCTACGGCGCAGGCGCAGGCAACCCCTGTCAGCATCAGCCAGAACCACCAGGGCAGAGAGAAAGGCCTGCAATATAGGCGGAACAGTCGTCACTGTCCCCTGGGCAGGTGGGCAGGGAGGGTCCGTGTCTCCCACACGTCTCCTGGGCGGGCTGGCCAGACACGTACCAGGCACAATGAAAAGAGCCCCCTACTCCCAGTGTTTTATTCTCCGCAGATTTCTTTTCTGTTTTGGTGCCACTGGGGATGGACCCAAAGGGAGTGCTGAGCTACATCCCCGGCCCTTTTTACTTTTACTTTTGAGACACGGTCTCGCCAAGTCACCACGTCGTCCAGCTTGGGCTGTGGGCCTCAGAGTGCTGGGATTACAAGCGCCAAGAATTTCTTTTTTTGTCAGGAAAATTTTCCTTGGCTGGTTCAAGTTACAGAAAAATGAGGATGCTATTTTTTTTTTTTTTTTTTTGGTACCTGGGATCGAACTCGGGTCCTTGTGCTTGCAAGGTAAGTGATGGAACCACCGAGCTAAATCCCCGGCCCTGAGGATGCTATTTTTGCAGTCACGAGCCAAAGGACAATCCCCCAAATATAAGGTGGCCGCAAGATATTCAGCAAGCAAGTCCTCAAAATAACGAGCATCAGAAGCCTCCCAGAATCTGTTTGGAAACCAGGAAGGCCACGCTTCACTTCCCATACCTGTGTTTTTGGCAGTTGAAGAACTTCAGATAGGACAGCACAGCCAAGAGATTGAAAAATATTAACGGTGACTCCAGCAGCATGAGCCTGGACTGGGTGACCAGGGCGTTCTCTGTCACAAAGATGAGACGCGCGTCAGTCTGACAGTGGCACGGGAAACACACGAGGATGAAAGGTAGAAGGCGCCCTGTACTCTCTGGGACCGGGGCCGGGTCCCAGGGAGGACACCGAAGGCCACAGGTCCTCGTGTTCCTCACATAAGGCCCACAGACACCCTCTGGAGACTTCAGTCACCTCCCAGCTGCGTCGAACGCCATGCAGCCGACAGGTAAGGAGCCGCTATGGCTTGTTCAGGGAGTAACAATAAGAAAAAATCTGTACTGATTTGTTAGCTTTTTTGGATCTTTCTGATCCATGGTTGTTGATCTGCACAGGCAGAACCCCTGGATATGGCAGCAGCTTGGATTTAACTAAGGCAAATCCAGCAGCCCACTGTGGCCCAGAATGTGGCCCAGGGAAGTGCAGAAACAGGTAACTGGCTGAGGACTCGTTCCAGAGCCGCCAAGGCAGATTCTTAGGTCTGAAGCACATGCAGACCCCTGTGTGAATGCAGGCAGTCACTTCACTTTTCAGACCCCTTACTTATTTGCAGAAGTAATATCAACTTTGGAGAGCTGCTGTAAGTTTTGTTTTTTCAACTTTTTGAGACAGGTCCCACTATGCAGTTCAGGAGGGCCTTGAAATCATGTCGATCCTCCTGCTTCAGCCTCAAGAGTGCTAGGATAGCTGGGCATGGTGGCTCACACCTGTAATTCCAGTACTGGGGAGGCTGAGGCAGGAGGATGGCTGTGAGTTTGAGGACAGCCTGGGCTACACAGCAACACCCTGTCTAAGAGGAAAATCAAAGGACTGCAGGGATTACAGGCTGGGGCCACCATGCCCAACTTAGTCTAACTCTTCCTGTGACTGATCTCCATCTGTCCATGAGCCTGAGCTGAAAGAGATCTACTAATTCCTGACATCCCGACTGGCCAAGGCCTGCAGGTGGGGAGGGAGGGTCAGGGTCGGTGCCTGGCGCCGGTTTGCATGCGCCCCGACCACACTCTGGTACCTGTGCCTTCTGCAGCTCCACCTCTGCAATGGAGGCTCAGAATGCCCAGTCCCGCGCCCGCCTGGGGCTAAGGGTTCAGCCTGGATGGGGGGTCTTGCAGAGCCACATCCAGATGCACCGGATGCATCTGCTGATGCTGTGTGCCCACTGAACCCCGGAGCTTCCTCGCCGACCCCAGGAGGGTCCCCAAGGCTGGAAGTCCGGCATTCCTGCAGGGGCAGCCACAGGCAGGCCCGGCTTACCGATGAGCAGGAGCAGGGCAGCGCCCATGGCTGTGCAGTGGGAGAAACGCAGCTCCACCACGATCTGGTAGGCCATGGGCACTGACAGGGCTCCTGCAAGTGCCGGCAGCAGGCGAAGGGCCCACACTGGCACGTTGCTTGTGTATTCTGGAAAAGGCAGGCACAACCGCTGAGGGCCCAGACACACACCGGCCTCACAGAGGCTAACACGCAGCCTCCTAAACCTGGGCCACATAGCAGCCAAGCATGTGAACCACGCTTCCACAATGCTTTGCATCTGTTGTGAAACAGGGCTGCCTAGGCTCTGCTGACCCTCCTGCCTCGGCTTCTGGAGTAGCTGGGACTGCAAGTGCACATTACTGTGTGCCTGGCTGCTTTGAAACCACCTTTACACAGTCAAGAAATCACCTCTCACGAAATGGGAAGGATGACTAAGGATTCTAAATTAATGATTCCTTATATTTACCCCACCTATTTCCAAAACATCATGGGAACATACAAAATGTATACGTGCAAAACCTAAATACAAACAAATGCCAGGGGATATGTGTACCAATAGTTACTACAACTAAATAGTAAGATTTTTACCAGACTTTCAAACATCTTTCACTTGTATCTAAATTATTTACCATACCCTGCACTCTGATTCATAAACAGCCACCATTAATGCCCCTAAAAACCATGTCTTGATTCCATGTACACTTCAATAAGGAAAATAAAATTATTTTTTACCTGCTCCAATTCTGTTCCACAAAAAATTACCATCAAATCCTCCTAAATAACCTAAAACAGAAAATGAATTTTTGGAGTAATGTGACAGGCAATCAATATGGAAACAAGAGTTGTCACTGAGAAGGCTTAAATGTATTTGGGGGCCTGAAGGCAACAGCCACTTCCCTAAGGAAACCTACCTCCCAAAGCGAGTAGCATGTGGCCGAATGGTGGTCCGCTGTCGTCCAGAAAGAAGACCCGATTCATGTAAAAGGAGATGTATTGCCCGTAATAGACTTCATCAAAGCTGAAAAAGCCATACATGCTCTATTTAACTAGAAATCTGAACTATAAATGAGGATACACTTGTGTGTTTCTGTTTAGGTCAGTGACTGGCAGTGGTGAGATCTTTTGCTCCAACTCCATCTTGTCCCCAAATGCTCAGACACACACATAGCATCACTAGTCACAGGGACAGGGTGGAAAATTCACCAGGAACAGCTGGCTCTGATCCCATATAGGTCCTGTTTCTATTCCTAGTTTTGTGTATGTGTGAGTGGTACTAGGTATTGAGCCCAAGAGCTTCTTACTAAGCTATATCTTTGCCCCTCTTTATTTAATTTTTGCCCTTTTTATTTTGAGACAGGGTTCAACTTACTAAGTTGACAAGGCTGAGTTTAAACTAGTGATCCTTCTGCCTCAGCCTCCCACAGTGCTGATTACAGGTATGTGCTACCATGCTGAAATATATATATATATATTTTTTTTGGTGGTGCCAGGGATTGAACACAGGGCCTCACATGTTAAGCAAGTGCTCTACCACTGAGCTACACCCCCAGCACAATCTCTCCCTAGTTATTGGTGTTTTGTTTGGTTTTTTTTGGTACCGGGGATGGAACTCAGGTCCTTGGGGTTGTGCACCAGGTGGGGAAACCACCGAGCTAAATCCCCAGCCCTTTCCTAGTTTTTTTACTTAGGTATGTACTAACTACTGGCTGAGCTTCTAAACACCTTATAGGATGATGCTAATCCCACCTGCCCACACACCAGTGCATGACTAGGGCTATGAGATGAAATCAGACCTGTAACCCAACAAAACAGCTGGAAGTGGGAAAGGAAGATATACAGGAACCAAGTGCCAAAATGTTCTTAGACAACTGGAGAAGTCTGATGATAGCAAGATATTGCTATCAATTTCTTAGGCATGGTGACACTACTGTGGTTAGGTAACCTTTGCTTACTTTTAAAGACATATGCTAAATTATTTATAAATTGAAGAGAATGTCTATGATTTGCTTCAACTATCCCACTACAGGGAAGGACTTAGCTATAAGCTGATGGTTGTTGAAACAGGATAATGAACACACTGATGGAGGGTCATTTATGGTTCTCTCTTGTTTTGTATGTGTTTGATGTTTCCCATAATAAAATGTTAAATAAGAACATATATATTAGTTAGAAAACAGCCCTTCAATAATAACAGCAATAATTTCCTATTATGACCCAAACAGTGCTCTGGGCACTCTAAATAATAAAGACTAATCCATCCAAACCTTCCCATTCTCTGCCCTCCATTTTTGTTTGTTTGTTTGTTTGTTTGTTTGTTTGAGGCAAGGCCTCACTATGTAGCCCAGGCTGGCCTCGAACTCCTGGTGATCCTCCTGCCTCAGCCTCCTGAGTGCTGGGATTACAGATGTGCACCACTACGTCTGGTTTGCCTTCCAATTTAAAATGGAAAAGCCAAGTCTGATAATGAGATTTTCTTCTATTGCACCTCTTTCATGGGTCCAGTTTTTCCTGCTATAGAACCAGGTGGCAAGACTTAGAAGCTGTCTTCAACAGCCATTCTCCTGGGCACAAACACTTCTCGCCTCACTGCCCCAAACCTCCAAAACTAAGAAGCCCAGCACTTTCCCACTGACACCGTCTAAAAAGGCTGTTCCTGATACTGGTCACAATCCTTTCTAGACCCCCCATAATGGAGTTGTTCGGCTTACACTACAGCCCTCGGGTAGGAGAGATGCCACAGCCGGCTCAGTAGCCCCACTCCAGTCAGAGCCACAATATTCAAGTTGATGTTGGTGGTCACCACTACAGGGCGCTTCAAAACTTCCAACATCTTGTAGAAAAGCAAGCTCCGGAGGCCACCCTGGAAAAGGGAAGAACTGTCATCAATGAAAAGAGGCCGCAGAAAGGATCCCAAAGCAGCTTGGCTCCCAGAAGCACCCAGGGGAACCACAGCATGGAGGGTTTGGTGAGAAAGTAAGAAAGAAGCTTGTGCACATCGCCATGGGAACGCACAGACCCTTGGGGGATGGGGAAGGGCAGCAAACCTGGGTGAAATTCAGGAATCCCAGGACTGCACATGCGCTCTGACAACGCATTCCACCAGCACCTGCTGGCCACCTCCTGGGAGCCAAGGTAGGATGAGGCCTCTCCTTGCCCTTCCCCTCACCACAAGCTACCCAGACTTTGGGCAGCTCCCAGGAAGCCTTCACAGCCACTTATGGCCCTGACCCCACCTTTCAGGGTCTCAGAGCCTCATCTTCACAACACATCTGACCTACGTGCTTCCTTCCCCATCCCAGAATGGCATCAACCCCTGAGATTCCTTTTCTCTTATCCTTATTAATTAACTAATTTATTTATTCTGTTTTATGAGACAGGGTCTTGATACGTAGCTCAGGCTGGCCTCGAACTCGCAGCGGTCCTCCTGCCTCAGCCTCCCGCACGCTGGGATGACAGGCGTGCACCACCATGTCGGGCTGGGGTTCCTTCTTAACTGGGGGGTGCACCTGCATCAGGAAGCCCCCATCTTCTCCCTAAGGCTCGGTCTTCCCTTAAGCTCCGCCTCTTGGAGCTGCATCTAGCCTCTGGCGGCTCCCACTGTCCCCAAGGCCCCCTTCTCCCCCGAGGCCTCATCGGTCCCGCTCTCTCCCAGCAGAATCTGGTCCCCTTTGGTGCCACACGGGCCCAAGACTCCTTTCTCTCCCTCCCGAGCCTCTCGGCCCTGGGCGTCCCACACAGATGGCCTCCCGAGGTCCGGAGAGGCTCCAGTCCCCGGCGCCCACAGACGTACTCGGGTTTCTCCGCCAGGAACCGCTTCGGAGGAGGACCGTTGGGGACAAGGCGGCTCGGTACTCGGCACTGTTCCCTGCTCGACGCTCGACTCGCTGCGCCTGCGGACCCTACGGGCAGCAGTGCGCGTGAGCACTGGCGGAATTACAGCGTTGTGCGCGTGCGCACTGCAAGAGCACGGTGGCGCGCATGTGCGCTGGACAGGGATCAGCGAGTCAAACAGCTTTGAAATGTGAGAGGCAAAAGCTCTCCTGTCCCTAGTGTCATCGCGCCGTATTCCAGGATTCCAGCGTGCTCCGTGCGCACTTGTGTCATTTTTTATTTATTTATTTATTTATTTTTGTTTTTGGTACCGGGGATCGAACCCGTGTCCTTGCGCTTGCTAGGCAGGCACCGGAACTACTGAGCTAAATCCTCGGCCCATGTGTGTCATTTTTAGAGCGCACTGGGCTCAACACGTGTGTGTCGCGCTTCATTCCGGGCGGCACTGCTGCCAGCATCTTGGTGGCCCAGGCAGGCCGGGGCAGGTAAGCGCGCTCGCGGCGGCGGGGTGGCCTGGGGGCCCGGCGGGGAGTGGGCCGTGTCCCGTCCCGCCCAGGTCCCTCCTGTGTCCCCAGGCAAACGACAGCCCTCACTGGTTCCTATACTGCTGGCCTCGGTGAGTCAGGCTTCTTCACAGTTCTGTGGACACTCGCCTTTCCAAGTTAGTTAACCCAGGTTTAGTAGACAGCGTTTAGGAATGGGGTGAAGGCCGGGTGTGGTGGTGAACGCCTGTAATCCCACCACTTGGGAGGCTGAGGCAGGACGATTGCCGGAAGCTTATTGAGGCCAGCCTGGGCTACATAGTGAGACACTGCCGCACCCTCCCCCCCATTATGGAATGACGGTTCTGGCTTATCCACAAGGGGTTGTGACATCTCCATCCCCAAGTCTCTGTACTCCACCCAGGATCCTACAGAAGGAAGGAGCTGGAGCTCTGAAGAGGGGCTCCCTGGGTCCCGAGTTTGGTCCCTGGCACCCAAGTGGCAGGTGCATAAGGACACTGGCTCCATCCCGTGGACATTGGGTTCTCTGCAGGGCCAGGGTCCTTGTGAAGCTCTAAGAACCACTTGTCCAAGTGGCCATGGATCTGGGTGAAGTGTGTGGCTGTAAGAGTGAGATGTCAGCGTGGCCCTTCCACAGCTGGAGGCTCAAGGAAGTCTGAGGGACGGGATTCCTCATGCTAACAGTGTTTAATTTTACCTGCTTTGTAAGCACTGTGCTAAATGCTACAGGAGACCTTTTTTTTTGGCACTGGGGATTGAACTCGGGTCCTTGCGCTTGTGCGCAGGCGGCGAAACCACTGAGCTAAATTCCCGGCCAACAGGAGACCTCTTTTTGAATAAACACTATTCCCAGAGGTGTAGGTACCATACAAACCGTATTTTATGCTGTCTCAAGAGGGGTGGTGGCAGAAGTGCGCACTACTGCCTGAACCCCGATCTAAAGTCCTCTGACCCTTCATCACCCCCGACCTGGGTTGCTCTTTCCCCACCTAAAAGTGCAGCACAATCCCTTCTGCTTCCTGCACAAGGTCTCCCAGGGGTGGCAACACACAGGTCACATCGAAGCACTGACCAGCCTTCTCACTGGAAGTTGGGGGGAGACAGGTACTGTGCACACCTGTGAGCCATCCACAGAGAAACGGGAGCCTGCTTGATGCTGTGGCTTCGTGAAGACACCCCAACAGCAGTTTCCATCCCTCTCTCCCCAAGCTGAGGTCCGCCAAGGTGTTCCGGCCAGGCCACAGCCAGTTTGTGGTACAGGTCTGTAAAGCGAAACTCTTCTACCTGTAGGTCTCGCTTGTCAAATGGCTGGGAAGCAAGGGACACAACCTGAGAAAGCATGCTCAGCTTGTTTTTTTTTTTTAAACTTTTTTTATTTAAATAAGGAGAGTTCTTTCGTATGGAAAGAGCTAGTACAGTCACATATTTGAAAGGAGAAACAACAGGTACTGAACTGGAGGGGAGGGAGAGTGAGCATCCAGCATAGCCAGGCGAATCCATGATTCCACTTCCCATCCGAGGTCAGATTTCCCCAAACACGTATAAACAAGCTGCACAGCACACCTTTAGCCATCGTCTGCCCTTTCAAATATCTGGTCTACATGAAAAGACAAAGAGAGGAAAGGCCAAAATAAAACAAAAGGAACAAACAAAAAAGAACCCGCTCAAAAAACAACCCCCCCCCCAAAATCCTTTTTACTACACAAGGCATGAGGTCAAAAGCTTAGAGTACAGGATCCCTTTAAACATTGGAAGAAGGCGCTCCGCACAGAGCCTTAACAGAATTTCTACTCTGAGGCTTCCTGAAACGGGAAGACAGGGTGTTGCTGCCGTCTTGGAGGCCACCGAGCTGGGGTGGAGAAACAGTGAATGGTGGGCCTTGCACGCCTTGATGGTCACTGGCCAGACCTGTTGGTGGTCCTGCTGAAGAACATGGCTGGGTGACTGTCTGTCCCCAACGCTGAGCCACTCCCTCCAGGTGACCTACTTGTCTTAGGTCACCTGTCCCATATTCAGAGCCAGCTTCTTGGAAATCTGCATTTCCCTTTCATCACAGAACATGACAAAGCACACACACACACACACACACACACACACCAGTATTCTTGGTTATCAAAAGCCATTTCCAACAGATCCTCTAACCCTGGCTTGCTCTGCACACAGCAGAAAGGGACAAAAGCGGTTTGAAAGGCAACATGCAGTGACCTGGCAGAGGGGAAGCCAGTGGTGCAGGGGGAGGGGCTTCGCCAGACCTGCCATGCACTGCCTCAGCCCCTGGTGCACACATTCACCTCCTGGGCTCTGGGTGACAGTCAGTTATAACCCTCATCACTGAACATCTGGAAGGCAGATCCAGAAGCCAGGAGGGCAATGGTGATGTCTAAGTTCCTCCAGTATCCCTACAAGCAGCTGGCGTGACCAAAGCTTTGGAACTCAACCAACTTTTCTGAATGTATAATAAAGTCCTCGTTTGTTTTCCCTCTTAAGGAACCCAGAACCAGAAGGGTTCTATGAATTCCAAGTTTGAAAACAATAATGAAAATAAAACAGGAAGCAGCAGTTACAAAATCAGACCAAATGCAGCTGGCAGCAGTTTTCAGAGGGTGGATGTTCAACCCCAGATGCCCTACACTTTCATTTCACTCCACTAAGCTGTTAGCAGAGGACCAGCACTACTGCAGAGTCACTGGCTGCCAAGCAAGAGGCAGTACCATCAATGACTTGGCAAAGCTGCCAGCATTAGGCGGTGACTGGAGTAGGCAGCGGTGAGAGGACTCTGCACTCACCTGCCCCTAACCACCTCAGCAGTAGAAAAGGCAGGAGCTGGGATTCACCTATCCCAGCCAAAGGCTGCAGCATCCTGGCCAAAGCTTCTGCGCATATCTGCAATCTGAGGATGGGGGTTGGAAACTAAAACAAGACCCCAAGTCCTATTACCTTGAGCTTTGCTCTAAAACCACATGAGAGAGATATTGCACCATAAAATGTCTCTGCACTAAGAACTGCATTTAATCAGACCATGGAAGGGGTTGGGATGCTGGGGGCCTGAGGCCTAAGGCCTCCTCTGTCCCCAGAGTCTAGTTTTAAACCTGCATCTCAGCAGGGAAGATCCCACAGCTGAGGTCACATAGTGGCGAAACGCACCGAACTTCACATGCAAATTCCTGGCCTTTCCTGCACAGAGTAATTCAGACATTATATATAAATAGAGAAGTGGAACATTTACTTTTTTTTCTCCTAGACCTACAACATCAATACATATAAATAAATTCTAGTGTTTTTTGTTTTTATTTAGGGTGAGGAGGAGGGAGGCGGAAATACAGGGTGCGAAGGGGCTGAGATCAGGTGACGTTTTCTTTTTACTCCAACCAGAAGTATTGTCATTCTTACGGCAGGCTCGCCTGCAGGGCACATCTTGCGTTTGTGGCAGCATCCAGGACTGTTCTGTTCAATTGGACAAATGTGCACCAGCATCACGTGAGCAGGTCTGGCTGTGTTTCTAAGGGGAACAGGCAGAGATGGCCATGTGGCTCCACTGATCAGGCTCTTCCATTGGCTGCCAATGGAAGCAGGGAGGACAGAGGACTCATCACAGGGCCAGTGACCAGACACTTGCAGGGGGAGGGGGAGGAGAGTGATGAGACTTGGGCAGGCCAGTGCTGGAGACTCCAAGGGGGCCGCCCTTCAAGAAGGGATGGAGGAGTAAAGGCTGATGGGATGGAGAAGAGAAGACGAGCTAGGAAGTATGAGGGTGGAGGCGAGAGAGCACGAGAGAGAGCGAGAGAGAGAGGTGCCAATGCCACAGATGAAGCAGGAAAGCATCTTCCAGTAAGACTGCCCTGTCCCACTGCCACTGGGACTGCAGGGCACTTCGGCCTGGAGGCTCGAGGTGACCCCCTTCCTTACAGAGTGACAAAAAAGCTACTTCAGAGTCCCTGCTTCCTCCCTCAGGTTCCACACTAGACACAACTCAGAGCCCAAGCAGCTGTCATGCCATGGGTGACAAGGGCAGACTGGGCACAGCCAAGCCCCTACACGTACAGCACGCTCTCTTAAACCAGGCCTCAGGGACACCAGCAGGGCACACAGCAGCCCCAGCAGGCAGGTGATGGGCTAGGGACTCTACAAGTGGTCAAGGAACTGGAAGTTCCACATTTTCTTGGAATGATGGAGTCAGGATGACTTCCTCGTTTTTCACTTTAAAACCAGCCCAGAGCACAGTGTCTCACAGCAGCCTTTTGGGAGGCAGCTCTGTAGATTCAGGCTGTCTTTTGGGGGGCTGCTAGAATTCTCTAGAACTGCAGCCCCCTCCCCCACCCAGCCAGGACAGCTCCCCATGACCCTGCTTTAGGGACCACATGCTTCGTTGCGGCCACAGCCAAACTGATGTCCAAGAGTTCCTGTCACTGTGATTTAGTGGTGAGCTGGGCGGGGTTCTGCAGGCTCCAGAAAGGAGGAAAGGAAGATGACAGGTCATGGAAGGCTGAGAAGAGGAAGTGAATGGAAGCAGTGGCCCCCAAAAGACAGGGGTACGGGGCCCTGAAGCTCAGCACGCCGATGGGGCCTGTGGTGTGTCCGCCACTCATGCCATCCTGGCCAATCTGGGAAATGACAGGTTCTGTACCTCCACAATCTGGCACCCCGAAGTCAGCGTGTCCACTGGCTTCAGCAGAGCCCAGGACAAATTCCATGGAACTCATGTTAAAATGCCTGACTTGAGGCCAGGGCTGGTACCCAACCCTGACACCACCTGCCCACTGCTCTGCTCCCCCACCGCCTCCAGCAGCAAGCAACCGCCAGAGTGCTGACAGCTGTGTCCTCCTGCAGCAACTCCAGGAGGTGACCAGCTTGAGGGAGCATGTTCTTTTTTTTTTTTTTTTTGGTAACAGGAATCAAACTCAGGACCTTGCACTTGCAAGGCAGGCGTGGTGCCACTGAGCTAAATCCCCAGCCCTTAGGGGAGCATGTTCTTAAGAGTCATCTCTTAAAGTATCGCAGCGACGTGTCAAACAGGACAAGGTAAAAGGAGACCATTAGGGACAGCATAGGGGGCCAGGGAGAGGACAGTGAGGAACATATAAAAGTTCAGCTATACAGACGTAGCTGGCATTTTGTTTTCCTTTCCCCTTTGTAAAAACCTTAGCTGCTTTTTAAAACAAAAAAGCTTCAGGCTAAAATGACCCTGCTGCCAAACCACTTCAGGTGGGGACCGGAGGGCGGGCGTGCGGCCCTGCGCTGCACAGAAGGTGACTCCAGTCACTGGGAAGGAGGGGTGGGGGGAGGGGAGGCGTTGCTCTTTTGTCTCAAGCAAGTAGGTCAATGCCACGTTTCCGCGGTGGTGAATCTGGTGCGGTTCCCAAGTGGTGGCTGTCCTGTCCAGGCCAGGTGGTGGCACTGTCCCTGTTAGGGTGAGGCAAGGTGGCGGCCAGGCACCATCAGGCTTTACTCTCCTCCACTTTGACTGCCCGTGGCTTGATTGCTCCAGTTCGCTTCATCTGGGAGGTGGCTGAGGGGCCCTCCTGCAGCTTCACGGCTCCCAGGCTGGGCTTTTCATCCACTCGCTGTTTGGCCTTTGGACAGATGAATGGGAAAGAGAAAGTGACCTCAACGCAGAGCCATCTCTTCAGAGACAGCTCCCACCACTCCCTTCCCGTTCCTGCGTCACCAAGAGAACCGACCCCGAGTCGTCCATCCTTTTGGTGAAGGATCGAACTTAGAAGTCACTCTCCTAGTAAGGGACCTGGTGTCTGACTGCCTTGTCCCCTCCCCACGGGCATCGAGTGCAGTGATTTGGAGAGGCAGAGAGACACCAGCTCTTCCACAAAGAATCCAGTGACAGCACATCCTGGGGCGAACACATTTCTGACCAGAACAACCTTTTCAAATCAGTGCACCCCAGGCCCCACAGGCCAAAGAAACCCTTGCAGTAGTTGCAAGTGTACCCCATGACACCAGAGTCCTCAGCTGTCTGCAGAGGGGAGGAGCGGGTCACTTGGCTCTCCCAGACCTCTGACCATGATTCAGCCAAGCCCATCATGCCAAACCATCTCCCCAGGACCCTAGTGGGGCCTCGAGAGTCCCAATCGGGGTGCCAACAGTCTGCAGCTCTGCACAGTGGAGGGTATCAGAGAGCAGCCAGTGTGGTCCGGCCCCTCACTTGGTGCCCGGAACTCTGGGAGAAAGCTTTAGAAGCTCCTTCCCCAGTGCCCAGTAGTGACCCCCAGAGAAACCTGGTAGCAAGGGAGGACATGAGAGCAACCGCCCTCCCACCCAGGTCCTGAGCTCTGGAGCCCCAGCACATGCTTCACAGGAGGCAAGAGAATAGTGCCTGCAGGAAGAGACACTGAGAAACCCTCACTAGGAGTCGGAGGAGCCTACTTCTCTGTGATCCCACCCAGCCACGACAGACACAGACATACCACTTACTAGAGCTAGCACGCGCACACACCCAGCTTCTAGCGCTAACCCACAGGCCTAACTGGGTCTCCCAGAGCACCATTGCAGCCCCACATGGCTAGGGGGTCCACCTGCTGGCATCACCTCCTCTGAGGAACCAGGATCCTCCCTTCTCTGCAGGACAAGGAAGGATCCAGATGCCCATCAGGAGGAGAAATGCCTTTGCCAGGAAGGGCTCGGGCAGCCAGCTCTAACTGCTAGGGCATGAGTCTTTATTAAAGGAGCACGCAGTTGTTGGACAGTCCCTTCTCCTTTGGTGCTGGGAGACGGGCCTAAGTGTCCAGGGCTGCAGGGTCTGGAAAGCCATCTTCTACCTGTTGAACGTAGTGTCCCTGCACAGAGCCCATGTTAACTGCTGATCCAGAGGGCTTCCCACTGGGGCTAGCAGAGCTAGGCCTGAAAAAACCAAAGGCAGGGGTTGAGAATACACACGCGTCACCACAGAAATGGAGTCAAAGCCTAGCACGCAGCAAGCATGAGGAAGGAAGGCTCTCTGGCCAGAGGCCCTCGCCCTGGGCAGCTGGAAAGCTCTCAGATGGAAAAACCGGACCTGAGACAGCCAAGAATGCAGAAAGGGCAGAGTGGTTGTCCCTGTCCACCTTGACGCTGCTAGGAGACACACCCAGGAGAGGAGAGGCCGAGGGCCTTGTAAGTGTGCTCCACACGACCCCTCGTACCAGGGAGGTTAAGCAGCTGCCGTGGGGAAAGCAGGTCCTGTGCTCCAGAAGCTGAACCAGTGCTGTGCAGAGCCCAGCGGGAACCGCTGAGAGCAACTGCTGGTGGCAGCTGCTCTACCCCAAAGGCCCCTCGGGCACAGTGCACCCAATGTCCAGGCCGGGCCCCTCTGCAGGGCACATCTCAACAGCCGTTTCCACACATCTTTGGAAACACCGCTGTATGAGTTAGGAACCCTTCCCCTCCATGAAAACAGGCTACTGGTTAGGTTTTCTAGATACTTTCATCCCGCTGGTGGTGGCACACACCTGTGATCCCAGCACTTGGGAGGCTGAGCCAGGACTGCTGTAAGTTCGAGGCCAGTCTGGGCTACATACAGGGAGTTCAAGGCCAGCCTGAACTACACAGACCCAGTCTCAAAAAGAAATACTCCAGAACTCCTGCAGGTGATACTCAAATCCCTTATATGAAATGGTGTATTTACATGTAACCTACACACACTCTCCTGTGTACTTCGGGGGTGCTGGGGATTGTGGAGCCAGCCGCACCCCAGCCCCCTCCTGTATATTTTAGATTATCTTAACATTACTTAGAAGTGCGACATAGATAGCTGTCACACTGGATTGTTTCAGGAAAAAGTGGTCAGCCCTCCCTTGAATTCTTCAGACCCACAGCCGCAAACCCACAGGTGGCTTGTGACACCGGCTTGTCTTCAGTAGCCTGCTCTCTTGGGACAGTTCTGTGGCCAATGATGCCCGTGACAGCAGGGGCTGGAGCAAGTCACACGTGCACTGTGCTCTGCCCACGCGGTCCTGCTGTGCTGCCCTAGTGATGGGTAATGGCAGGAAACAGACTGTACCAGCACAAACAAAATGAAGCCAAGACGGTGAGAAGAACAGAAAAAATGATGAAATGTGGGCAAGTGTGGGTTGTGAGTGCAGAGCGAAGATATGGAGGAAGCCCCAGCCTGACCCGCAGTGGGCAGAATGAGGACCATGACAGCAAGTCGCAGGCAGGGTCCCAACTGCAGAGCGTGTGTTGGCGGGGTGACTCGGCACCTAGGGTGACAGTGTTAACCTCGCTTGCACAGGGCACTGCAGATCATGTGCATCTGTCCCACTCATTTGCAAACGTGAGGGGAGGCCCGGGGCCACAGCTGCCTTCCCACCCAGCATGGGGGACCTGAGGGTCTCTGCTGTGACCCAGCAGAGCTGCCTCGGAGTCGGGCTAAGACGGTTACGGGGGAGACAGATGCAGACGGATCAGAAGCAGGTGCCAGGAGTGCGGGATGGACAGCCCCCACCAGCCAGCAACAGAAAGCTCCCTGGCAGGGCTCGGGTAAGTTCATGTGAAAGCGGCTTGGAAGGGCTCTGTTCCTCCTCTTCAGAAAGCCTGCCCGATCCAGAGCATCATATTCTGATGATGAAAAACAAATCTAGTCTCTCCAGTGCCCAGTTTCCTCACGGTTACCTAAAGCACAAGCACACCCCAGGGACTTCTTGCTGACACAATGGATCCCAAGACGACCAGGTCTTAGACTCTTCAGCTGCTGTCCCAGGTTCCAGGGGCTCTGCTGAGCCTCTGGGGGTCACGTGAGTGGCGCACTCAGCCCCGCCCCCAGGGTGGTCTGTACCTGTAGGTCTGTGGCGATGGTACGGGGCCTCCTGGAGGAACATTCTGTTTACTGTCGGCAAAGTGGAAGCCTTTCAGCTCCATCTGAGAGGACTAAAGGAACCAAGAAGCAAACTGTCATCTGATGGCCCTCGTGAACCCCAGTGGGGTCAGGACAATTTCCTGGGCATCACCAGAGGATCTACCACCCCATCCCTTCAAACTGAAGCTCAAAAGAGGCTTCTTTCTAGAAGCCAGAACGATTTAAATGTCCTTGATCTTTTATTCCTTGTTGATCTTTTAAGACAGGGCCTCCCTATGTAGTTGAGGCTGGCTGTGAACTGTGGTGATCCTACCTTAACCTCCCTGGTGCTACGATTACTGGCGTGCACTCCCATGCCCGACTACGCTTGTTGTTTTTAAGCAGGGCAGAAGAGCACGCTGTGCCGAGCCATAGGGGGTTGGCCATATGTCAGCATACCCAGATACCACACCAGAGCCACCTGGGCCCAGTCCCAAGTACAGGCTCCTGGCCCTCGGCTCTGGGACACTCAGCCAGGGTCTTGGGACCTCCATCTGTGATGGCTATGCTCCCGAGGCTTCGGTCACATGCACTTCCTTTCTGTTCTGCTGTCTCACCCACATCCAAGCTTGTTTTCGTTACAAGCTTCTACAGAAATCGAGGAGTCCTTGTCCTCTGGGATGCTGAGGACTGCCTCCCAGGAAGGCCACGCTCTGGTGAGGCCAGGACCCTGCATCCAAAGCCATCGGCACTTTCTACACAGTGGCTCCCCGGGACCACAGGAGGATGGGTCACCTTTACCTCTCTGCTGGTGTTCAGGACTGGTGGCTGGGACCCAGGCGGAGGAATCCTTCGGGGGGCCCCGACGGAGAGGCTCTGCCCTGCTGGCAGCTGAATGGACTGTGGCAGGATCAGTGGCTGCTGCCCGGAGCCATACCGAGGCAGTGGCATGGTCAGCTGCTGGGCAACAGGACAGTGAGGAAGAGGAAGGGACATCAGGGAGAAAGCCCAGCACGCACACACTGCACTTAGCAGCCTCGCCTCTGCACAGAGCTGCACACATCTGCCACCCTCGGTGCCAGAATCCACAAAGCACTGGTGCTGGGGAAGCCACTGGGCACCTCTGGACACAGCCGCAGGCCACTCAGAGCCTGTGTGCGTGTCTCCCTCATGGGCTGCCTGGGCTGGGAAGCAGAGCATGAGTTAGGCCAGCCAGCAAATAAGAAGTAACAGCCAAAAAGAGTAACAGCCAAACTAAGTCGCAAAAGATACAAGTGAGTATCTTGAGTAAAATTAAAAATGATTAGCCGCACACTGTTCTGCATGACTGGGAGTGGGAAACAAGCCCCAGATGATGCTCGAGGGTCATTTTGGGTTTTGTTTTGTTTTGTTTTTGTACTGGGGATCGAACTTGGGACCTTGCCCTTGCTAGGCAAGTGGTAGAACCACTGAGCTAAATCCCTGGCCCCTTAAGGGTCATTTTGAAGCATGCTACAATCCAGGAGAAAGGTGGGCCACTCTGCGTCTCTCAGTCACTGTCCTCTTCATCTCCCTGCTGTTGAGTCCACAGTGGAGGGTCAGAAGGATCTACTGGGATTCCATCACTGAGACGTGTGGCGCCATAGCTCCAGCTCGGAGAACAGCAGGGTAAGGATGAAGGTGGCAGGAGGCCCTGACTCAACGGACCGGACCGGCTGCTGTTGTACTGCAGGCTGGAGGGTCCCAGGCCCACAGTGGGATTGTGAGGGAGCATGGGGTGGGTGGGGGTGGGGGTGGGACACAGCAGAGCCCAGAGGATCCGCTGAAGATCACGGGTGTGGGAGGGCAAAGAAGCACAGCTCCTGATAATGACAAAGCAGACGGTGTGGACAGAGCAGGTGGCACAGTGCACAGGAGAGGGCTGTGACTCAGGCACGGAATTGGGTAGCGTGAGTGGGGCAGTCTTTGGTGGGGATTTGGGGAGAAAAGACAAACAGGATACAGAGCCCCTGTCAACAGCCATAGCATGAGGGGAGAGAGGAGAGCTCTTGGGAAGGCAGGGTCTCAGAATGGATACTTGGAAGAGGGTCAGAATGTCACAGGGTTACGAGGGCTAGGGCAGCACACAAGAGGCAGGACAGACAGGGCAAGTCATAGGAAGGAGCCTGCTGCTGGCAGGCAAGGGTGCGGACTCCTGACCTGTGGTAGCTGGGAGTCCAGCATCTGGGAGGCACCCAGCCCAGCAGCCTGTCCAAGCTGGCCCTCGTAGACCAAGGCCTGACTTCCGCTCATGGGCTGGTAGGGGGACCCAGACTGGGGCTTCACCATCTCTAGGGGCTGCATGCCCGGGAACGCTGAATATGGAGGCTTCAAGGCTGTACCCCCAGACAGGATCATGGTGCTGGGTGGCGACAGGCTGGGGTGCATATACACCTGAGACCTGCAGAAGCATGTGGACACCGGATCAGGTGGACAGGCCCCCCCATCCCCATGCCAGCGACCACCAAGATCCCGAGGGCTTGCTGGAATGCAGGTCTCCCACTGCCCCAGAGCACCACTGAGGGGGGGCTGGGGGACATGATACTGCTGGTCTAGAGAAACAAAAGACATATCCACACTGTGCTAGACACAGGAAGACATACGATGCCCAAGCCCAGGGCCCTGGGTGGACTGCAGGAGCAGGCCAGGGGAGGTGAGGAGGGAGCCACACAGCCATGGACACTGCCCCACACTCAGTCCCGGGCCCAAAGCAGGACAAAGCAGTGTGAAGGTCCAAACCTCTGGCCATGCTCCAGTGTGCATGCGCTCACCTGAAGGGCTGCAGGGAGCTAAAGATCTCCTGGGACTGGGAGACGGGCAGCCCGCCCCTCAGCCCAAGCTGAGCCTGGGCCTGCAGAGACGTGTGGAGGGAGATCGGGATCTGCTGGGCCGCGGCGGCCTGCGAACAGAAGCCAAGTGCTGACGCATGTGCCCCAGCGGCCCCGCTCCCAGCCCCTCTGCATGGATGGTGAGCAGTAGGTGGGCCACCATCCCAGGACACGTTCCAGCGAGTCCTGCCTGGGCTCCCTCGCTCCTGGGGCAAAGCCAACAGTGAAATGGGGGAGCAACCCCAAGCCACCATGTATCCCCACACTGCAACTCCACACAGCATGGAGAAGGAATCCTGGCTATAGGTATTGATGGAGACAAATTTCAGAAACACAATGCTGAATAAAACATAATGCGGCACCAGGGATTTAGCTCAGTGGTTTCGCCACCTGCTGTGCAAGCACAAGGACCCAAGTTCGATCCACAGTACCAAAAACAAAACAAAACATAATGCGGCATGAGCCAGTTATATGAAGATCAATGAAATCTCACAAGGTAAACACACTAGTTAAGAATGTCTTAGGCTAGGGATTTGACACAGTGGTGCCGCCACCTGCCTTGAAAGCGCGGGGTCCAGAGTTCAATCCCTAGTACCAAAAAAAAAAAAAAAAGAATGTCAAAGAGGTAAGCCCACGGCCTTTGTCCAGGCCCCAAATCTGCACTGGGAGCAGATCCTCCGGGAAGCCCTCTGGGTGCCAGGACAGGGTGAGAACTGATCGGAAGGCCAGGCACTAGCTTTCAGGGGAGCCTGCAAAGGTCACCCCCTTGCAGCACAGACAGTGAGATGCCCATCCTGCACACCACCAGATATCTGTGTTTCTACAGCTACCTCTCTCTTAACGCATCCACGCCTGGGGTCCAGGCCCTTCCTCTCTTCATCAGAAGGAGACCTGACCACCAAAGAAAACTCTGTTTCAGCTAATTCCCCAGCTAGGACCCGGGAAGGAGGACTCTGAGAGGGAAAAGTATGCAGGGCCTCCAGTATTTGATCCACTCTTCCCTGTCCCTGGTTTATACATTCAGGTAGCATCCTCTCTCTGGCTGTCGTGTGCGAGGAGTATAGGAAGCAAGAAGGGACCGGCCTGGGCCACACCCGCCATCCTCACCTGCTGGTAGCTCTGCTGCTGAGGTATGGTCTGAGGAACCAGCCGGGGCTGACTTGCGAACACATGGCCGTCTAGGTACAGAGGCGGGAGGTGGCTGCCTGAAAATGACCAGAGAAGGCAGAAAAGAGTCAAGTTGGGGTATTGCTCACTGTCCCCTTGAAGAGTACTGTGTGCCTGCCCAGGGGACTCGGGGGAGAGGGCAGAGGGAACGAGGGCTGCTCCGTTCCGTGCCACGGTGCACCCCCACCCTTTATCCGCAGCCCCCAGCTTCAGCCATTCACTCCGGGGAGGGCGGCCTGGTCTCTCAGCCGCGGTCCTCATCCGCTCCCCGCTATTGAGTCCACAGTGGAGGGTCCGAAGGATCTACTGGAACCACATCACTGAGACCTTGGCAGCCGGCCCTCAAAATCCCTACACACTCCCATGGGGTACTGACGAGGTGACAAGGATGGTGACAAGAACAAAAGTAGCCACTGCTGCAGGGCACCTTCCAGGTGAGTCCTAGCTTCACGGGTGTGGCCACTGCACACAGCATTGTCATCAGCCACTTCAGAGGAGTAAGCTGCGGCCTGGTGAGCTGCCCGCTGCCGGGGGGCACTGCCCTGGCACTAACTGGCTCTGACTCAAGGCCGCTGCCTTTGCCATCGGTGGGACGGCCTGACTACAACCCACACCGGGAAGCATGGGGTGCACTGTGTCTACAGCACACAGGAAGCTGTGACCACCTGGCTTGGAACAAGCGTATCCTCCCATGTGCTCCGGAAGTCAGGGCTCAGAGGAACACGGTGCTCAGGGCTGTTAGATTCCAAATGGAGAAGGCCATGAGCCGGGCTCAGGGCGTGATACCTGGCATCGAAGCGGAAGGCGCTACAGAGGCCACAGGCATGGGTGGCATGGACACTCCCCCGAAGGAGCTGTAGTTCACTCCGTTGGAGGCGCCCACCGAGGATGGAGGCTGGATGCCCGAGCCCGCACCTCCTGGGGAGCTCTGCTCCGGCAAACTGGGCGAGTTCTCCCAAGCCTTGCGCGCAGACTCCATCTTCAGGAGCAAAGGGAGGGAAGGATGCAATTCACTGCCAGGCATGGCCAGGGAGCCTGGCAGTCGAAGCCAGGGACACAGGGGCTCCTCCCTCTGCCCCTTCATCCAGCTTAGGCCCCAGTTACCTTCAGCGTGAGGTCAGCGGTAGGGAAGGACATCGGGGACAGGCCGATGGCCCTCTGGATGTGATGATCCCGCCGCAGAATGGGAATGCTCTGTGTTAACCCTGCCTGGAGATGGGGAGAAAGGACACTGTGGAAGACACAGATGGAACTGAGGGGACAAGGTGGCCTGTCCAGATGTCTGCAGGTCGGACTGGGGATTTAGCTCAGTGGTTCTGTTGCTGCCTTGCAAGCGCAAGGGCCCGAGTTTGATCCCCAGTACCACAAAAAAACCCTGATGTCTGCAGACCTGGCTGCACGCGCCCCAGACAGCCCTGCACAGAGGCCCCCTACAGGCAGGCCTCTCTCAGCAACACGGAAGGGGACTGGTGCTGCCCGGGGGGCTCAGAGTGCCAGGGCCAGCCAGGGCTAGTCTGCCTGCCACACTGCCTCTTGGGTCCCTGAGAAAGAGGTCGCTGGTACACAGGCGGGAAAGCAGTGCTAGGCCCTCTGGCAGGGCGGAGAGCGTGAGAATGTGAACAGCTCTGAGAAAGCTGTGGGGAGGGCGGCCAGACCTCTCCGCCGCGGTCCTCGTCATCTGCCTGCTTTCGAGTCCACAGTGGAGGGTCAGAAGGATCTACTGGGATTCCATCACTGAGACCTTGGCACTGGCCCTTGGTAACAAGGATGGGGACAGAACGGACAAGAATGCTGCCACTGCTGGAGGACACAGGAGCCTCCGAGTAGGGAACCTGGTGAGCACAGAACTCCTTCTCACGCAAAGCCTGGCGCCGTGCTGTGGCACCAGCATTCCCTGGAACCTTCTGAGCAGGGCTGCCCATGGGCCTCTCACCCAGCCCACCCACTAAGCAAGGACACAGCAGTGTGTGGAAATGTCACTGCACAGCCTGGCTGTGGCCCGAGCAGTTAGAGCCCCGGGAGGTCTCTTGGATTGAGCGCTCAGAGCCAGACTGCGGGAACCCTGGGATGGCACACGGGGATCTTTGCGGCTTTATCCCCGCCCCCACTGGCCAACAGAGGTCTGCACAGGTCTTGGCCATGCCTGGCACACAGAGACATGAAACCATCCCGACCTCAGGAATGATGTCACTCCCACCGGAAGGTCACTACACCTAGGCATGGTTACAGGGAGGCCTGAGCAGAGGCAGCTGTCGCTGGGGGTGGGTGGACAGCGCCATGGCAGAGGAAACACAGACTTACATTACTAGCCAAGGCGTCCTGGAGTTTCACAACCGGATTCCCCGCAGGTCCAGATGCAGAGCCAGGCGGCAAGCTGAAATCGGAGTCCTGAAAAGAGGACACAGAGCCCTGTAATCCTCCCAGCTCACCTCTCCCTGAACACACGTGGACACAAGCGAGCCACACCTCGGCGCCCCAAACACCCACGAAGTCATCCGCCGGCAAGATGACCATACACAAGGAAGCCACCCTGATTCCTCTCTCCCGGGCTGTGCCCCGGGCTGCCCAGGAGCCTGGCCGGCGTCAGGAAGGCCAGCAGCATCTGCCCTGTCCCACACTGCATGCCCACACTTCCCAGATAGTGCTCAGCTCCCGACTTTCCTAGAGATAGGGGAACGAATCTGTCCAAGGCCCCGCCGTTCCAAGTACCAAGAAAAAAAAAAAAAAGAAAACAAACCCTCACTTTTGGGTTAACTCCAAATTCAATGGGCGGCACGGGCAGCACGGAGTCCACGTGAATCTCCACCCCGTTAACAGGCGGGACGACGGCCCCTTGCAGCCGCTCGGCCCCCTCCGAGCCCTTCCTGTTTTTCAGAGACCGCTCATTGCCAATGGGTCCAGGTCGGTGCTCCTTGCTCTGTCCTGAGCCTTGTTCTGCATCCTGGGGGAAGCAGAGAGGCTGAGACACAGAAGTCTAGCGTCCACGCGTCCTGGGCACCAGGACAGGGCAGGAGACAAGACAGCGGCCCTTCCACCCGGGCCCTGGCCGCCGTGGCGGGAACTCCAGGTTACCTTTTGCTCACACTGCTTCTGGGCCTGCTCCTTGTGGCTCTCGGCCTTGGGTTCCACCAGGCCCGGCCCGCTTATATCCTCTGGCTTCAGAGCACCGTACGGGGAGCTGCGCTGTGAGGAGGTCGCGGACGACTCCCGAGACTCGGCACTCAAGTCAACGCCACTGTCTCCCTGGCTGCTCTTAAAACCCTGCTGTGCGGAGCACAAGACAGGTCAGAGCCTCCCCAGACTGCACGGCACAGGCACCTCGGTGAGGCAGCATGCGGCACGACACATCGCCCCCAGGCACTTGCCCTGCACGCCTGGCCCTGGCCTTGCGCACGCAAGCACGCACGCATGGCCACACAAATGCGCCTGCCCTGCCCGAGCTCCTGCCCACCGGCCCGGCCCCTGAGTTGTCCTTGCGACTGCCAAGCTCACTCTGCTCAAACCAGACTGGGGAGCGCCACCCTCCTCTGGCTCCCCACCGGGCCAGGGCTCTCCCTTGTCATCCCTTCTTCTCTGTTCAAGCAAGGCCACACACAGACCAGAGACAAGGCTGACGACTCTGTGAGCCAGGGCCTGTAGAGGGCCCCGGTGCAGGCCCAGCAGCGGGGCCAAGGCTGGGCACGGGGCTCCCACAGGCCACACTCACCTCAGCGGAGCTGGGCTCGGGGCCGCTGAAGGCGGTGACAGCTTTCCTCCAGGAGTCGCTGGCTGTGGCCTGCACGGGGAGGGCTGCCGAGGGAGGCAGACAGAGAGTGCATCAAAGAGCAAGCAGTCCGGAAGACACTTGCTCATGGGCAGCCACTTCCGCTAACCGCCTCCCTGTGCCCCGCTGGTGACACTCAGGAACAACTTGGACACACGGGAACTGCCCTGATAGCTTCTCTGCCCAACTGCCGGACATCTGCGTTTCCACAATTGCGCTGCTCAGCATTTTATGGACTTCATGCTGCTCTAATGCATACCTGCGTGTGTTCTGCATCACTACCGCTGCCGAGCTGAGGCCTTCTCTCACTTAAGTGAACTACTAGGCAGCTTCTGTAGAGTCCTTGAGAGGTCCAAGCAGGTACTGCTGAGAGTTTGCAAGCTTGCAGACCCCTCTGAGAAGCCCACAAAAGCCATGGACTCCAGGTCCGTAAAATACATATGCACAAAAATATTATATGCTGTTTTAAGATCAAGGGGCCCGGGCTGGGGATTTAGCTCAGTGGTTTCGTCGCCTGCTGCGCAAGCGCAAGGATCCAAGTTTGATCCCTGGTACCAAAAAAAAAAAAAAAAAAGATCAAGAGGCCGTCTGGCGCCCAGTCTTGCAACCAAGGTAGCAGAATCTGGAGGAAAAGACCTGGCAGAGGAGGGGACATCTCCAGTCCAGGGCCAGCTGCCCAGCCAGCCTGGTAATCATGGCTGACACTACCAACCTGAACGGCAGCGTGGTTCACCAAGGGACCACTGGTATTTCTTTCAATTAAAGCTGAATGCTACTAATGTCATTCTGAAACATTTTCACCGGAACACAAAGACAGGCTGCGTGGTGACAATGACAGATATAAGGCCTGGCATCCAGGGTCGTGTTTGTCCTATGGGCTGAAGTTGGGTCTCTTCCCATGGCTTCTCCAAGCTCTACCTCTCATTGCTCACATGTCCTTGATTGATTGAATGATTTTGTTTTTTGAGACAGAGTCTTGCTATGTAGTTCAGGCTGGCCTTGAACTCAGTCTGTAGCCCAGCCAAGGCTTGAACTCCTGGAGATCCTCCTGCCTCAGCCTCCTAAGTGCTGGGATATCACACCCAGCACACATGTCCTTGTTTTATTTACCCATGTCCCTCGTGGTCTCACAGTGCAGGGCTTTGCTCGAAGTAAGCATTTAGAAGAATATATGAGCCAGGGGTGGGGGTGCACACCTGTAATCCCAGCACTCACTCAGCTGGGCATAGTGGCACACGCCTATAATCTCAGCACTCAGGAGGCTGAGGCAGGAGGACTGCCCCAAGTTTGAGGTCAGCCTGGGATACACAGTGAGTTAAGGCCAGCCTAAAGTGCATAGCAGAACCGTGTCTCAAACAAAACAAAACCCTACCAGCACTCCAGAGGCTGAGGCTGAAGAATAACAAATTCAAGGCCTACCCAGACCTAGTGGCTCAGGCCTGTAATCCTAGCACTTTGGGAGGCTAAGGCTGGAGGACTACAAATTCAAGCCCAGCCTGAAAAATTGTGCATCTTAGTGAAACCCTGTGTCAAAAAGGTGTGTTTGGGGCCGTAAATTCAATACCCAGCACAAAAAACAAAAACCAAAACAAAGTTCACGGTCTTGTCTAAAAAAAGACTGGGGATGTAGCTCAGTGGTAGAGTGCTTGCCAGTGCCAGTACTGCCCCCTCCAACAGAACAGGTGGGGCGAGGGAGAAGAATCTGCTTGATGAGAACAACTTTGTGTTTTTAAGTGAAAAGTTACCAGCAACACAGGGAGTAGGGATTTGTTTCTTTCTTTCTTTTTCAAATTTCAGGGCAGCAGGTATGGTGGCACACACTTGTAAACCCAGAGCTCTGGGAGGCTGAGGCAGGAGGGTCTCAAGTTCAAGCCCAGCCTGGGCAACTTAGTGAGACCCTGTCTCAAAATAAACAACAGAAAAAGGATTGACGATGTAGCTCCACTTGAAAGGCCCTGGGTTCAATCCCCAGTACCACCAAAACCTGAACTAAGAATTTCACGGAAATGAAGTTTCCCCAAAAGAAAGATAAACCTTAACCTGGTCTCCAGGGTTCCTACCCCGAGGGCCCTAGGGAGGGGCCTACTGGACTTTTTTCTTGCCAGGGAAGAGCGGTCACAGCTGTGTGGAGCAGTCCTCTTCAGGTGGCCGGCACGAGAGAGGCTCAGCTCTCGCCCCATGTTGTCGGCAAGAAAACTGTACTCGCTTGGGCTGCAGGGCTAGAATGGTGTTCACCACGGGCTTGGCAGAGGCATCGGGAGATAGCTCACGCTTCCCCTACATTCACGTCTCTAAAGCAGGACTTCCCAAGAAGACACCAGCACCCGCTCTCACCCTGGCTGCTGCTCTCCCAGATCTCGGTCCCCAGGCTGCTGCCAGGCACGGCCACATCCCCTTGTTCCAGGCACAGATTGTTCTGCTTCTTGGCAAATCGAGGAGGGATGCGGGAGGAGAGGCCTCGAGCTTTGACTGGCACCTACAGGGAAACAGGGAGAGACACTGTAGCTGGAGACTGCTCTTCTCTTAGGAAAATAGCCTGACACTAAAGCACCACCTGAAAGCACTCAAGATGCCCAAGACACCCGTTTCCCAAGATGTCAGGCATATGGTGCACTGCCAGGCAAACCAAGCTGCCCCAGGACCAAGAACAGACGTGGCAGTGTGTGGGGTCCCTGCCCTTGTGACCTGCAGGGAGATGAACCTTACTCCCACCCGGGGAGGGCTCAGGACAGGCAGGACAGGTGGGGGGTTGTCAGGGCCCGGACAAGTCAGCCTCTTCGTGACTCTGTCTCCTACTCTGGAGAACAGTGACCCAGTGACAGCAGGCAACGGGCGGTCACACAGGCCTAGTAAATGCCCTTCCCCTCCACTCCTTGACTCCGGCTGCCCTTGGCCCTTGTGGCTCACCTGCGCGGCCTGCTCCTTTTTTCTCCTCTCCTCCTCCAGCAGGCGGCGCTGCTTCTTAGTCAGGACCTCGATGAAGCCTTCTCCCACCATGGAGCCGACCTCGCTCTCCTCCCCGGGGCTGGACCCACAGTTGTCAATGATGGCATCTGAAGCAAGAGTCCGTGAGAAGGGAGAGAGTCTCCACTCAGAACGCAAGAATCACCTAGCGCAACCACTGCCTGCTGTCTATGGACTGGCCTGTTCACAAGGCCGGGCAGTGCCTGGCTGGACACTGTTGTACACCAGGATCCCCGGAAATATGGCTGTGGCCATGCGCCTTCTCGAGCCCTTCTGACTGTCCACATTGGGCCTTGGCCCAAAGCATTGTCCTTGGAGCTGGGCACTCCCACAGCTGAACAGCCTTGGATACACCATGTGTCTCGGCCTCAGGCAACCCCTCTGTACCCCTAGGCTGTCCTGGGACTGCAAGGTAGTGAGGACCAGAAGGCAGGGATCTGAGCCATGTGTTACTGCTGTGGCCCCAGGAACCAGCCTGGCCCCACAGCACTACCGTCTGCCACTCACAGGGACTTTCAGGGCTCTGGTCCTGCTGAACTCAAGGGAGCGGGTGGGTGTGTGCGTGAGTGCCTGTGTATGTGTATACACGTGCACTCACTTCCGTAGCTCAAGTCAAACTGCTTCCGGGCCTCCTCCTGCTCCCCGGCCCTCTGCGCAGCCAGCATAGCCTCCTTCTCTGTCTTCTTGCTGGTGGCCTCAGGACTGTCAGGGTTGGCGTGGGTGCCCCGCTCCAAGGCATAGGGCGAGTGGCTGCTACCACTGCTGCAGCCACCAAGACCTCCAGTGAGGGGCTCGTCTGGGGACCTACAAAGGAAGAGGATCTGGTGAACTTAGAAACGCCCAAAGCCTGGCAGGAGACAAAAGAAAACCCCACGAGTGCACACAGCCCACACACAGACAGCAGCTGATCTAGCTCCAGTTCTGGCCCCCGAGCTGGGGGGACAGCAGCACTTACTGGCAGTGGCTTGTCGTGCATCGGGTGCAGAAGCCACCCCGGCTGGCACGGCTCAGGCATCAGTGCCCAGCGGCCCCCCATTCTCTCCTGCCGTTGTACCCTCAGCAGGGGGAGTGAAGGAAGGGCGAAGCCAACCTCTCTGTTCTTAGCCAGGACACCTCGCCCTGCTGCAAGGCTCCGGATGCCCAGGCTGGACCCACACCTGAAAGAACTGGCACCTACCCAGGGTTCCTCTCTGGGGGAAGAAACACCCCCAGTCTCAGTGTCCTGACTTCTAAGGAGGGTGGGAGGTCTGAAGCAATCTTAGGGGCACTCCCGGACCAGGGACAGCTACAGCAGCCCCCCATCTAGGGCAGTCACCAAGGCCACCCTGTACCCACATAGGAGCCTGCGGCCAGGGAGGCAGCCCCAAGCATAGACCGTCCACCCAGTTCCAGAGCAGAGGGGCTCATGGGGCTGTAGGCAGCTCTGACCAACCATGCCAAGGAGGCAGATGACAAGCAGAACCGCCAGGGAAGAGCTACTTCCATGGAGCTGGGGGCCAGCGAGGCCCTGCTGGGTCACTGCCTGGCCAGCTCTGGGGCACAGGAATCTGCTGGACCAGCTGGCACTCGCCTGGCCCCAGCTATATGCGACAAGGACACTCAGAGCCTGAGCCTACAGGACGGGGCCAGGGCAAAGGCCTGGGAGTGGGGTGTGGGGACACCTTCGGTTTAGTTTCTCAGGCCACACAACAACGACACACCACGAGAGAAGCGACAAGCAATGCAGGAGCAGTGATGGAGACGCACACACAACAGCCGGCAGTGCCAGGCCGGCGGGGCGTGCATGCATGGACTCGGTGCTGCTGTGCAACAGGACAATGACAACAGAGGACCTGGGATGGCATTCGCTGTTACCTTTTGGCTTTCAAGGGTGTCCCACTCTGCTGGCTGTCATAACGGGGGGCCATCTCGCCACCACCTGGCCTAACGGGCTTCTCCCCAAACCCTCCCGGCTCCAGCTGGCGGCTCTGCCTGTCAGCCAGGGGCCTCTGGCTGGAGAAGCTCCTCTTGGCCAGCTCCTTCCTCTCCCCCACACCGGCTCCAGACAGGCCACCATCCCCCTGTGGGCGGGGTTCGGCCCCGGGGCCCTCTCGCCGTGGGCGCTCGCTGAAGTCGCTGCTCTCCGAGGCTGTCTCCCATTCTTCGTTGGCATGATCGGAGGAGGTCTGGTAGGAGAGCTCAGGGGACCGGCGGCCCCCAGCACCGCCCTTGTCCCCAGGACAGAACTTGGGCCTGCCCGGCCACTGACCCGACAGCAGGTGGGGCTCCCCCTCGGGACCCCACAGGCCGGAGGATTCGCGTTCCTGCCGCAGGCGCCGGAAGCGCGGGGGCTTGTCCTGGCGCGGGGGGCGCCGTCTCCGGAAGGGCCGGTTCTCTGTGTTTTCCGGGTCTAGCGTGTGGTCGTCCTGGAAGAAGGCCCTCTTGTCCTCCAGGCGGCTGTCCTCGAAGGCCCTGCCGCTGAATGAGTCGGAGTGTCGGTAGGAGTCTGGGATGTAGTCTCGGTCCGTGGCTCTCCGGGCCGTGCTGTACTCCTGCCAGGAGCCGCCGCCGGGGCTCCTGCTCTGCCAGGGGGCCGGCTCTCTGGCGACAAAGGTCCTGCGCCCGTAGCCGCAGTTGCTCAGCCGGGGCGGGAGTGCACGCCCAAAGGCCCGCGGGCCACGGCTCTTAGCATCCAGGCCGCCCTGGTCCTCGGAGTAGGTCTTGTTGGAGCGCCAGGAGTCCTTCTTCAGGGCACCCTCGTCCCTCTCCAGGAGCGAGCCTTCGGCCCCGCTCTCAGCGGCCCTCTGCCGGCGCCGCTTAGGGAGCTCCTCGTATTCTGAGCCCTCGCTGTGGGTCTCGCTGGCGATCCTCCGCCGGGGCTTGGCACGGGCTTGACAGTCCTCGGGCTGGGGGAAGTCACGCAGACCCCGGCCCCGGCCGCTCCGCTGGCTGCTGCTGCTGTACATGCTGCGTGCCCCAAGGACCCCGCTGCCGCACAGGCCGCTCCCGCTCCCGTTGGCGGGCCGGCCCCGGAAGGTGAATTCCCGGAAGCCTCGGCCTCGGCTGCGGGGCTGCCCTCGGCCCCCGAAGGCCTGCTCCTCGTCGATGAAGATCCAGTTGTTTCTCTTGGTCGGGGGGATGTCGCCGGACTCGCGTGATGATCTGCTCTCCCAGGTCTTGTCCAGCTTCTCGTCCTCATCCAACTTGGCCTCGTGGCCGAAGCCGGCCTGGGCTGAGGCCTTGTCCTCTGTGGCAGAGGGGAAGGCGTTGGCCAGGGCTGGGTTGTTCTCCTCGTCCTCGTCCTCTCCGGCTTTGTGCGCCGGCTCCTTCTCTGTGGCCAGCGGCACACTGTCCCCCCCAAGCCCCGTCTTCACCTTCTCCAGCTCCTTCTCCTTCTCCTCCACCTTGAGGGCTTTGAGGACCGGCTTCTTGATGGGCCCCGACCTCCGGGTCCTGCCCGGCTGCTCCTGGTGCTGGCTGCTGGAGCTCCGGGACTCGGGCGCCCACTCTGGCTCTGGGTTTGGTGGCTTCTCGGGGCTCTCTTCCTTCTCCCAGGAGAGGTGGAAGGCTGCCTCCTCTCGGGGCGCCTCCGGCTCGACACCGTTGGCTGTGTCGGCGGCTTTTGGCTGGTGGCCAACGTCCCAACTGCCGTACTCTGCCTTTTTCTCAGCAGGGACAAGGTCAGGCTCCAATGGGGGACACCTGAGGTTTGGGGTGTGAGCCCCAGGAGCACCCGCCTCCTGAACATTTTCTTGGGGTGGAAATAAAAGCTCCTGGCCTATTCTTTGAGAAGAAATACAGCTGTCAAAGTCTGCTGGGGCCTTCTTGTCAAAAGCACTCAAGTACTCCTCCCCTCTCTCCTCAAAGAGATCGCGCTGGGCACTTATGCCCCCTGACCTTCCGGGGGAGGCGGAGTACGAGCTTTCATTCCTGAAAAGGAACCAGAGAAATCAGTCAATGTGATTGGAGCTTGGTTCCTGGTTTCCATGCTGAACACAGAGCTTAGATTTAAAAAGAAAAAAAAAAAGTTTTAAAAAAGAAAGAAAAACATAAGCAAACATCTGCTCTATCTTTAGACAAGGTTGCTGGCCGTGGGCAGCTGGGTGGCCCTGGAGTCCGAGAGCGTGGAGAAGGCGTGGCCGCTGCATGGCATCCTGGGCTCAGTGCCACGCTGGAGACGAGAGGAGCTGACAGTGCCCTGGAGCAGCGAACAAGCTGGAGCCTGGAGTAGTGTGGAGCCTGGACTCTGGGAAGCACCGGATGGAGCCCAGGCGCTGCTCCTCACCCACCTGCCTGCAGGGCCTACCCTCTCCTGGGCCCAGGTTCTGCAACCCGAACCTCCAGCCCCAACACCAGAAAAAGCCGCTCACACAAGCATCTGCGCACTTCTCGCATCCCTCGCACACCTCCCTGGCCCTGGCAGCATCTTCTCCAGCAGAGCAGTCTTCCTCCTGCTGCAGGGCAGCAAGAACAAGCAGCAGCTCACCTGACGTGCACGTCCATCGCCAAGGTGTCGCCTGGCTTGGCGTGGGGGAGTGCGTAGCCCTTGCTCTGCAGTGCCATGTACCCCTCTGGGCTCCACACCGGGGCTGGATCGATAGTGCTCACTTTCCTTTCCTGCAGTGGGGGCGCACAGTTTTGATCTTCAGAGCGGCAGCCAGTCCCGCTGAGGGAATCTTGAGGCATCATGGGCTTCATCAGTCCTAAAGAAGGCAGAGGACCAATCAAGATCACCTCATTTAAAAGCCCTTCTGACAAGCCGGGTGTGGTGGCTCACACCTATAACCCAGCACTCTGGGAGGCAGAGGCAGGAGGATCACAAGTTTGAGTCCCATCTGGGCAAGTTTGTAACTAAGACCCTGGCTCAAAAGAAAAAAACAAAAAGGGCTGGGATGTGGCTCAGTGCAAGGGCCCTGAGGGTTTCAATCCCCAGCTCTGCTCAAAGAAAAGGAAGGCAGGAAGGCAGGAAGGCAGGCAGGCAGGCAGGCAGGCAGGCAGGCAGGCAGGCAGCCAGGCAGCCAGGCAGCCAGGCAGGCAGGCAGGCAAAGGGCCCGCACTGCAACCTCCACACCTTGTGGGCCAGGCCAAGGCTCCAGCGGAAACATGCCCACTGCCACGTGGACAGAGCAGTCCGCCCCATGACAGCCAGGCCCTGCCCTCTTCTGTTCAGACTCCAGGGCCTGAGCCACAGCCCTGAAAATGCACAAGGAACCAGCCCTGAGTGGACTCAATCCCTGTGGGAAGACTTGGACAAGGATGTCGCTCTCACCTCCTCATATCCCCAACCCAACATGGGACAGCGATGCTGCACGTACCTGGAATTCTGGGCATGGGGGTGGGGCAGGTAGCTAAAAATGCCAATGACTATTAACCAGCCCCATGGACTAGCACATCAGGGATGCACTGGTCCCAAGATGTGGTAAGTAGGGAATGCAGACCAACTTGCCCCTCTCCGACTGTCTGTCCACCGGAGGGAGCTGCGCTGGCATGGGGACATTAAAGAGAGAGACCTGAGGAGACGGTTCTGCACTGGGCCAGCAGTGGGACGCCGTGACCAGATGCTGCAGGCGCAGAGCTCCGGCACAGCCTCTGCTTGGGGTCCCCCACGGGCGCCAAAACACCACACTGCTTAGTGAGCATCCATCATGAGGCACCAGAGTGGTCTCATCTGTGGCTGGCTGATAGCCCCTGCCTGGGAAACCCCACCGCCACAAAGCACCAGACGCAATGGATGCAATGGCTCACTCGCAGAGCTGCGATCCTAGGGAACAGAAAATCCCTGGAGCTAACAACCATAGCAGTGCAGCTTAGCAGTCGGTGATGGGAACCTAGGGCCTCAGTCACCACCCTTCAGGGGAGCAGGGCTGGGCCCTTTCTGTGCAACTGTGCTCCAAACCCAGCATGGTGGTGCAGGCCTGTAAACCAGCACTCCAGGAGGCAGAGGCAGGAGAATCTAAAGTCCGAGCCCAGCCTGTGCAACTTAAAGACTCACTGAGACCCTGTCTCAAAATAAAAGAGATAAAGATGTAGGTGAAGTCCTGGGTTCAATCCTCAGGATCACCAAAAAATAAAAAATGAGGTGGAGGTTGGGTGGGGAACCCAGCTCCAAAGAGATAAAGCCTCAAAAGGTGCATTACCAAGACATGCTCTTTAGTACAGGGAACTGACTGGGAAGTCTGACTGGCCCAGCAGTGGGCAGGGAAAACCAGCCAACCCCTAGGAATTCAAAACACATGCTCATTTTCGTGGGGGCCAAAGGGAAGGGAGGGTTCCAATTTCTATCCCCCAGAAACCACCCAAGTTGATATCAAAGATGGCTTTAGGCTGGAAGAAGAAAACAAACCACTCTGGATCCTCAACCCAATCCGTACTGGATCCCAAAACCGGCCTCATGATCCCAAATCACTGGAACAGGTGTGACAGTGGCCCTTGGGGGCACCCAGCTTGAGCAAGCCCAGGTAAGATTGCACCCCAAGGACTCCAGGTACCAGAACAAGCTGCTCAGTGCCAAAAGGCTAGGGGTTAAAATGACCAAAAGCAGAAAAGGAGGAGTTAGGAAGCAAATTTAAGTCACAGTTGCTGAAAGTAGAAACTCACTGGACAGTATGAGCGGATTAGACACAGCCCAACAGAGAGCTGGGAGCTTTCTCTCTGATTTAAGACACTCAGAAGACAGATGAGAAGGCACAAAATAAACCCAGGAGAACTGAAAAGAAAGGACAAAAGAGCAAGGAAGGCTGGGGGGGGGGGTCTCAGTGCTTGCCAAGTGTGCATGAGGTCCTGGGTTCCAATCCCCAGCACCGTGAAAAAGAACAAAGGACAATTAGTAATCCAAGGCAGTTATTAGAAGAGAATTTTCCAGAAGTGGCAGAAGATACATCCTCAGATTCAAGCACAATGAGTTCTAAGCAGAATAAGCAGGACACAGGTGTACACTTGGACACCACACATCGAGGTATTTGGGAGACCAAGGATAGAGGGAAGCAAGTGAGAAAACGGAGCAGAAGGCTGAAAATGAATCTGACCTTCAGCAGCGACAGTAGGCAGAAGGAAACCAAACACTCCTCAAACAGTATGGAGAGGAGACCACCACCCGCGCAAAACTCTTCCCCCGTACATCTCATTCATCAGGGTGAAATGCAGACCTGTTCAAAAGCTTTCCTAGGGCCAGGGATTTTTCAGTGGTTCTGGCGCTTGCCTTGCAAGCGCAAGGTCCCGAGTTCAATCCCCAGTACCCAAATAAATAAGTAAATAAATAAAAGCTTTCCTAAAGGAGCGAAGGATACATTTCAGGCAGAAGTACACGGAACCCAGAGAGAAGGGCTGGCTTTTGCTAAGTCAGAGGTGCATGCTAGAATTTAATGTCGCCACTGATGTAGAAGATACAGCAAAGAAGGGGCGGGGAACAATCAAAGAAAAGCCTGGAAAGAAAAAAACAACAAGGGAAAAGAAGGACAGAATGCCTAAAATAAGACAGTAAAAAAACAAAATATAATCCCAATAAATCTAAAGAAACTAACGCTGACAAGTGAAAGCCATAGATTTTCAGGGTGAGTACGTTTTGTAGATGCAAAGATACAGTCCCAAAAAATAAAGGTTCAGAAGCCAACAGGAAAAGGTTGGAACAAAAGATATCAAATAAGTGTTACTCAAAAGAAAATTGGGAGGGCCGGGGATTTAGCTCAGTGGTTTCGCCGCCTGCTGTGCAAGCGCAAGGACCCGAGTTCGATCCCAGGCACCAAAAACAACCCCAACAACAAAAAAAAAGAAAATTGGGATACACTGGGCATGGTGGTGCATGCCTGTAACCCAGCACTTGGGAGGCTGGGGCAGGAGGATGGCCATGAGTTTGAGGCCACCCTGGATGATACAGCAACACCCTGCTCAAAAAAGAAAGAGAGAAGAAAACTGGTATAATTCTATCACTACTGGACAGAGCAGACAGCAAAGGTGCTACGTAGTGACCAAAAGAGCAAGGTGCTGTAATCCCACACCCCTATACCTCCAGAGACAGAAAGCAAAATCTGACAGCTTTCAAGGAAAATTGGACAAATCCACAACCATAGTGGGAGTTTTTCTATTTTGCTTTTGGCGCTGGGGATGGAACGCAAGGCCTTGTGCACCCTGAACATCTGCTGTGACACTGAGGTACCTCAGGCCCTCACACCATGGGATTTTAACACACTGCTCAGGTATTTGTATAGCATAATCAGAAAATTCAACTTAATGGCCTATATCCAACAAGAGAATGTAGACTCTTTTCAGGTAAACAAACAAAAAAAACATGTAACAACCTACAAAGGAAAGTTCAACAGATGTCAGCCAACCTAGATCAGGAGTTGGTCAGCAAACTACAGCCCTTAAGCAAAACTCAACCCATTTTTATAAATAAAGTTTTATTCTTTTGTGGGGGTGGGGGTGGGCAGGGGTTACTGGGGATCAAACTCCGGACCTTGCGCTTGTGAGCCAGGTGGCGGCACCACTGAGCTAAATCCCGGGCCAATAGTTTTACTATTTATGGCTGTTTAGTCCTACAACAGCAACACTGAGCAGTTGATCAAATCCTAAGATATTCTTTATCTGCCCACTGATAGGAAAAGATTGTGGACCCTAATCTACATCAAACAGACCAATTTATCTGTCTACAAAGCAGCAAAATTGGAAACTAGTACCATAAAGGTCATCTTAAGGGTTAGAAATTAATGAACTAGGGCTGGGGATTTAGCTCAGTGGTTTCACAACCTGCTGCGCAAGCGTAAGGACTCTAGTTCAATCCCCGGTACCAAAAAAAAAAAAAAGAAATTAATGAACTAATCATCCAACACTATTAGTTACCAGAAGAACAGAACAATCTCAAAGGAAATGAGGGAAGAGGAGCAGAAATTAATTAAATAAACTCCAAATAAGATAAAGAAGTGAGGAAAGCCAAAATAAGATCTTCAAAAAGGTATCAGACGGGCCGGGGATTTAGCTCAGTGGTTCCGCTGCCTGCCTCACAAGCGCAAGGTCCTGAGTTTGATCCCTGGTACCAAAAAATAAAAAAGGTATCAGACAATCCTGGAAAAAACTAATCAAGGAAAAAATGAGAGGAGTCACAAAGAATGGGAAAAGGGACAAAGTGCCACTGCAGGGTTCTGCAAATTGACTCCAGTGTTTCTAACTCCCCTTCCAACAGGGACACTGCTGTAGCTGCAGTCTGTCAGGCAAAGAGCGGCTGTGACCTCACAGAAGCCAGCATGGATGAAGTGGCCTCTTCAGCTCCACCCCGCGAGCCGGGTGGGACAGCGCGGGCTGCTGGACTGTGGGGCTCACCTGAAGGATGGAGCGCCGAGGGGTAGAAGTCCACGGGGGTGCGGGCAGGGGTGATGCGGGGGTCCATGTAGGAAGGCATCATCATCCAGCGGGGGTCAAAGCCCAGCATCTGGGGGTGGTGCGGGTAGAAGGTGCGCTGCGGGTGGGAGGGCGGAGGGTACACCGGCTGCCAGTGCTGCATCTTGTACAGCTGCTCCTGGCGGGGGAGAGAGGGAAACAGGTCACAGAGGTGCGCGATGAGGTGCCACACACACACACACACACACGCACGCACGCACGCACGCTCCAGCCTCCCCACAGGCAGCACGGAAAGCCCGCGGGACTGAAGAGGGAAGGGCCAACAGCTGCCCATGGGAGCTCCTGCTTGTCGCACCACTCCCAACAGGAGCCCCACTCCTGTGCTCCCTGAGACAGGCCAGGCTTCCTCATGGATCTGGTGCTGTCCTGGACACCTCCTGGGAACCACTGGGTGCTGCCACTTTGTCTCCTGGTCTACAGCCACCACCCCGGGATGGTCCCTTCCTCTGTCCTGTCCTCTCCAACCCCCCACTGTGGGCTCCCAGCTTCCAGAGAGCCTTCCGTGGTCCTCCCCTGCTGCTGCCTAACACGTGGCTGCAGGTGACCAATGGTCCCGTGGGACCCGCCCAGCCTGTGTCCCTGACTTCCACCCCGTGTCTGTCCCCTACTCTGCTCCACATCGCCCCTCGGCCACGCCTGGCCCTGGCACACGCTCGCCCTCTGGGGCACTTCTCTTTTCTCCATCCCTTCTAGCTTTTCAGCTTAAGACTTCTGGAGCAGGCCAGTGTGTCCCCTGTTCCCCTAGGGCTGCTGCTTCTCTGTGACATTCGAGACGGCGCATGCCTGGTCCACTGTGGCCGACACCATCCTGGCAGGAATGGAGGAACACAGAGCATCGGGCCGGGCCCCGACTCCAAGCCACTAGGGAGCTTGGGGCCCACTTCCCACAGGAAGCCTGAACCTGCCATCCCAGCAGGACTCAGGAGCCGGCCAGACCCCGGGCACACCCTTCCCCTCTGCCACAGCTCATCCTGGGCTGGGTTCCCAGGTCCTCGAGGAGCCCCGAGGAGGTTCCCTAAGCAGCACCTCCACCACCAGCCGGGCACCCCCACCCCCGCCCACAGAGAGCAGCTGCCCCACCCAGGGCTCCTCCTATCGGACCCCAGGTCCCAGGAACTTTGACACCCCGCTGCCTGGGGCTCCTGAGGACGGACCCACCCCGCCTGGGAAGAGCTGCTGGGGTCTGCATGTCCGCCCGCAGGACACACGGCTCAGCACACAGGGGCCCCCGGATGTTCTGGTGAGCCCACAGCACAACTCAGAAGCTGCTGGCGGGTGGGTGTGCGTGTGCGCGTATGTTACCTGGAAGGTCTAAGGGCCCACACATTTGGGGATATTTCCAGATATGTTATGCATATATGATATTTCCAGATATGTTCCAGCTGTTATGCACCCAGCTGCTGGGCCTGCCCGAGCAACATCTCCCAGCCACCTCCATTTCCAACCCGACGCAGGATCCCTACCAAGGGCCGCTCTGCCCGTGGCTCTCAGCCCCAAGGAATCGCAGCTGCCCCGCCTGCCCAGAGCAGGTCCCCGAGAAGGGCTGCAGAAGGCCGGCACTGACAGTGCCCGGGACCCGTTCACAGGTGTCGCCGCACCAAGGCATCCCTGCCACAGGACCCGCAGCTCTCAGAACCTGAGCGGCTTGGCCCTTCACCCAGAGCCCGCAGGGCCCTCTCACAGCTCCCAGAGGACCCGAGGGCCCGCGAGTTGTGCAAGCACAAGTGTGGCAGAGGCTGAGCCACTCTGAAACGAGGGTGCTACTGTTCAGCCGCGCTACCACTCCGTCCCTCCCCGGGGCCACAACACCAGATCAGGACAGCACCGGGGCCTCGGTCACTTGGAGAGAGCGACCCGCTGCGTTGAGGTGCCACCCCAGATGTCACTGGGACAGAGAGACTGGGCGTTGCCGCTGCCTGCTCACCTGCTGCTGCTGCTGCTGCTGGCGCTGGAATCGGGGAGGAAGCAACTTCTGGTACTTGCTGAACTCCTGTGCTGGAGACCCGGCCTCCCTGGCCTCCTCCTCGATGCTGCTGCTCTGAGCCACCGCGGGAGAGGTGGAGGGCGGCTCTTCTAGGGATGGGGCGGGGGTGTCCTGTGCAGGGAGCTCCTCGGAGCCTGGGAACAAGCAAGCAGAGAGGGGTGCTGCAGGCTTGCCTCAGACTCCCACGAAACACCCCAGAGGCTGCGTCCGCCACCACCGTACAGAGGAGGGCGTGAAGGAGCACAGAGGCAGAGGGATTCTCGAGGCCACCAGCGGCAGCAGATCTGGGAGATGTCACACGCCTCCGCCAAGTCAGAAAGCAGCCGAGGCCTAACCATGGCCCACACATCCACCGTCCCATCAAATGAACTCAACACATCAGGCCGTGAGACCAGGCACATGATTCAGCGTCTCCTGAGTGCTGTGTTGTGTTTTGTTTTGTTTCAGTTTGAGGCAGGGTCTCGCTATGTAGCCCAGGTTGGCCTAGAACTTGAGGCTGTCCTCCTGCCTCAGACTCCTGAGTGCTGGGATTACGGGCGTGTACCACCCTGCCCAGCTCCCTGCCTGTTCTTAGGGATATCTGCCGTGCCTACTGCAGGGGGTTTGGTGAGAATGGAATGGGATTCAGCAAAAGCTCAAGGAAGTTTCTAGGAGACCGGCACAGTCGTCAACACAGGGGTCAGGAAAACCGGAGATTCCCAGAGTCCTGGCCAGAAGCGCTTGAAGGGCAGAGCCGGGAGTGACTACCCGGGAGGACTGCGCCAGGTCTCCCAGGCAGAGCTGGCATGTGCTGCCAGAAGGGAATTAAGGTGTTTGCAGCCCACGCGTCCCTGCGTGGGCAGTAGCACAGGCGCCCTCTCCCATGGCCACGCAGCCTGTCCCTGCTGGACCCACGGCCAGGAGAAACATATGCCAGCCAGCAGACAGGCATCCCGAGGAAGAGTACCCCAGCCTCTGCTGAACGGTGCTGTGATGACAATGACGCATGTCATCAGCAAGCTGCCAACAGTGCACACTGCGTTGGCACAGCCTCTCACAGGGCACCACGTCCTGCAGATGAAGGAAGGGCCCGAGAGGCAGGGTTTCGGCAGTGTTTATGAAACTGAAATAAGCTGAGCATGGTGGTGCATGCTCATAATCCCAGCACTCAGGAGGCTGAGGCAGGAGGATCGCCATGAGTTTGAGGCCTCCCTGGTGAATTCAAGGAAAACCTGGACTACACAGCAGCCCAGTCTCAAACCAACAACCAACCAACCAAAAAAAAAAAAGTTGGAACGGTATGAGAGGCCCGTTCTCTATGTCCTCATTTTAGCCACAGGCTCCACTGAGGAGCCGGGGTGACTGTGCCCCAGGCTCCCGGGTGGTGGCACCAGCGCCTCCTCTCACCTTTGCGGACGGCAGGCCCGTTCTCCTGCAGGGCAGCCTTCTCGGGGCCCGGGGGCCGGGACACCTCCTTCTCCGCCTGCTTCTGGGCCTCGCTAGCCTTCTGGGCCTGCTTGCACTTCTGGTCCAGCAGCTTCAGTTTGGCGGCGCAGGCAGCCAGCCTCTCCTCGCGGGCTCGGCGCTCCTCCTCCTCCCGGCGCTTGCGGGCTCGTTCCACCGCCTCCGACATCTCGGACTGGATGAACTTCTGCCGCGGGGGTGGCTTGTCCTCCTTGTCCTCCACAGACTGCTGCCGGAACACACTGCCCATGGAGGGCTTCTGCCAAGAGAAGGAGTCTGGTGAGAGGCGGTCACAAACTCAGGGACAGGGGCCACGTGCTTTGGGGGATCAGTTTCCCTTCCCGAGGGCCCGGAGCACCTTCCACCAACACCCACCGTTCCTTGTCACAAAACTCTCCCTCCCTTGAAAATACAAAGCCCCAATTAAACAAATTCATTGTCACACACAAACAGCTTCAAATTGGTCTTTACATAAAAATTGCAGGCAGGGGATTTAGCTCAGTGGTTCCGCCGTTTGCCTGCCTCGCAAGCGCAAGGTCCCGGGTTCGATCCGCAGTACCAAAAGAAAAAGAAAAATTGCCAAGCGGGGTAGTGCACGCCTATAATCCCAGCACCACTCAGGAGGCTGAGGCAGGAGAGTCACTGCCAAGTTCAAGGCCAGCCTGAGCTACATAACGAGATCCTGTCTCCAAAAAAGAAAAAGGAAAATCAAGTCTAAAATCATACTTTTAGATATTTTCTCTAATTTTGAGTCTCTTGCTGGCAGCCAGTTACAAAACAAGCAGGGTACCAAAGACAGTACAAAGAACTCAACAACAAACAACCCCAGCTGTTGGCATTCTCATCTGATGTTAGAGACAGGGAAAAAAAAAATACTTCCTGTTTCAAATGGCACCATAGTTACACAGGCGTCTGCCACTGTCAAAGACTGTCAAACTGAAGTAATAAGACCGGGTTTTCTTGTAGGTCTGTTATATTTAACCAAGTAACGGGCTGTGCTGGGCATGGTGGGGAAGAGGGACCAGAAGAGAGTTCAAGGCCAGCCTGGGATACATATTAGCAAGACTCTCCCAAAAAATCAAGAGGAAGCAGAGGAAGAGGAGGAGGGAGGAAGAAGAAGAGGAAGGAGAAATGGTACCTTGGTTCAAGAACTTAATTTCTTCCATGATTCTGGTCACAAACCAAATTGGTCCTGAACCGAATCACATTTCCCCATAAAGTCAACACCAAAGTTGACCATAGAGTTTGATTCAGTTTGCAACCAATTCTGCTTGTGACCAGAACTGTGAATCAAATTAAGTTCATGAACAAGGTACCACTGTATTTGGGGCGGGGTGGGGGGGGTGCCGGGGCTCAAACTCAGGACCTTGTGCTTGCAAGGCAGGCGGCAGAACCACTAAGCTAAATCTCTGGGCCCTAGGTACCACTGTAATATGCAGCACATTTGCTATGGTTAAGGAGTTTCCTCCTAAAAAATTCTCATCATCCAAAAATAATCATTCTAAGGGTAAGATTATGAAACGCCAGTTCAGGAGCACAAAGGCAGTATTTTACACAGACACTCTGGACCGAAGCACACACTTTTCTTTCACTTTGTCACTCAACATGAATCTCTGGCTGTGCTTTGGAAATGGCTGTTCACTGATCACTGCTTGGTTTATACCATAAACTCCCTGATGTCCTGGCCTGGCATGGTGGCACACGCCCGCAATCCCAGCACTTGGGGAGGCTGAGGCAGGATGATCACAAGGTCAAGCCAGCCCAGGCAATGTAACAACTCCACAAGACTGTCTCCAAAATAAAAAATAAGCCGGGCATGGTGGTGCATGCCTATAACCCCAGCAGTGGGAAGGCTGAGGCAGGAGGCTCATGGCGAGTTTGAGGCCAGCCTGGACAACACAGCGAATTCTATGGCAAGCTGAACTATATAGCGAGACCCTATCTCAAAAGAAAAGGAGGAAAAAAAGAATGAGTGAGTGGGCTGGGGATTTAGCTCAGTGGTTTCACAGCCTGCTGCACAAGTACAAGGACCTGAGTTCGATCCCCAGTACCAAAAAAGAAAAAAGAAAAAGAATGAGTGAGTGAGTGAACGAATGAACGGCTGGAGATGTAGCTCTGGGCAAAGGTCCTGGGTCTGATACCCAATACTGGGCCAGGGATTTAGCTCAGTGGTTCCAGCACCAGCCGCGCAAGCGCAAGGTCCTGAGTTCGATCCCCGGTACCCCCCCAAAAATAGTAATAATGTTACCCAGTACTGCAAGGGAAAAAGAAAAAAGGTGCTGATCAGGTTGGCGACAAAACAGTTCCTTCCATCACAGCTCCAACCATTCTTTATTTTTGTGGTTGTTGAAATAGAAAAGAAATGTCACCAGGACTTAGCCTAGTGCTGAACTCAGCCAAGTGTGACCGCTCAGGACAGTGGCTTGAGGCCCTGCCGACCCGGCCTGGAGCTCGGGCACTCAGTGGCAAGGCAGAGCGAGGCATACCTGGTACTCCGGGCCTGACGCCCAGCCATGCAGCTTCCTGGCCGGTGGCTGAGGCTCCGGCACCTTCCAGATGCCTCGGGACAGGCTCGAGGCCTCACTCCAGTCCTTCCCTTCCTCCTGGGCTCGTCTGTTGTCGGCATTGTCAGCGGAGCTCACGGACAGCTGCCGCTGTCTCCTCGGGTCCCAGCTGTTCCTAGGACAGAGGGTGCTCATGTCACCCGTTCCCAGCAGCCAGCACATAAGCACCCCAGCCAGGCCCCTGGCGACCCTGGATCCAGCTGTCCCTGCTCCAGGTCCCTTTGTCAGACACACCCAACACCTCCCCTTCACCAGAGAGCACGCACAATGTCACTGTCACCCTCACGACTCCACTACTGAGGGAGGCGCCCACGGGTCCTGGGCCAGGCCCTGGGCCCCCACACATCACAGCTCCCCTCCCTCCTCAGGGGATGAGAGGTGACCCTGAAGGTGTCCCTTGAAGGAGCAGAGGAGCTCAGTACACAGCTGGAGCACGAAGGTGACATGGGTTCTAGTCAGGGCGTGTCGCGCTCACAGGTGCCCAGCCAGGGAGGCGGACAAGTGCGCTGTGTCCCCCACACAGCTGACAGATGGAGGGAGGAAGAGGCAGGAAGGTGCATAAGAAGAAAGAGCAACAACTGCTAGTGACCTCTGACCTGACCCTGGGGAATGCGGACACCACACGAAAGTCTCTGGCCCTTCTGAAAAGATCTTCGTTCTTGGACAACACCTAAGTAAAGCACGGTGCAGCAGCCGGGCTGGAAGGGACCAGATGAAAGGAAGGAAGAGACACAGACACACCAGAGGGGCGCTGGTCCCAAGGGCGGGAGGGGATGGCGTCAGGGAGGCCTGGGAGCCACCACGAAGAAGAAAGGATGGAGTCAGAGATGGCTCGGAAGCTGTCGTGTGGGTCCCTGGGGTTGGAAATCCCCGCCAGCTCAGGGACCCTGAAGCGCAGGCCGCAGAGCAGGACGCCGGGCCCTAGGCCCCGCCTGAGTCCTCCAGCTGAGCACTCTGTGCCCGCTGACTGCTGAGCCCTGTCCCCACAGCTCTGCACTGCTGCGGCTCTGGTTGGATTTAAACTCTCAGCTGCATCCCCTTCGGAGCTGAGTGTTCCAAGAACTGACCCAGCGTGCCCAGGGGTCTGGCTGGCGCCCAGCCACGGGGAAATGGGCACAGGGAGAGGACGTCTCAGAAGATGGTGACAGCTCCCTCCAGAAGGGTCAAGCGCTTGCTTCAAGGGTTTTTAAGCAAAGACGAAACAACAAGGAAAAGACTTGGACCCAGCCGTATCACCATGCAGTGACTGACAAGAAGACAGCTGAGAGAAAGTGTTTGCCACGGAACAAAGGAAGCGCTCTTTAAAATACAGCGCAGCAGTGAGCACGGAGGGGAGCAGCAACTCCACAAAGGTTGAGAGGCGCACGAGCACACGTAGCAGAAACGCCATTCACAAACCACAAGGATTTACAGAGCAGGAACCGAGACTACGGGTACTAAGATGAAAACCTAAGGGAACTGGCCGGGCACAGTGACGCAGGCCTGTGATCCCAGCATTCAGGAGGCTAAAGCAGAAAGATCCACATGAGTTCAAGCCCAGCCTGAGCTACATATCGAGACCCTACTCAGTAATCCAAAACCAAACTAAGCCAAAACAAACAAACAAACAAAAAACACTGGCTGGGGATTTAGCTCAGTGGTTCCGCTGCTGCTGTGCAAGGTTCCGAGTTCAATCCCTGGTACCAAAAAACAAACAAACTAAAAAACACTAAAGTGATCAGAGTGCAAGGGCACTGAACAGAATCAGTCCCACGCAATGAGAGGGAGCAGATCATACGGGCCATGCAGGTGTGTGGCTGCTCCCCGCCCTCCCTGGTATGCTCAAGCCTCGGAGGCCCCCGCTCAGATGAGGCAGGGAGTAAGGGCGATGCCCGGACTTCGCACAGGGAAGGCGCGGGCCATAGGGGAAGAGGCTGGGACTCGGGACCAGGCATAGCCTAGGGCCAAGCCCAGCCCGGCTGGCAGGTCCTCCACAGCCGACCTCAGGGACTGACGACCCGCATGCAAACCAGACACCCACCTGCCCCTGTGCAGCAGTGCCCTTGCTACAGTGCCAGCAAGTATGCCTGAGGCCAGGCCACACTGGGTATGGAGCTGTGCCGGGAGCAGAGGGGGTGCCTTACCACTTGGGCCGCCCATCCTTCGTGACCTCCTCCTCTTCCTCGTCATCGCTGAACTTGAGCTTCTCAGAATAGTCCACTTCTTCATGGAGGCCTGCAGCAGCGGGCAAGGAGGAGAAAGCAGCCATCAGTGCACTTGGGGCACCATGGGGCAGTGGCCTGCACCGGCCACTGGGCCGCCCCGACTGAGGGCCTTCAGAGCCATCAGGCCGCTACCTGCATAAGCTGGCAGGTAACCAGGAAAGGCAGCTCTGGCTCCCAGGAAGAGCAAAGAGCTCGGCCACACCAACCCCTGCAGACAGACATTTTTACATCTCGACAAAGTATTTGTACACTTTTATTTCACGGCACCAGAGTGAGCAAGGGAGGAAGAAAAGAGACAGGAGGCTCCCCTTGCATCACAGGAACCTTACAGGAGCCTGGAAGCTACTGCCTGCCACTCTCCAACCCAAAAGCTCACCAACCGATAAATGGGCAAAGTATGGTAAATGCACGTGGTGGAGTATTATCTGGCCAAGAAAAATGAGGAAGGTAGATGTACTCTACAACACAATTAACTCTGAAAGCATAACGCTAAGTGACAGAAGCCAGACGCCAATAGGTCACACATGGTGTGACTCTGTCCAGAGGACATGCCCAGAAAATGCAAATCCACGGAGAAGAGGGTGAGGAACAACTGTTAACAGGTATAGGGGTGTGGAAATCTTCTGCTGTTGGGTAGCGGGAGGGGTGCACCTGTGAATACAGTAAAAATGACCAAACTGCAGATTTTTAACTGGGGAGATTCTTTGTTATATGAAAAAATTTCAGGGCCGGGGATTTGGCTCAGTGGTTTCTCTGCCTGCTGCGCAAGCGCAAGGACCCGAGTTCGATCCCTGGTACCAAAAAAAAAAACAAAAAAAAAACCCATGCACAAGGTCCCAAGTTTGATCCCCAGTGCCAAAAAACCCAAAACAAAACTGAGGTATATGAAAAAATTTCATGTGAATCCTATCTTAGAAGAAGAGCAATAAACACAGGCGTGGTGATGTACACCTGTACTCCCAGCACTCAGGAGGCCGAGGCAAGAGGACTGCCACAAGTTTGAGGCCAGGGTGGACTACACAGTGAGTTTACAGCCAGCCTGGACTACATGGAGACCTGTTTAAAAAAAAAAAAAAAAATCCACGAGTAAGCATGTCCAGAGCTGAAAGGAAGCCACCAGCCACCTCCTAGAGCGCAAGACCTAGGACCTGGACTGCCCCAGAGCATGGTCCCGAGCAGGATGCAGATGACACATTCTGCTTCAGCACCCTTGGAAGACTCACCAGGACATGTCACACCCTGCTCACAAAACAGCCCTGGTTAAGTAGAAAAGAACCAAAACCACACAGAAGACAACCTGTGACTACGACAGTTAAATCAGAAACCCAGAAATGCCACCGTAATTACAATGAACTCACTTACAGGGGGCACAAAAAAGAAATACTGCAAAGATCCAACCGGCCCAAAGCTTCCCATTCATCCTTTTTTTTTTTTGAGACAAGGTCTCACTATGTAGCCCAGACTAGCCTGAAACTCGTGGTGATCCTCCTGCCTCAGCCTCCAGAGTGCTGGGGTCATAGGTGTGAGCCACCACGCCCGGCTGCCTTTTTGGGAGGATTAATGAAGCCAATAACTCCAGAAGCATGTAAGAGAGAAGACAGAAGTCACCAAATGACCAGGAATGGAAAGGCCTTGCTGCAGAGGTATAGACTGCAAGTTCACATGAATCACTCAGTGGCTTCAAAGCAATCAGGTTCCTTGGAAGACAACTAGCCTAGGACACAGATACAAAATGACACAGGAGGGCCAGGGATTTAGCTCAGTGGTTCCACTGCCTGCCTTGCCAGTGCAAGGACCCAAGTTTGATCCCTGGTACCAAAAAAAAAAATCAGAATGACACAGGAAATCTGAACAGGCCTGTGAGTAAGCGGAGAAATTAAACCCTAAAACATGTCCACCACGACCATGTCAGGGCCACCCTGTTTCACAGGGGATTTTATCAGGGTTTGAGGAAGAAAACCAAAATGCCTGCAAAAGCCCTTGAGGAATCAGAGAAGCGAGTTCTGGCTCATGGATGAGACCACTGAGACCTGGCACTAAAGGGCAGCAAAGATTAAAAGAAAATTACAGGGCCGAGGATTTAGCTCAGTGGTTCTGCCACCTGCTACGCAAGCACAAAGACCCGAGGAGTTCAATCCCCAGTACCAAAAAAAAAAAAAAAAAAATTACAGGCCAGCCTGGGCCACGCAGTGAGTCTGTCTCAAAAAAAAATGTCATCTCTTCCCCCCATGCTCCATACTGGGGGCTGAACCCAGGACAACCTACCACTGAGCTACATCCGGCCCTTTATATTTATTTATTTTTAAAATTTTGAGACAAGGTCTTATAAGTTAGCCAGGATGGCTTAAACTTGTGGCCCTCCTGCCTCAGGCTCCCATGTAGCTGAGATGACAAGCATGCACCAAGGCACCCAGGAAATGTGTCCCTTTAGTATGACTGAAGTTCAGCTGAGACAAACAAAAGAATTACAGAAGAAAACGGTCCGACTGGGGGTGCGGAGCGGCAGAGATAATAAGCAAGGTAGAACACTTGCGCGTCATGAAACTGAGAGGTATCTGGGAGCTGTTTTTTAAGCTATTTTGTTTAAATTTTCCATTATCATCCAGCCCTGGTGGGGACTTCTGGGACCCCAGCATTCTGGGAGGCTGAGCCAGGAAGACTGCAAGCATCAAGCTCAGTCTTAGAGACCCTATTTCAAAACACTCAACGAGGACTGGGATGTAGCTCAGTACAAAGGTCCTGAGTTCAGTCCCCAGTACAGCATAAAATAAAATAAAATAAAATAAAGAGTTAAACAGCCACATCTCCCTCAGCTCTGAGGTCCAGGGCAAAGGCCAGAAGCCCGTGTGGGTTGCCTGGGAAGCAGCCTCTGGGGTGACAGAAACCTGGGCCCACAGGGCATGGAAGGAACCTGCAGTGGCTCCTCGGGGACCCTGCCCCAGCCCACCTGCCCAGCCATCGTCAGCGTCCGTGTCCAGGTCATCCAGGCCCTTGAGGTTCTCGGCGTTGATGATCGTGGGCCGTGGTGCCCGCTCCACCAGCTGTCGCAGAGGCCGCACTGGACGCGTGAGCCCCGGCCTGCTGTCCTTGCTGCGGAAACAGAAGCAGGTCAGCCCCGCGGGCCTGCTAGGCTGGCCCTGGCCCTGGGCATGGGCATTGGCCTGGCTCTGCTCCTACCAGGCTGGCCCTGGGCACGGGCGTCGGCCCCAGCTTGGCTCCCGCCTTACCTGTCCTGCTCATTCATCTGGAACTGCCTGAAAGGGACTCGGGGCTCCAGGCGGAGCTGTGGGGCGGGGAAGGGGCCTCGCTCCACAGGACCCTGGTTCTCGGATGACTGCGGCGAACACATCTGAAACAGAACGTGGTGATTTTCCAGGAATGGCAGAAATTCCAAGTTCCCCTTCGGTTAGATTTTTATTTTTGTTTGTTTGTTTTTCTGAGAGAGGGTTTCACTGTGTGGCTCAGGCTGGCCTTGAACTCACAGTGATCCTCCTGCCTCAGCCTCCCAAGTGCTGAAGTCCTGGGATTACAGGTGCACCACCACGCCCAGCATTCAGTTAGAATTTGTTTTGCAAATGGAGGGAAAAGAAGCAAAGCTGGGGTTTCCTAGTGGATCTCACCGTGAGCATCCCTGTTTCCTCCCTGTAGTCGGCTAGTTAGTGTTAGGTCCATTTTGGGGAATGCTAAGGCTGACAGCATACCCACAGCATAGGCACGGGAGCCAGAGGCCCACAGGACATAAAAACAGGGTGGGGAGCTGCTGATCCACTACATCGGGCAGAGGGCGTGGGAGGGCAGACCCCAGGCACTGAACCCCGAGACTTACAAAGGCGGGCAGCATGTCATGGTAGGTGGGTGGGTGGTACACGTTGCCCACGAACTGCGAAGCCCCTTTGCGGACAGGCTGGGCTGGGCGGAGCGCGGGGTCCTTGGCATCGCTGGCGCTGGCTGACGAGGGGGCTCCGTCTCCCGTGCCCATGTTCCTGCTGCCCGGCTCAGGCGGGGAGGCATTCAGAGCTGTGGCAGCAATGATGTTTCGCCCACCGCCCTCCCTCCAGCTTGTCACATCTGGAAGCGGAAAGGGGCACAGGGGAGGAAAAGGGGAGCGGGCTTAGGAGGTTCAGAGAGTCAAGGGACCCCGCGATCACCAAACTATAAAATTAAAGAAATTTTAAAGAAAATAACAAAAAGTTAAAAACCAAAAGTACGGAATAGCACAGTCTGTCAAGGAAGGCTGGGGGCAAGGGGTGATCTTTGCTGTTGAGCTCGGAGAGAGGGTGAGGGTAATCGAGACACGGCCACGGACCACAGAGCCGGGGTGTGACGCCAGCACAGTCCCCGTGAGGCCGCCTCCGGTCCTTCCTGCTGCCACTGCTGAGCCAGGCCCGGGGGCTCAGCTCCACGGCCGGCCCTGGGCTGAGACTAAAGCCATGGCAAGGCACTGAACCGATGCCACCCGACAGGCCAGGCTCCCCTGTCCTCAGTGGGCCGGGGCCTTCCAGGGCCCCAGGGAAGGAAGCTAGCACTAAGACTTAGAGGAGCCCTTATCCCAGGGAACCCCTGGATAAACCAAACCCTAGGCACACTGTTTCTTCTCATGTATGTATCTGCGACAAAGATCGAGAGGTAAATCGAGTACAGTAAGGAGTAAGCAACTGTAGCAGTACACTGGAATAAACACAATTACCTGAACACAGTCTCACCCTCTCTTTCAAAATCTTTTTTTTTTTTTTTTTTGGTGGAACTGAGGATTGCACTCAGAACCTCTGCACTGAGCTCCATCCCCAGCCCTTTTCTGAGATGGTCTCACTCAGCTGCCCAGGCTGGTCTCCAACTTGCGATCCTCCTGCCTCAGCCTCCCATAGCACTGGGATTACAGGTGTGCGCTAACACACCCAGCTCACAATACTGTATTGTTCAGTAATATTTTCAGATGCAGCTGACCCCAGGCAACTGCAGAAAGAGAAACTGTAGGCCCGGGGATTTAGCTCAGTGGTTTCATCACCTGCTCTGCAAGCACAAGGACCCAAGTTCAATCCCCGGTACCAAAAAAAAAAAAAAGAGAAGCTGTATAAAAAAGGAGACCACTGCAGGGGCCACAGAGCAATTAGATGTCCTAAGACTTCTCGGTCAACTTTCGGTTGGGAGCTGAGACACGAATGAGGCCCCCACTCACGTCTCTGTGAGAGAGAGGACCAGGATGAGAGCCAGGAACCAGGCTGCTCCCACTCTGTCCAAGTAAGCCGAGGTCCACCTGCTTCCTCACTTCACCAACAGGAGGGAACTGGTCCTGGAAGCTGCTTCTAGCTCCACACCTTTACAGCCCTAATTCAGGGCAACTCGGCTTAATTAACCCCAGAAAGGCACAACTCTTGTTCCAGACTACTTGGTTATGTATTTGCAGCAAACAAAACAAACCCACGAAGGCCACTGGCAAAGCTCGGTGGTCCCGTAGTGCACAAGACACCACCTCAGGAGGGGCCTTGGGGATTCATCAGGATTGAGATGAGGCAGGAGGGTTGCCGTGAGTTCGAGGCCAGCCTGGGCTACACAGTGAGGCCACTCGGAGGAAGGGCAGTGCGCCTGGGCTGGCTGCTCAAAGCCCAGGGACAGGGACAGGGCCACAGGGACCTGACTTGGCTGGGGGGACCCTGGCGGGATTCCACCAGGCTCGGAACCACCATGCAGCTGGCCCTTGTCACCCGGGTGACAGACGGGAAGGGACCAGAAGGCCAGGGAAGACTGGCCGAGAAAACATCAGCAGACACGACCAGGCCAGGGCTCCTGGCCTGGGTCTCCCTAGCAGGGCAGATGCGATGTGGGGATCCTGCTGTCTGGTAAGGACGAGGTCGGGGACAGGGACGAGGGCAGCAGGCAGACTCACTCTGCGGGCGGAGGCTTGGTCCTGGCCCATACGACAGATCTAAGGCGCCCTTTTCTCTGCCAGCCTTGTCCTGCCCCCCAGCTGCCTTGAGCGTCGGAAATTCCTCGGGAGAGAAGGCTAACAGTCGGCTTGAGCCCCTTAAACCTGCGGAGATCGGGGGACAGGGAGCAGTCAGCGGCATCGCCCTCCATCTGTGCCCGCCAGCTGCCGAGCGCCTGGGTGCTCCGTGCCCAGGCCAGACGTCACAGCTGCACGGCCACATCCCTGCCCACACCTGAAGTCAGGCCATCGGCCAGGAGGAGACCGCTACCCTGGGGCAACTCGACACAGTCCCTGGGCCACCTTGGGGCCGCCACACAAGCCCCGCCGTGGCCACCTGTACTCCAGTTCCACTTCCCACGCAGCCTCGGGGCCTGCCAGGCCGACACGGGGCACAGGCAACACTGGGAAGCGGTTCTTTCTTTGATCTGTCGCTCCTTGCTTGCCACCACCACCCCCTTTACAGAGCCACCTTGTCCCCTCCCCGCCTCCCGGCCTGCACAGCACACAGCAGATTCCACTGTGTGATTCCACACAGCAGATTCCACACAGCAGATGACCAGGTGACAAGGGCCGAATTTTAAGTTCCTGAGTAGGAACAAATTGGTTGGTCCAGACTAGCAAGTGCTCAGGACGGCTGTGACAGCCCGCCCACTGGACCCCTGAGGGGACACAGTGCACCTGCCACCTCCTCAGTGAGGGCCCCAGTCTGAGGAGCCACCAGGCGATTAGCCTGGGCGGGGACATCCAAGGGCCACAAAGAGCCACTGCTCTCAGACGGGGACTTCAACAGAGCAGCTGTGTGACGTTAAAGAGTCACGTCCACAGAAGGAACAGCGAAAGTCCCACTCTGAACCAGGCGGGACTATCTGGATATGTCAACAAGGCCTTTCTAATCCTTCTGCTCAAGAGCCACGAAAATATCACTGCAAGCACGGGTGAAACTCTTCCTCCAGACAACAGGGCAGAGGCTACCTTAGGCCCCAACACCACAACGCCAGCAGCCACATCCGGTCACACTCAGCCACACTCGGGGCCCACGCTGTCCAGGCCAATGGCCTTGGGTGACACGACTTAAAGGCCATCTCGTGCGTTGGGATGATGCCACTTTAGCAAGTCCTCTTCCCAGGAGCACGTCACGCTCAGCGCCCCTGTGCCTCACCCCATGGCATCACAGACGTGACATGTGGCTGGCAGCAGAGCAGGCCGGAAGCCTGATTCTCCCCCACTGGGGCTCCAGAGATTCCCAAAGGCTCTGGGCACCAGTGCGGCCACCAGCAAGGGTGGAGGACCTTCCCGGGCCTGCACTGGTTTTCCAGGGAAGTTTATCTGTGCTAAGTCATGTGTTTACACGGTTCCCAACGAGGAGCTAGGACAGCATTCCAGATGGGCCTGGCCTGGGCCACTTCCACACCCTAAAGCCCAGGCCATCCGTCCCTCCCTTCCCATGAGCCTCCTGGCAGAGGTTGTGAAAACTGCACATTCCACTTTTTTTTTTTTTTTGGTATCGATGATCCAACTCAGGACCTTGTACTTTCGAGGCAGGCGCAGCGCCACTGAGCTACATCCCTGGCCCTCATATTCCACATTTTGCAGCAGCATTTTCCTTATCTCTGTTCGTCACACAAATGGCAGCAATTGTCACCGTTCAGAACTAGACCTGGCTGCAGCCACAGAAAACGTCTGCTTCTTTTCTTCATAGAAAAATTGTATTCCAAAAAAAAAAAAAGAAAAATTGTATTCCACACCCGAAGGAGGGCCCACGTGACTGTGTCCAGTCCTCTGCTGTCAGTGTCCTAGTGGACAATCTTGTACATAGATCTTCTCCCAAGTGGCCGAGAACCATTCACAGTGGAATGAGCCGCCAGCTCAAGGGCGTGGTGGTGTTCTGACAGGGAGTGCCAACTGGCCTGCACAGGGCTGTGACAGCTAACAATCCCTGTGGTTCTCTTTAAATACAACTTGATATCCTGTTTCCTTTAAAAAATTTGAAAGCCAGAATGCTGCCACACACCTGCAACTCCAGCACTCAGGAGGCTGAGGCAGGAGGATCTTTGAGAATTCAAGGCCAGCCTGAACTACATAGCAAGACCCTGTCTCAAAAAAAACTTAATCAGTTAATTAAAATTCTAACTGTACAGAAACAGGGCTACAGACAGCCGATGCCCTGCAGGAAGACTCTGTGTGGACGGACACTAGGGGCCCAGTGTCCTGTTGCCCTCCTTGGTCTCCCACCACTGCTAGAGGACCCGCGACGCAGGGTGGAGCCGAGTGCCCAGCCCGCACTGTGGCTCCTGGCAGATGCTGGAGCGGAGCCCTGCTTGGTGCTGACCGGTTTGACACTTTCCTCGGGAGGCAGGAAGGCCTTTGCCACGGTGGCCTCCACCTGAGGGGCGCGGCCCCGTGCAGCCCGGGCATGGAGCTGGTTTCCCACTCCAGCTGTGGAGGCCCAGGGCGCTGCCTGTTGGGTCCACACGTGTGAGAGAACGCTCCAGGTCATGCAGAGTGCTGAGACCTCAGGGAGGAAAGTGGACCGGTGTGCTCACCAACACCGTGCAGCCGCAGGGCCACATCTCCAGCGCTCCGGGGTGCAGGCCTCGAGAGCTGCTGGGATCTGTAATTCCCACTCAGTATTCTCCCTGAGACACTGCCTCACTATGCAGCCCAGCTGGCCTGGAACTCACGGCGACCAGCCTGCCTCAGTCTCCCTAGTGCTGGGGCCACAGGTGTGCAGCACCATGCCCGGCTTCCTCTTCCCAGCTTCGAGCCTGTGTCCTGGGTCAGGCCCGCAGCGGCAGCTCCACCCCGGGGCTGGCTTGCCAGGTCCCCAGCACCTTTCCCTGTGGCCCCAGTGCAGGAAGTCACTGGGTGCCGGCGACAGGACGAAGAAGGCGCCGACTCCACCTGCAGCGCAGCTGAGCGGAGACTGTGGAGGCCGTGCCCAGGCCCCCTGCACCCCAAGGTCTGGCTTTGGAAGAGGCAAGAGCTCACAACCCCTGCAGCGCCAGCTCCTCCACCGCCACCACGGCCGAGGGCCTCAGGTGCTTCCCCTCATGGACTCCACCAGGCTTGCGGGTCCCCAGGCCCCCGGGAAGGACCTGGGGTGGCGACCCTGCCCCACCTCCTCGCACACTCACCACCTTCGTGTCCTGCTGGCTTTCCATTCAGCTGTGCCCATGACTTTGGTCCACCTGGCACTGAATCTGTGTTCTGGAAGAGATGGAGACGAGCAGGGCTGGGTGAGGGAGGCCCTGCCTCGAACACACGGACACACGGCCCAGCAGGATCGGGCAGCCCCACCTGGCGGTGGCACCGGGCTGCAAAGGTCTGCTCAGGGCCCAAGGCGGCTCCGGAACCAGTGACTACTGGGCCTGGACATCCGGTTCCCGTCGGCATCGGGATCTGCACCCAGTGCCGCCGTGTGCAAAGCCCCTTAGGGTCCCCAGCTGGAGCTTCGCAACCTTTGCCAACAGCAGCTGCCTTCGTGGCCTGCCCTGGCCAGCTGTTGGCCAGGAGAGTAAACAGTCGTCCTCTGGCATCCGTCCCTACCCGCTGTCACCCCCGCAGGAGACTGAATCCCACTCCCACGGAAGACAGCAGCATTCTCTGGAGTGCTTTAAGTCATGATCAGAGAGGACAAGGACAAAAAAGACCCAGCGGCCACCAGGAAGAGCTGAGCCCTGGACAGAGTGACCAGGCGCAGTGCTGCGTGGGCCCACCTGGCTGCAGCCCAGACCCTTCAAGAATATTCTTAAACGGGCCACAGGGCCAGAACTGTGTTGAACACACTGTGCAGCCAGGGCTGAAGAACCACAGCACCAAACTCTCCGTTGTGAATTCTCTACTCAAGTGGCCAGCAGGCCTGAGGAGGGCAAGGCCAATGACCACGGACTCCCACAGGAGCGGGGTCCCACTCCCTGGCTGTAATTCCCAAAGCACCTATCAGCAGTGCCGAAGACTGAGGCTCCTCCATTTCCGCTGACAGCAGACAGGGGTGTGTTTCATCTCCTATGCTACCCACCAAAGCCAGGCAGTGTGACGCACACCTGTGATCCCAGTGCTCAAGAGGCTGAGGCAGGAGGATCACCATGAGTTCGAGGTCAGCGTGGGCCACAGAGTGAGTTTAAGCCCAGTCTGAACTACATAGTGAGGCCCTGTCTCAAGAAACCAACACAACAAAAGAACACAACAAAAAACTCTACGGTGCCCAGCAAACAATACAAATAATACACAAGTTGCCTATGCATATCCTCCTGCCGATCTGTGCCCACCACAGGCAGGGTTTGATGGACACAGGGTGTCACAGGCCCTTGCATGGTTATAAATCAGTGCTTTCCGTTGAGAAAAATATTTTAAATGTATCAATGAGTAAAGGAATGTAGCTCAGCATTTCCCAGTGTGTATCCAGGTTATTTCCTGGAGACATTTTGTTTTAGAAAGGCTTCCCAAAGCTAACCAGACTAGGGACATGGTTCATGAAGTCCTCTTAGGGAGTCACTGCACACATGTGCACATCAAAGGCTCTGCAAGCACTGCAGCCAGGCGCTGGCTTAGTTCTGTTTTCCAAACTCACCTCCGAAAGAAATGCAGTTTTTGTCTTCTTTCTGCAGTACTGAGAACTGGCCCTGGGCCTTCACATCCCCGAGCTACATCCCCAGCCCTTTTATCCATCCATCCATCCATCCATCCATCCATCCATCCATCCATCCATCTATCTAATGGGACAGGGTCTTACCAACTCTCAAAATGCCCAGCCTGGGCTCAGACCCGCCACCCTCCCATCTCAGCTTCCCCGGACGCTGGGATTACAGGCATGGCCCACCACACTTGGCACTTTTTGTGTTTTGTAGCATCAGTTTCCCTGGAGCACGTTTAGGGATACTGAGCCAGCTGGGAGTCAACCTAAGTGGCTCCACATGAAGGCAAATCAGCAAAACCAAAGCAGGCGCCTGTGTCCCGCTCTGTATCTGGGGTCTTTCTCCAAAGCTACAAGTCAGCGGGGGGTGGGGGGGGTGGCTCTCGCTTGGAATCTCAGTACTGGGGAGGCTGGGGCAGGAGGATCGCCACGAGTTTGAGGCCAGCTTGGGGTACAAAGTGAGACCCTGTCTCAGAAAACAAAACACAAAGCTGAAGATCAGCTGTTTGCAGAGAACATTTTCCTGCACTCGCTGCATGGGTGCATCAGGGCCTCCGCTGGGACAACTGGGTCAGGGAGAAGTGGACTCCTTGGTCATGCACCCCGTCCCTGGCCATGGGGCACCCAGCACCTACCTCCTGGCTGATTGACTGTGTCGGCTTCTGCTGCAAATTGGAGACAGATTTCTGCAAACCCGGCTGCGGCAGCAACTCCGGCGGCTGACAGGCCGTCGCACTGGAACTGGGACGGGGAGGACACCAAGGGACCATTAGACCCAGCACGGGGGACGCAACAGGCCACACTTCCAAGAGCCACAACGGGCAGCAGCTCCCTGAGCTCCACAATAATCACTTTCCCTGGCGGAGTCGATGCCATGGAGACCGACATGGAACGGAGGATTCGCCAATGGGGAAATTGAGTCACGGGTCTCCTTCCTCCTGACGGTGGCCCATGCCTACTGGAGGCCACTGCTTTGAGACTTTCCTCCTTTCTCGCCCCTTATCAAAGAAATTCAAACTCATAGTAAACATAAACACGGAGAGCTGACTGTGGTGGCCACACCTGTGATCCCAGCACTCTGGGAGGCTGAGGCAGGAGGATCACTGTGAGTTCAAGGCCAGCCTGGGCTACATAGTGAACTCAAGGCCAGGCTGAACTACTAGTGAGACCCTGCCTTGAAGGAAAAAAAGATAAATAAAGGTATGAATATATATGAACTGTAACTGGTCATGAACTGGTCATCCAGGCAGAAACTCAGGATTTCCCACACGTATATTAATAGAGCAACCTTTTCAACAGCAGGCTGGTCCCTTTTCTCTATGTGAACATTTCCTCACAACAATACATATACACCTACCAATCTTTTAACGGATGACAGAGGGCAACTGGATGGGCTTCAATTTAACCAACTTTTTTTTTTTCCCATTACAGATAAAGCTCCAGTAAGTATTTTGTACATGTACAAATCCTTCTGCTTTGTTTTTCTTTGTTTTGAGACAAGGTCTCACTATGTAGCCCAGGCTGGCCTTGAACTCATGGTGATCCTCCTGCCTCAGCCTCCCGAGTGCTAGGATTATTGGTGAGTCTTCTTGTGTTTGTTTTTTTATAAGTAAATCAGTGGCATATGACCTTAGAAATGACATTATTAGATGAATGGATGTTTGGGGGTTTAAAAGACACCAACAAACTGCTCCCCGAAAAGGCTGTGTCAAATGTCAGGTCTCCCAGTCGTCTTCTGACAGAGCAGCAGGACCTGGCTCAGCAGAGGCTCCTTCCATCCACCTTTCCACTCCACAGACCCACAAGAGGGCAGCAGTCCACCTGGCGGGGTGCCACAGTGCCCGTGCCCATCTGTAAGCCAGAGCCATGGGCTCCGCACACCTGTGGCCTGATTCCCCAGCACTCACGATCTGTCAGACGGAGGCCACAGCCCCCAACACCTCATCTCCACTGCAAGCAGAGGCTTCTAGCACCTTGGGAGGCTGAGGCAGGAGCATTGAAAGGTTTTTTTTGTTTCGTTTTTTTGGTACCGGGGATCGAACTCGGGTCCTTGCACTTTCGCAGAAGGCCAGGTGGCGAAACCACTGAGCTAAATCCCCGGCCCAGGAGGATTGAAAGTTTGAGCCCAGCCCAGGGAACTCAAGTGACTTAGTGAGACCCTGTCTCAAAATAAAAAAGAAAGGGCCGGAGACTTAGCTCAGTGGTGCCGCTGCCTCCTTGCAACCACAAGTTCCTGAATTCAATCCCCAGTACCAAAAAAACAAACAAAAAAACATGGAAGACTTTTTGGGCCGGAGGTTTAGCTCAGTGGCACCAGCACCTGCCTGGCAAGTGCAAGATCCTAAGTTGGATCCCCGTTCCACAAAAAAAAATAAAATTAAAATAAAATAAAATAAAATAAAATAAAAAGGGGCTGGGGATAGAGCTCAGTAGCACGAGCACCTGCCTGGCAAGTGCAAGATCCTAAGTTGGATCCCCGTTCCACAAAAAAAAAATAAAATAAAATAAAATAAAATAAAATAAAATAAAAAGGGGCTGGGGATAGAGCTCAGTATGAAGACCCTGGCTTCAATCCCCAGGGGGAAGGAAAGACACCTCTAGGACCCTATTTCATAACTCCTGCTGCAGGCCCAGTGCTGAAGCTCCCTCTTGCTCCTCTGGCAGGAGGCCGCTCCAAGCAAGGCATGGGAGACACTGGTCACCAGAGACAAGGCTACCACAAACGCTGTCACCTCAGCTCCAAAAACCAGCAGAGCCAGTTTCCCTGGCTCCATGTACGAGGCAGTACAGCCACCCGGCCAAGCCAAGGACACCAGGGACCCCAAGAGGCTGTGCGGTCTCAGCTACTCCGCACTCACCTCTTTGGGTCTTGCTGGTCCGTCTTGTTTGCCCATCCCGTCCCGTCCTTGGGTACTATCACGATGTTGGGGTCGTTTCCTTTGTTCTCAGACTTCAGGCTTGGCAGGTTTGCAGGCGGTGGCATGCGCCGGGCTGTGGCAACTTTCCCGAGACTCTGTAAGCCATGCCTAGGAATAACTGCGGGGAGGAGGTATCACACGGCAAGGTCACGGGGGAAGAGGGCGCACACCCCCCCCCCGCAGTCACTCGGGCACCAAGACTTGGGGACAGGGTCGCTGCCGAAATCTGTGCAGTGGCCTCGATGCCCTGACGGCAGGAGGCAGCTCCAGGAGCCAGGGACCTGGATGCAGAGCCAGCAGGGATCTGATCCCTGCGGTTTGGACAGGATCAAAGGATCTTTGCCCAGACTCTCAAATGTTAGACAGGGACACCTAAAGGGTGACACTAACACAAACTAAGCTCCACTCCACCCTCGAGACCGCAAGGAGACAAGGAGACAGGGCGACCGCGCTTCCCTCCCCTCCGGGGTACCCAGCTGCCCTGCACCCCCAGAGCCTGGTCTACCGGGTGGCACTGTGGGGCCTGCTCTGGGGGCATCACACAGGGGAGTGGCCCGAACCCTACCCCTCCTGGGCCTCACCTGAGGATCTGGCCACGTCTACTGATTTTCCTTTATACTTGTCAAACAGGCTGAGAGTCGAATACTTGCTTTTCCCATCCTTGCCCTTCGTTATTTGCCCCAAACGATCGGACATCGCGATGAAATGTCATCGAGTAAGAAAATTTTTCTCGGCACCGCTCCCGATCTGCCTTTGGGATGGAGAGGGAATCATTCATTAGTCACCAGAACCTGGGATCCGAGGGGCTGGACCTGGGTCTCCCCAGGGGGCTGCCTCCAGGCAACGCTCGACCATCGCCAGCAGGGGGAGCTCTGCAGACGCGGTCACTAAGGCCACCCTGCCCCACCCACTTCACACTGTGGCACGGCAGGCGGAACACAGAGTATCAGCCAGCTTGGTGAGGGACAACCCCACGCCAGGGACCTGGAGTGCACGCACAGAATACCAAACCAGAGAGCAGGCAGCCGATCCACTGCCATGGAGGCGAAAGCCAGGTCAGAGCAGTGCCACAGAGATCAGGAACTCTCTCAGAGACACATGCGTTTCCAATAAACGGCCGGCACCCAGGCCATTATCCTAGCCTTTGGGAGGCTGAGGCAGGAGGACTGCCTCAAGTTCGAGGCCAACCTGGGCTACACAGTGAGACCCTGTCTCAAAAGAAATTTTTAAGGGGCCAGGGATTTAGCTCACTGGTGCCACACCTGCCTCACAAGCACAAGGTCCTGAGTTCAATCCCTGATACCAAGAAAAAAATTTTTTCTTTTTGTTCCGGGGATCAAACTCGGGTCCTTGCACTTGCGCAGCAGGCGGTGAAACCACTGAGCTAAATCCCTGGCCCCCAGAAAAAAATTTTTTTAATTTAACAAAATACAGGCACCAAGGCGCAAGGACCCAAATTCGATCCCCGGTACCAAAAAAAAAAAAAAAAATACAGGCACCGGGGATTTAGCTCAGTGGTTTTGTCACCTGCTGCGCAAGCGCAAGGACCCGAGTTCGATTCCCAGTACCAAAAAATAAATAAATAAATAAAATTTAACAAAATACAAAAAATGAAATGAAATACAATAAAAAATAAAAATAAACTCCCAAGGTGGAGAGGCCCTGGCAGAGGGGCTGAATATTGCTTCTCATCCTGCCCCTGGCCGGGCCGGGCTCCACTGCCCCAGCAGGGCCTACCCTGGGCCTGGGCCTGTCGGGGGAACTCCTGTGAGCGTGTGGGAAGGGGGTGATGATGGGGGAGGGTCCCGGGACCCCAGGGGTCCCCTGGGCCACTGCACACTCTGGACCTCCGGGTCGGTCCCTTGATAAACCTACGCCACTTCAACCCACTGCGAGAGTGGCCACTTGTCCCAAAAGCAGTGAGAAACAGCCGGGCATATGAAGATCACAAGTTCGAGCCCAGCTTGAGCAGCTTACTGAGACCCTGTCTCAGAATATAAAATGTGTAAGAGGCTGGAAGTGTAGCTCTGCGTGAGGGTCCGGATTCCACTGCGTGTGTCGGGGGACAAAAGAAACAAACACTCAGTAACCGGACTTCGTGGCCAACAGGAAGAGGAGCAGGACACGGCCCCACCCACGCATCCCCACCACACGGCCAGGGCTGAGAGGCAGCTACATCCCCGAGGTCCCTGGACACAGCCGTGCCACCGAGCTGTGTGGAGGTCTCCGTCCTGCCATACAGATCGGGGAGGCCGACAAAGGCGAGCAGGGAGGCCAACCGCTGAGCGGCCATCAGAGGGAGGGGTGGGAAACAGACGGGAAAGGCTCGGGAGCGCATGGCTTCTCCTACACGAGAACCAACATATGGAAAATAAGACAGGAGGAAATCGAGGAAAACGGAGAAGAGGGGAGGGAGATGAGATGAAGCGGGGCACTAAAGTGCCGTGCACACGCAGCAAGGCCCGTGAGGCACGCGGTGCTCACGTAGTGTAAACTTGTGCGTGCTGGGAGCGCTACGCTGCGGATCCCTGTGGCCAGGCCTAACTCGCCTCCTCCCGCGAATGAGGCAGGGCCCCGGGGGAGGAGAACAGGCGACAGAGGGCGCGGTGGAGCAAGGCCTGGGGAGAACAGGACTGTCTTCCTCCCCACCCATTCGCCAGAGAACCATCACGCCTGAGGTCCTGCAGACCTTGGCTGCTCTTCTGGCTCCCGTTACAGACCAGCCCCTTTACCTGCCCCAGCGCTTCCCTTACCTCTACTCTATAAATAACCCGCTGCATTTGCCTGGGGTCTTTTCCTCCCATCAGGAGTCAGAGCCCCACCCGGCCCACCTATTCCTCTGTCTCCTTGTCTTTCTTATTTTCACTCTGTGAACCCTTCAGCCACGGTGTGTTTGTGTGTGTGTGTGTGTGTGTGTATACACAAAAGGGCCCAAGAGATAGGGGAGAGGGGTTTAAAAAAAGAATTAAGAAATGTTCTGTTTCGAGAGTGGTGGTACATGCCTGTAATCCCCAGCACTGGGGAGGCTGAGGCAGGTGGATCACTGAGTTCAAGGCCAGCCTGAACTGCATAGCAAGACCTTGTCTCAAAAAACCAAAAAGAAAAAGAAAAAAAGAAAGGTCATGCACATGACAAGTGTACGTACTACAAACACATACCAATGAAAAAACTTAAAAAAAATTTTGTTTGCGGTACCAGGGATCAAACCCGGAACCTTGCACTTTTGAGGCAAGCACCGTGCCACTGAGCTAAATCCCTGGCCCAAAAAAACTTTTTAAAAAAGAAGACTGTCAGGCTAAGGTACCACATTGTCTTTTTTTTTGTTCTTGCTCCAGCCAGGGCAGGGACCCACAAGCTTTCTGACCCCATGGCCAGGCCAGGGCAGGCAGAGTGGACATAGGCCATGGGCACAGCACCCCAGAACCAGTCACGCCACCCACTGACTCCCCAAAAGAAGAAACATGAGGCTGACACGGGCTCCTCGCCTGGGAATTGAGAACGCAGCGGAGAGGTCGGCCTGTAACTGCTGCTCTGGCTGTGTCCCCCGGTGAGGTGAAATCAGCCACCCAGCAAGTGAGGGCACATGGGAGCCTGGTGACCAGGGACACCCTGGCCCAGTGCCTGCACCAGCCTGCACGTGGGTGCTTTTGGAGTGTGCCCTTCACGCGAGTGTACACCTGCGGGGCACACTACCGGCCTGGACAGACCTTAGCCTCCGCCTGTTATGCCAGCATTCAGGAGGCTGAGGCAGGAGGGTTATAGCAAGTTTGAGGCCTGCCTGGGCTACACAGTCTCAAAAAAAAAAAAGAAATCACTGGAGGAAGATCACAGGCAGATGAGAAAAGGGCCTAAAATCCACATGAAGAAGGCGCGTGTGGAATCCAGGACAGGACTCCGGTGGAGAGCCCAGGCTCACTGGAACAAAAGCCACCAGAAAGTCTCCAACCCAGGCAACCTGACACCGCAGCGCTCTCCAGACAGCCCTGCCCACGGGTCCCCAGAACCTGTCTGTCCACAGCGGGAGCCGGTTGCTTTGTCAAATGCCATTTCCGGGTAACAGGATTCCTGTCCGTCTCCCTGGGCTACCGGCCAGCATCACATGACAGCCAGCGATGGGGGACAGCCCAGCGCTCTCAGGAACGACAACTGTGCACGTCCCTGGCGCAGGGCACCAGGCTCGGCACCGGCGTCCAGCCACACCTGCAGCAGCACAAGCACAGCGCTTCCTCAGACGCAACAGGTAGCTCTGCAGGGCAGTGCGTGCTGGGCCAGGCTCTCGGAGGAGTCTCCCAGGCTCAGCACTGCACTGACAGTGCACGGAGGACGGGGGCGGGGCAGGACAAGGGCTCCAGGGACAAGCATTTCACTGATGCCGGCCCAGCACAGCCGGGTTTGCATCCACAGCAAATCCAGCTTCTCCAGGTCTCCTCGATTCTAGTACTGCTGGGTCAAATGCCCAGCCACGGACACTGGGAGCCATCGTCACCTGAACCCCTGAAGGACCTACTGTGTGCTACGGGCTCACAGCACGCAGGGGAAGATCCAGCATCCATGCCCAGGCCCTGGGGCAAGGAGAGCACGCACCTGTGATTCTAGCACTCAGGAAGCTGAGGCAGGAGGATCGCTGGGAGTTTGAGGCCAGCCTGAACTACATAGCAAGACCCTGTCTCAACACCAAAAAGAAAAAAAAAAAGATGAAGAAAAAACTAAGCACCATCCTATCCCCCAATTCTCGGGTACTGTTTGTTAGTTTGCAAGCCCCGGCGCCTGCCTCAGCCTCCTTGTTCCTCAGACAGTGCCGAGCACCTGCTCACAGCCTTCGCTGTTGTCCCCCTGTCCTGGGGTCACATCCGACAGACATGCCAGCCTCCCCTTCCTCCCCGAGAGTCCTGCCGCCGTCCACACTGGCTGGGACTCGAGGCCGGCTCCTCCTGCACTGAGGAAAACAGTGTCCCTTGTCCAAGACCCGCTGCAAGGACAGTGACAAGGGAGAGGGGACAGCGCGGTGACCCCGCCTCGCCCTGGGCAGGTGCTGGGCTCTTGAATGCGCCCTCCAGGCTCCCGTGTGGCCACAGCTGCGCCCTGTGGCCCTGCCTGCCCCTCCTCCGTGCCCCAGGGTGACAAGCAGGAAGCAGGGTCCCATTGTGCTGTTGAGGCCTCTCCAGGACACCAGAGACAGACCCCAAAGCCCTCCTGACATCAGCACCCACTGTGACTTTTTTCTTTTTGGTGGTACTGGGGGTTGAAGCCGGGGCCTTCACACTGACCCACGTACCTACATCCTCTTTAGTTTTTACTGTGAGACAGGGTCTCGATAAATTGCTACAATGCCCAATCTGTACTCAAACTTGTGATCCTCCTGCCTCAGCCTCCCAGAGTGCTTCGATGACAGGTGTGCACAGCATGCCCAGCTTCTGGGACTGCATTTTAAAGGCACCGAAGGGCCCAGGTGGCAAGCTGCCCACTTCCTACATGCCTATGGCCTTGGGCCACCCCAGAGGCGGTAGGATGGTCCTAATCCGGATTCTTTTTCTGTACATTTTTAGTGACAAAAGGAATCCATGCTTGATGAAGAAAACTGTAAAGCCTAAGGAAATCTGCAGGAAGCCCCCAGCCAGCTTCCAGACTCCCCCACGCCTCACCAGCCCCACCCACCTGGACCCTGGGGGCCGCCCTGCCGTGGCGACCATCAGCCATGCGCCCACTGCTCTGTGCATTTCCCTTCCTACCTCCAAACAGTTTGCCAGTAAA